AACCACTCTAGCTTTGATTTTAGCCTATTGTATCGAAGTAATTGTTTTTGGATCCCCTAGCGGTATTTAATATGTAGACAGTGAAATATCGGCGAATGCTTTTTTAAATTATACATGTTTGAATATTGTAATTAGTTTATACACCACAAAACATGACTGAAATGTCATTTATAATAATTGTCTACAAAATAGTCAATCCATGAAAAGGACTGTTAATAGATATAACCCTGATAAGGAAAGAGATAGAACACTCTCCAAGAAAAATCACGACAAATTCAAAACATCTATTGCAAAAAACTCTTATCGTTATATACATATCTATGCAAAAAGGCTTTAAAATATAAAAAGTAATATTAAAGACCTATACGAGTACCTACTATTCGAGTATTACTGAAAACTTATAATATTAAGTGAGCAATTCTTTCAAATATACATATATTTATGTACATGTGGTATGTATAAATATATTTCGTGTATCTCGGAAACGACTTCGGACGGCTGGATCAAATTTTATATTTAGATAAGGTTTTGCATTTTCACTTTATCTACATAGGTGTCTTTTCCGAAAAAAACACGATATAACCAAAAAACGCCGAGTGAAGCTCGGACGCCCAGGTACTAAGTATATTATTATTTGAACAGATATCAGTGACTTCTATATGTAAGCAATAAATCTATTGCAAGTGCCCGATTTTAATTTCCGATCCCAGAAATCAAACTCGTAGCAATTTATGTACGATTCAAATAATTGCTTTAAATTAATCTAAAACTGATTCTATTAAAAAAGTTATATTTTGAAAAGCATAAATAGGCTTCATTTTATTTTATATTGATAAAATAGTCAATTTAGAAAGAATTATTCTTAATAGATTGTATTTAAAAAATATCTGGCTATTCATATTTTGTTAATCAAGAGGATGTATAAAGTCTATGTTACACTAACCTAAAAAGTTTTCTCTGTATTTTTATTATCCTATAAAGAACTTTCTGTTTACAATATTAATATTAAATTACAAAAAGCTCGAACGCCTTTATACGTAATAAATTCGTAAAAACATGTTTGATAATATTGATTGTAATATACTAAATAGCGCGTAAAACTCGGTCATTATTACTAAGGAAATGTTAATACTGGCTGAAATGAAGGCAATAAAAATATTCTTATATCAATAAAAAGAGTAGTAACGTTTTTATTAGGCTGTGTATGTGATTTTACTGCCAGCACATGAACAAAAATAAAACAAAAACATATGGTAAAATAGATAAACACATAGATTGAGGGTGCTATAAAATACAAACACACCCCGCTGTTTTATTACACAAGTATGACTAATAAAGTTTACATCGCTCATTCTAATATCGACTTCCACTCCTATTGTGTAAATGAATAATTCCTGTTACGACACCATAAAGATTGTTTTAGATTGATTCTTGTGACTTAAGCTAGGTCTACACAAGCCAGCGAGTACGTCGCGAAAGACATGGCTCGTGTTCGGTAAACTTATAAGAAGTATCGCTTTGATGTATAAAAATAACATTTCACGTTGACAAGAAAATTGAAAAAAGTAGACGCTACGAAATAATAGAAGATCGCACCGTCGCGTCGCCTCAAGCAAAATTTGTTTAATGCTCCTAAACAAACCCATGCCGGCAGCTAATCTAGTTACTTTATCAATTTTCGTAACTTTTATAATACAATCTTCAACATCATTCAAATAATGTATATCAGATCCATATCTATTAAAGATATTATTTGTGTTATTATTTTAAATATTTTTTATAAACTCCGTTCCTTTCTCAGTAAATATTTAAAATATGTCCCTATAATGACATATTTATAATTAGATTTTAAATTAATTCTGTATTCTATACATTTAATAAAATAGTAACCTAGTGAAAAAAACAATGACTGTAACGTATAGTGTACAAACTATAGACCCAAAAACAATAGTTATTAAAAATTTTGTCTGTTTCCCTGTTTGTGTGGGCGCGTGCCACGCACAAAAATACTGGACCGATTTTAACTAAATTTTGTTTAGTAATATTATATTACTCGAATTAACATTTAGGATACCTTTTACTGCAGGAAAATCTTTCATTCCCACGTAAAAACAAAATATTTAAAATATTGTTTAACAAAAAAATTTGAAATATAATTTATTTTTTACATCTCTATAAAAAAATAATTTTCCTATAGAAATATAAAGATGGATAGAAATATGTAGCGTTTTACATTCATCACGCCTATAGGCCCCCTTTATACCATTTCGCCAAGTTCCACCCGCGGCGCCACTCACGCCGTAAAGTAGTTAAGCTAACACAATAAAATGTAACTCTAAATTAGCCAGTCGTTTTACAAGCAATAAATTTAATAGCCATCATCACAAGGGGGAGTCATTCACGCTTAAAATTTTAAATCGGCGACAATTTCGTTACTTGCACGGATGAAATCAAGTTTGGTAATCAACTTCCACTGTTATTATTGACTTTGCTACCCTTAGCTTTCAAACGGGTCTTGTTAAATTTGATGGTATTCTGAAATACATTATAAACTTCGGTTAAAATAACGTAAAGGCTCAGCCTAGAGCTAGAAGGTGCGACATATTTTATTACGTTAAAAATACACGAATATATTAAATATAAAAATAAAATCAATGTTTATATTACACTACTTTTACAACGCTTAAAAGGCTGAAAGGATTTGGATGAAATTTTGTTATAAGTACAGATAGCACCTAGGGACACTTTCGAATAAAACCATAGTGTGTCGGTAGTATAAGATTTAAGAATACTGTGTGTGCTATAAAAGTATATAAAAGAGCATGTGAAGTGCAAGAAACTAGAAAAATACCCAAGAAGATAGGAAGAAAATAAATGTACAAAAATAGAAATAACTTACTTTAATAAAGTAGCCAATAGCGATGATCTTTTTATAAAGAAGATATTTTAAGCTTAAATATCGAGACGTTTTTTATAGCAAATAAGGATTTAATTTAACAAGACATAGACAACGGTTATTGAGATATACAGTATTATTCTCGTCTGAATAAAACTTGGCTCATCTCAAAATATTGTTGTTTGCGTACGTAGTTTATCATATTCCGCGAAGCATATGCAATCTCTGATATTTTAGTGGTGAAAACCCCATTCACAAATTCTCGTATATATTTCTACTGGAAACAATGCTCCATAGAAAGAATTGCATGTTTTTTTTCAATTTCTAGAAATACATATGTATGAATATAAAAATTATGTACAGTGAATGAACGAACGCTGAACATAAATACGTTGTGAATGAACATAAGTATTACTGCAGTGTATACCTAGTCTTAACCATCTTTCTGTTTCATATGTCTACAGAGTAGAATACATTTTATAACAATATTCTTTTACTAGTGACTCACCCTCGCTCTGTTCGGGTTCGTCGCTATTTACGTTTTAACGTTTAGTATAGATTTCTGAGACGAGATATTTTCCCGCAGTTAAAAGTATCTTATATAACCCGAATAACCAGCTATCATCATACTAAATTTCATCAAAATCCCTTCAGTGGTTTTTCCGTGATACGATGACAGACAGACAGACAGACAGACCGACAAAAATTCGAAAAACTATAGATTCTCTCCTCTGTATCGATAATAATGTATATTTCAATAAGAATTTCCAAAATATATTTAATGTTCAGATTCGGCTTACTTACAATTTGATTATATGCATAGTTGATCTTATGAATGAAAAAATAGTATCAAAAATATTTTAAAAATAGTATTACGGTTTCAATAAGTTTTACTTAGATATAATTGTAGTATGATAATATTATTATTGAATTTCTTATAAGAAAAAGATTTGCTTTGCCAACATTCATTGCACTATTTTAAAAAGTTTTCCTTTTGTATATACTCGATATTTACCGTTGAAATATAAAACATCACCTCATATGTATTGTGGTATAAATTAATAAATTATCTTAAGTAATTCGTTAATTTAAAAATGAACTAAAGATGCTAAAAGAACGACTACATTTTTGCACGTAATTTAAAAAGTGTACAAGTCATTATTTCCAATTCAATGTAACGGCAATTCTGTAATTTCATCTGTTATTTCTTAACAAGCAAATTAGCCTACTGTTCCATACCAAAATAACGTTTAAGACAAAATTCACTTCTTTCTATGAATAGAATGTTAACATTGAAACAATTAGTAAAAACTATTTATATCCTTTTTTATCTACTTTGATACTTTGTTAATTTTTAGTTAATAATATTATATAAATAAAGTAGACGATTTTGCTATTTTAGTAAAATAATAACATTTAAACTATTGAGTTACGTCAAAAAAACGTACAGATATATCTTGCTCTTAATTTATTGTAAAATATTATCTTTGAGACAAATTGAATTAATGAAGATAAATTAATAAATTTATAATTTTGTGTTATATTTGAATTTTTTTGTATAATTATGTACTATGTTGATATTCTTGTGCTATGTTGATAAGAATCATGATACTATACTTATATTAATTTCAAATAGAATTGTCAACAAACCTCCTTATCTTCTTCTATAATAATCTTTTATAACAATGTTAGAGAAAATCTATACTTAAACTTTATTTATTTAAAAGTTATTAATGATTAATTAACACTACATAGTACTGCTTATATGAAATGGGTAAAAAATAAGATGTCTCAGTCATAAACTTCTTTTATTACATGACTATACAAACATCAGCCATATTCAGATAATAACTACAACATAATTTACAGTCTTTCGAATTAATACTTACAAAATTATCTATATAAAACAAAATGCAATAAATATTTAGAAGCAAATCGCACAGAAATGCAAAATTTGGTATCGTTATTGTACAAAAGTTACACTATATAAACACTTCTAGGTCTATTTACAATATCGGACAATATCTTTCGTTCACAGCTAAGCGAAATTTCAGCAATGCCTATCTTACAAATGAGATCGATCTGACAATAACCATTAGTCTCACACCAGGTACGTTTGAACCGTGTGCTGCAAAACCACAGACTGCGGTTGATGATGGCGGCCTTGGAAATCGTTCGACGAGTAGTCCGAATCTATGGTAGAGTATATGTGCTCGGACAACGGCCTATCGCAGGGCGAGCGTTCCGCGGAGTTAGCGGACTTACCGCAAAGCGTCTGGCAGGTACTGTTCAATACGGAGGCATCCATTGTGTACGTGTTAGAATTCCTCCCATAATTGAGTCTTTTCAACTTATGACCGCGTCGCTTAGAGGATGGCATCGCGTATCGTAATCGTTCCCAAAAACGTTTCTCTTTCCACGTTATCTCTAAACCAGTTTTGAAATACGATTTTAATTCGGGATCGCGTGCTACTTGCCCTACGGTGACTAATATTAATTTGTGAGGGTTCTTGCGCAGTGCTCTCTGGAGAGCCTGCCTAAACTCTATTTGTGACCATTCTGTTAATATAAAGTTTTTCGATAATACCACAATAATACGCCTCGACGCTTCCGTCGCTTCGACGACTAAATCGGGAAACTGAGCGTATGTAGCTTCAAACTGCGGCACATCTCTGTAATGCAAGCACAGATGATAGGACGGGTAACCATTTTCGAGCTCCCGCGCCAAGGATTCTATAACGAACTCTTCGTCTTTGGGGCTATAACAAATGTAGGCGTCATAAAGCTTATCTGCGTCGTTAAAGGCGCTCGCTAAGGGAGAAAGCTTAATGCCGCAATTTGAGTACAACCACATTCTGCAAGCGTATCTAAATGTGAATACTAAAGCTAATATTAATAAAATAAGCATGAACCCAGTGAGAGCTGAGGCTAATAATGGTATATTGTGGGAGACGAAAAAGGCGCTTATCACTGACGTATCGCTTATTTCACTACAAACTGTCACATTTAAATTCAATTGCTTTTTATTTGGGCTCATGTTTTCATTTAAGCACCATAAATTGTGAATATCTATAACTTTTTCAACATTTTGCGATATGTACAATAAAAATGCTTGCAAATATTTGCAATTGCAAGACCAGTAGTTATTACCTATAAACAAACTTTGTAACTTTTTGTTATTGTCCAAATGCCACAAGCCGTAGTTTACGAGTCTGTTTCCATCCAAGCGTAAAACTTCGAGAGAGCTCAAAAAGGCAAAACTGACATTTGAAATATACTCAATGCCATTATTTTGAAGATACAATTCTTTCAAGTTATTCAACTTGGAAAATTCGAGACCTTGCAAACGTTTTATTTTGTTGTCATCTAAATGCAAAATTCTTAAATCACTGAGACCACGAAATGTGTCATTTTGTATATTTGAAATGCCTGTAGAATTTAAATATAAAACCATAGCCTTACGCATTGAATAAAAAACAGTTTCGTTAAGTTCATTATAATTATTGCCATCTAAATAAATATGTGTTGCACCTGAAGGAAAGTCCCGAGGCACCAAATTTAATTGTTTTACAGAGCAATCTACCACATTCGTCGTCTTCGTTGAATCATGATAACACGAACAGTTATCGGGACATACTGTTTTGCAATTACAGAAACTGAAGTCGCAACAATGACAATCTTCGGGACAATAACTTTCATATTTACAGAGGAAATCTTTCGTATGTAAAGAACTAACAGAGAGAAATTTAACACCACGAACGTATGATTCTTTACAAATCACATTTTCCAAATCCATGACTCGTGGATATTCTCTAGCGGGCATAGAATTTATAAGTAAAAGCCATTTCATGGTACAGTCACATCGAAAAGGATTACCGCTTATATAAAATTCTGGTAATGCGCGATCGTCAACTCTTGAGATACGCAAGCTATTTATATCCAAGCTTTCGATTTCATTGGCATACATATCGACTCGAGTTAAATTAGACTTTTCAAGAAACGTATCTTTTTGAATGGACGATATAAAATTATTGTTTATAAAAAGTAACTCTACACTATTCGGTATAGATATAGCGGATAACGTGACGATGCGGTTATGGCTTGCATCTAATGTTTTAACGTGCAAATCACTTTGAATTTTGTAATAATTTCCAAGCACTTCAATAAAATTGGCGTGGATATCGAGCCACTTCAAACTTGCCGGTATAAATGCGTAATCGAACCACACGAGATGATTCTCAGACAGATTTAGCCATAACAACTTCGTCAATGACACAAATACTCCGTTTATATCAGAAATGAAGTTGCCGTCCAATCGAACGGCTTCCAATTGCACGTTCTTTTGAAAGGTTTCGGTCTCGATGGACTGTATTTTATTTTTTGCTAAATTGAGTACTTGTAGACTAGGCAAGCCCCAAAACATTCCCGCTGAAAGGTTTCCAATCTGATTGTCGATTAAACGTAACCCGGTCAACTGCGATAAATTTTGAAACGAATTGTTTGAAATTTCTGTTAATAAATTCTCTCCCAAGTCCAACGACTTCAAGAACGGTAATTGCAAAATCGCCTCGGGAACTTTCGTCAATTTATTAGAACTTAAGTCTAGCTCCTTCAAGTCTGAACAATTTTTAAAAGCATTTTCAGCAATATATGACAAAATATTATTATTTAAATTTAATTTGTTTAAAATAAAAAGACCATTAAACACATGATCTTCAATAGTCCTTAGTTTATTAAGTTCTAAATTTAACGTATGTAAATTAAATAACGGTGAAAACGCGTTATCTTCAATAAAACCGATAGAATTGTTACTTAAATTGAGAATTTGTAAAAAGAATAAATCTTTGAACATATTACGTGCAACCCCAGCGAGGGCATTGTGTGACAGGTCAAGCACTATTAATCTTATTAGACCACCAAACGTTTCATCTTCTATATGATCGCCTTTCAATTTATTCGCCGAAAGATCTAACACGACTAATTGTTCCAACCTATTAAATAATTTCTTCGGTAATATTTCTAAATCATTATAACTCAAATATATTTCACGAATTTCCCTTGTATTTTGAAATAAACCTTCGGGTAAATAATTTATAGCGTTTTCGGAAAGATTTACAACTTTTAAAGATAACAAGTCACCGAAAACTTCGCCCGGTAGCTCGCTTATTTTATTATTTTGTAGAAATAGTTGCGTTAATCTCCGCAAATGTAATATTTCTGAGTCAGCTGGTAAAGACATGATATCATTATAACTCAAATCAATAGTCTGCAAAGTGGACCCACACTTGTGACCGAAGCCTAATTCATCGACAAACTTGATTTTGTTGTGAGTTAAGTTAAGTGAAATTATATTTTCCAGTGCACAAAACAGGTCCGACGGGATTTTTCTTATGTTGTTGTACGCCAAGTCCAATGTGTGAAGCTCTCGCAGACCATTAAATGCTCCTAAAGAGAGTTCTAACTCCTTATTATGCCCCCATTGGTTGTTCATGGAGCGCAACTTTAAAGTCTTGAGTCCTCGCAGACCCTCGAAGGTGTTACCTGGAAGCCGTAGAATTTTGCAGTCACTTATTGTGATCTCCGTCAAGCCGTGCATTTTTCCGAAGTAATGATCTTTCAGCGTGCTCTCGAGAAGATGCGAGCCGCATCGGATAGCGAGCCTCTCCGCGCCGTCGGAGTGCATCGAACCGACCACATCCCGGTCCGACGACAGTGTCCGTACATTGCACTCCACACTGTTCTCACTGGCCACTCGAAAACAACCGTCTGCAGCGTCTGGCGCTTCCGTAAGCGCCGCGCCCATCACCAAACAAAAGAATATCACGTAAATTATCATTTTATGCTGCACTGTGTCCATTTCATTTTCACTTGTCAACTCGTTTTGATGAATGAAAGTGGGGTTATTACGTCGCGTGCGGTCATATTAGAGTCCGGGCGAGTAGTATGAGGATACAATTCGATAACAATGAACGCGAGCGTGGTAAATAGAGCGCTTCGTAGAGAGCATGGCTTAGCGTGCGGCCGACACGACGCGATCCCCCCGCGGAGGCGAGCCCGCGACTGCCGTGCCGCCACTGCCACCGTGCCGTTTACAATGAAATGCCATGAATGCGCGCCAGCTTGAAGGGAACAGACCGCACCATCGCATTTCTAATGCCGCATACTAACTAACCCTCCTAGTTCGACTTTTGTAGAAAACGGAAACCGTTACGTGACTTTGACTCTATTAATATTATTAATGAGGTAATTCATTCAATGCTTTCTCGATTGTTTGTGACAAATTCTTTTGTTATCTCACTATTGTGATGTTTATCTTAACAGAGCTCATAACATTTTCTCTTTCGTAAGATATAAAATAGGTAACATTTGTCAATTTTATGAGTCATAGGACAGTGTCATAAAACATAAAAAATAGCCATCATCGCTAACTAAGCGTAAAACGTGCGCTAGAAATAAAAATAACAATAGTAAAGTTGGTTTAAGTTTGCAAGTTTTATGTTTATGTATAAAAATAAAATAGAGACTTGGTTTCTAATATTCCCTCAACGAATGCGGACACGCCGGCGTTACAGTTAACAATAGATTTCTTAGAAATTTACTTGGAGGTGATATAAAGAGTTTACCGCATGCGGGAATCGTATCCCTAATATTTTACGTTGCATATAATTATTATAGTCCTTTTATGCCTTATTTGATGAATAGTTTTGTATGTTTATGTGTACAAAATACAAATTTCTTTAACAGTTCATATTCAATGTAACGAAATACGTAATTACCTATATACAAAAGAAATCCATAATAACATTTTATTTTCTTCCTTCAGCCATCTTTACGCACGTAAAGTGTATCTAATATCTAGGTATAGTATTATAATATGATCTGTGCTATAATTATTATATATCCTAGCGCAATGTAGATAGAGGTACCACATTGCTAAATAATAAAGCTGACTAGTATATACGGCCTACCTGAAGCCTGAACAGGTGTAATTAGTAGGTATCTACGTAATATTTGTATTGAACATACAGCTACGAGTATTTGTCCCATAATCCCATTCTAGTTTAGAAATAGCGCTATGTTATATTTTATCCACATTTTCTTTGTGTCCAAAGAAATTTGCAAAAGCCTAACTAGATATTATGCGGTATGCCAATATTCCTTTGTTGTAATAAATATAATACTATTGCCAATGTCGATAAAACTATTTAGCCTTGAGGGAGACAAGACAAATTATTACGTTTTTATTTCATGAATTTATTGTATCGAAACAATTGCTAGAATTTCACCTTGGTCTTAAATAGGTAACTACTTTAACTAAATAGAGATTAACAGTCATTTGTCGTGTGAAATCTTTATTTAAATAATAAAATACTCAAATAATAATTGTATAATCTGTAAATACATACAATTTTGCTACAAAAAAAAAGTATATCTTATTTAGACCATTAAAATGTTAAAAAGGAATTATATTTACAGATGCACTTCAACAACACAGTCCAAAGTCCATCTATCCATGTATGTAAATTTTAATCTATTTTATACTTTATCCAAGCATAAAAGCTTTAAATATATATCTTTACATATAATGTAACAAAAGACAATATTATCATTAGTTTAACGATGCCAAAATTAGAAATGTTTTTAATATTATTCACCCCAATGATCAACATCATCGTATAGAGCTTAGAATAAAAATAATAATTCTAATTGACACCAGTCGTTAAAACGTAGTTACGTACCTATATGTACGTGTTAATTAGAACGCAGGAGTCCGACAAAGTAGGGACTTTGGAGTTTGGGTAGGGTGTCTCGATTGTCCTGTCAAATTATAATTGCAAAACATCAAAACCTCATTTATTTATTGTCTTCACGCTATTTGCAAATTGAAAAGAAGAAATAAAGCAGCATAGAATTCTGTTCTCTACATTAAAAAAATTACATGAACACGGCGGAATCCATCCATACTTCCATACTAATATTATAAATGTAAAAGTGTGTTTGTTTGTTTGTCCTTCTTTCACGTCAAAACGGAGTAACGGATTGGCGTGCTTTTTTATGTGGTTATAGTTGGAGGGCTGGAGTGACATACTTAGGCTACTTTATACCGAGGGAGTTTATCTAATGCTCACAGGAAAACACGTTATACCTACTATAATCCAAAAAATATTTATGATCAGAATTACTTGAAACTTGGTATTAATGCTCTTTGATAAAATTAAATAAATACGTGTTTTAGCATTTTTCGAAATTCATCCTATAAGGGGGTAACATTGGGGATGACAGTTAAAAATAGACAAATAAAAACTTTTTCAAAAAAAATTAAACCAGGCACTAAAATGTAAAAAATAACTAAACGGAGGTTTTCATTTAGAATAGATACTTAATCAGATATTTTCGAAGTCGGTGCCAGCCTACAATATTTTAAGATATGAATATCTAATAGATAAATATGTTTTTACATATCGAAATATATTAGATTTGCTTTGCATCGGCTGGCACATAAGTCTGGCTACATAAGACTTTTCTGAACGAATCAAACTCAAAATCGTCAATACTCAATAGCTAGATATGTACTACTTACTGACTTACTGTTATCTATTTTATATCGAGTCTTACCCAATACTAATTATTGCAAATTTAAAATTTTACCTTCTGGTTCCAAGACTTACTTTTTTTAGGTACTTAATCTAAAGACAGACAAACATTTTTTAAAACTATTGGTGGTATGAGTGCTGCTTTATTCCAAGCACGAAGTATTGCAAATCTAGAGGTATAAAATAAAAAAAAACTCAAATAAAAAAACCTGACTGCGTAAAAAGCGAACTAAAAAGATGATAATCATTTGAGGAAGGAAAACACGCAGCTATTAAAACTAAAACAGGTTTTTTTTGTGAATTATTTTTTCATTCACAGCTTTTTATACATACAGAAAGTCCGTACATAGAAAAAAAATGCTAAAAACCGAGTCAGGGGATGTAAGAAGAGAAATAGACCATATCAAGTTTTTTTCAAAATTTTTGTTCCTGTTTGTACGGGCTAATCTTCAAAACTGTTGGGACCGATTTAAATGAAATTTTGCATGGTGGTGCCTTATATCCCCGTTCAAAATTTTAGATACTTTTCATCCCGAAAAATTAAAGAGTTCCCGTGGGATAAGTTAAAAACTATAGTAACTTGTATAGTTTAGTACACAAAAACTACTGATTGGATTTTAATGATACTTTACAATATTATAATTCATACATCAGAATAACAAATATGCTACTTTTAATCCAGGAAAAACGTACGGTTGCCGGTGATAGATTTGTTTTATGCTTTTTTTGCGTTCGAGGACAATAATAATTATCTCTACACTAGCACTCTACACTAGCGCCCTTTCGCGGCGAATTCAATTTTATCCCCCCTTATTTGCCCCCATTAGGTGACTTTAAATGTTGAAATTTTTATAACCATCGATGTTTTAAAGCTATATTTAAATGTTATATAAAAAATATAATGTAAAAGTTAAACTTATGCGTTGGTATTTGAGTTCGAAGACTATTTTCTTGTAATCCATTTTGGTGTAATATTCCTACGGGAGTTATCAGAGACAACGTATCGCATGATTGGGTACAGGTACCTAATTAAATTAATAAAATATTTTTGTTATTTGTGCACAAACAATTATTAATTACTAATTATCTTATTAATTAGCTGTATGTACCTATATTCAATTACTCTCATAGGCAATTGAAAATTATTATTAGCAATGAAGAAAAAAAGGAATGCGAATTACGTATTTTTTTATTTACTTTATATAATTAATATATAATAAATAACACAAAATCGCATCTTAATGACATAATTAAAAAGTTACTAAAAACTTTTTACTCAAAAGTGAGTGTCTCTCATGGACGCTTACTTACAAGGAAAACAACCACGGCGTATTCGAAATAAAACCACATTTATGTATATTGACAATTTTAATATTTTACACCTAAACAAGTCTAGACTTAACAAAGTATTTACATTCAAAAATTAAACACTACAAGAGGAACCTACAAAATAAACACGCAAACTAATGAAATTCATAAAAGATTAAAACTAAAATTTCTCTCAAACATCTGCCACCTATTTATCACAACGTTACCAAAGACGCAACTTCATTCAGTGTATTATAATTAAATAGTACTCAAAGTAATGTTAAATATAGGTACTTAGTGCAGATTAAAATAAGTAAACCAAGCTGTGTACAAAAAAAAATTCAACACTCACTCAGTTATCATAATATAAAACAATCTCGACAATGTACGTTTACATTTACAAAATGCATTACTTCCTTGATTTTGTAAAATGTACCTACCATTATTTATCAACCGACTTTCAAAAAGGAGAAGGTTCTCAATTCGTCGATATCTTTTTTTTAAACAGTTATGGAACAAACTTGCCATAACATTCCGACAATATGATCAACATAGCTTTTTAATTATATCAATATTCAAAAAGGTTAACCAATTAAAGGTTTATTGAATAATAATACAATACAATTCCCTTGTTACATCGTCTACATAACAATAGTCAACGTTTGAATTTAAATTCGATGTCCATACTAATGTCGACAATTCTAATTTTATTGGGGTCTTAGTTTACAAGTTACAAGTGTAACGATACTTACATAAAAGTCAAATTGAAAAACTGATCATACCAAAATATCGACCGAAATTTCCTTATTTTTAAATAGTTTAAAAATCAATTGTTCATTAAGAAAAAAGGCAGTGGTAGCCCAGTGATAAAGCTGCTCGCTTGGGAATCCGAGTGTGCGGGTTCAAATTCCGGGTCTCGAACCTCTTATGTATTCATGTGCGAATCATTTTCGAAAGACATGGGAAGTCTGCCAACCCGCAATTGGCCATTGTAGTGGACTATGGCATGAACCCATCGCATTGAAGGGAGCCTCGTGCCTAGCAGTGGGACGTTAAAAAACGTCCGTTCCGTTAATCATCAGTTCATAATAAAATAAAATAAAGGTCTCCACGACTGTCCATCATTACATTGTATAAAACGATATATTCAACGTAAATTATAATAAAAACTTATAATCTTACATCACTTACCGATTCAGTCTAGTATCATTTGGTGTTACTCAACTCCCCGGTATACAAAAACACGTAGACTCAAACGGCGAAATTAAAAAAATAATAAAAGAAACATCGTATACTTACGTAAAAGAAAAAATCATTTGAAGGCTATCCTGATCCTTTTCATTCGACACAATTGTAACAAAATGAGAAGCAGACATTTTGTAGACTGCTTTAGACATACTTACATACTAATTGTATGAAGCTACTATAAGAGAAACAATCTCGAAAGCTTTCCTTTTGTATAAATTACAAAAATAAAGTTTGAATGCCGTTGCTATATTTCAAAATTTGTACATAAATACTTTTGGCAGACACTTACAAAATTCTTAGCGTACATTTGTGGCATTCCAGATTCAAATTATTTATATCTAATACAAAAAAAACTTGTAACATCTTTAACAGCTATATTAAGTGTAACTTGTGAAACATCAAATAACAATGAAACAGATTATTTTCTCATATCTAAAGCGTAATATTAGTTTGTAAGGAGACATTAAAAAGAGCAAGTAACTCTTATTTTTCATTAAAAACATCGGATACTATTTCTAAGACAAAAAGTACAAACAACTATATATCTACAGTCAAGAATTTTATTAGATAAAGTAATATTTCATATCAAAAATTTCATCACACCAACCACCAAGTTGACCGCTTCTAGCCACACTGAGAGGTAAAAACATCAATGGATGCCTCTTTGCTTCTATTAGCAGTAACAAGAATTAACATTCTAACACAGGATTGGCTTATCTATACTAATATTATAAGGAGGTAAAATTTGTGAGTTTGTGAGGTTGTAGGAAGTCATCTCTAGATCTACTGAACCGATTTAGATGTTTTTTTTGTTTTTGGAAGCAAGTTGCTAGTTGTTTATAAACAGGTTACTTTACTATATAACAGAACTAAACAGAAAAAGAAAAAAAAGCCAACCGCCAGTTAATATTCAGTACTTCATTTATTTAGAAATTTTTGATATGACTGGTAATATATATCCATTTTTGTAGCTTCACTGGTGATAGATAAAATATCATAAAATTGTGAAATTTGTTCTACATAGTTTAAAATAAATATACAACAAAAAGCGATACAATACTTATACTATCCATACAATTAATTTTGCAGAAGGATATCTCATTTGTCTCAACTCTACACTCATTTTGTTTTATAACTTTTTCTACACCTCATTCGACGGACACATGGATCTAATAAAATAATAAAATTCATGTACCTACCACAAAGTTGCAAAACATTACTTGCAAATGTAACAGCTAATTATTGCAAAATTGTGCAATCAAGGCCACATCGAAATCTGAATAAATTATTGCTATCACTTATGTGAGAATTATATTTATTAAGACGGCATACATCTTTGACTAGAAGTCCAACCAAATACCGTTTACAGTTTATTAATAAAACAAAAACACTAAATCATTCAGTCACTTCTTATTAGTCACATTTGTCACATGGTAATGTCCAATATTCATAATTATCCCTTGTATTATTTAGACATGGATATAAAATATAAGGTATAAGGCCTTTTCCTACATTACTTTATAAAGTTTATCTTGATAATAGTAGCCATATTTCGACGAAGAGATGTTTCGCTCAAACCTAGCCGTTAAAGTTACAAGACGATATGCAACTGCATGTCTAAAATTCACTGGTAAATACATCACTACCCTCGAATAATCATTAATAAGCATTCGAGCCAAAACTCCAATTTCGGTCCACAGCTAAATAAATATTAAAGAATACGCAATAAACTGATGTGGACCAAGCCTTAGAAATACCATGGTCCATAACATATCAATATGGACCGTATGTGGTCCATTCCAATTGCCCAAGGGATATTTATGAATAACAAACACATATCACTTCACTTAGCACCAACGGCGTTTTCGTCCACAAGTCTATTTGTCTATCGCCTGTACATGATCAGGACGTTCATTCCGGGCGTACTTGGCCCACATCTTATTGTATAGCATTTCCAAGCCGGTAGCGTACGCCTTACAATCGAAAAGTGGACTGTCTGTACGTGCGGTCCATACCTTGGCACGAATTGCTTTTAAACTGTAATAAAAAGAATAAATTGTAGTGTAACCATTAACTCTTAATAGTTTGAATTGAAGCATAATTTGTTAGTGTACCTAATAAATATATTTATAAAAACGTATTCATGGTTTATTAATTACAATTGCTTTGTTTAACTATATGAATTATCATTTGTATCTAATGTTATGCAAATATAGCAAAGTATATTGTTTTAATATTTTTGTATATAAAATATTCATAAAAAACATATAATACTTACTATTCTCTATCAGTCCCTAATCTTACTGCAATATCTTGATACTCTTGCCTGGTCCTGGCGATAAGCTCTGGGCATCCCAAAGTATTTAATTGAGATGCAGCCACACTACAACAAATGTAAAATTATAAACTCTGCTTTTAATTACTATACAAGGTAATTTAAGGCAATGGTAGCCCAGTGGTAACGCGCTTGCTTGGAAAATCAAGTGAAGCGGGTTCAAATCGCTAATATTTTCATGTACGCGTCATCTTCAATATGATTACAACTTGTCTTACGATAAGAAAAACATAGTGAGGAAAGCTGCATGTCTGAGAGAAACTAGAAAGTTTTCGAAAAGCACGTGTCGTGACCATGCAGCACTTGGCCATCGTAGCTTGGACTATGGCTTGATTCCCCTCGTACTGAAGGGAGACGCGTGCCCAGCAATAGGATATTAAAGAGGTCCGACTACTACTATGCTACTATGTACACATTAAATTAAAACTAAACAAGTGAAGTTAACAGTGTACTTGTAAGTCTTTTTATTACACGATTTCGATTATGATATAAATGATAAATCGCAAATACAATATCAGTTACATGTAATTTGGAAACAATAAACAAAATGTGTATACACAGCAAATATAATTATATGTTATAGGGAAAAAGGAAACAACATCAGCGGAATTCAAGTAACATGAGCCATGAGGGGACTAAGCTCGAATACGAAAAAATAATAATATTAATATTCATGTAATAAAAGGATAATTAAAACTACATTTCCTCTTTAATTTTTATTTCCATTTTACTTTTCCACATCGCATATTTCCTTCTCATCGTTATTCTACTCACACGCACTTTTTTATAATTTATTAAAATTATTACTAGCAACTTATAATCGCTTGAGTGCGTGTTTACTCAAGTTCATAGTTTTCATCCAAATCCATCCAGTCCTTACAGCGTGAATAAGTAACAAACATATAGACACATACACACTTACAAACTTTCACATTTATACTAGTATTAGCAGTACCCGCGGCTTCGCCCGCGTTTAAACTTGCGATCGCTACCAAACTTAAAAGAATCACCCGCTGCGCTAATCTGAAGATTGCCGGGAAATTTCATCAAATTCGCTCCAGCTGTTTTGAAGTCCATAGAAAACACATACACACATCTATTTTTATCTATACAGATAAATAAAATTGAAGTGTCTGTTTGTAATGTCAAAATAACAGCGTTTTACTAAATGCATATGAAATTATATACGGTACTTATAAGAAAAACTCTTTTTCTTTTATTTTTGTCTGTCTGTTTGTTCCAGATAATCTCTGAAACGGCTGGACTGATTTTGACGGGACTTTCACTGGAAGGCAGCTGATGTTATAGGCTATTTTTATTTTAGAAAAAGAATTAGGGTTCCGCTCAAAAAAATTAAAACTTACCTAGGGACGAACCCGAGCGAAGCGAGTGTGAGTCGCTGGTATACATATATAGAAGATTGATCAGGCATTAATTTAATATTTCATACATACCGTGAAGCCAAAGTTTCACCGGGCAGCGTGACAACGGGTGTACCAGTCCACAATATGTCCATGCTGGTTGTGTGTCCGTTACATAACGGCGTGTCTAGACACACGTCGGCCAACTGCCCGCGACGCACATGTTCTTCTTTGGCCGCCACATTTGAGAAGATTATACGACCGGGTGGTAGACCTACAGAATAATAAGTTTATGTTAAAGTACAATGTAATACATACTTTAATTAAATATAGCATTCTTTGTAATATGATATGATGTGATGAAAGAATTAGTGCATGTAATTTTTTTTTTCAATCATAACTGATCATTCTCGAAGCTTGTCTTGATATATAAGTACATCGTGCAATTAAATAATTAATTAAAAGGTGTAGACTTTGATTTAATCAATTTAAAACGTAACAACAGTTTCATTATTATAATTTGTAGGAACAAATAACTTTTACGTGTGAGTAGAAAAAGTGTTTTTTACATTTTTGATAAATTTTTGATATTAAATTAAAATTTGTAGATTAAAACTGTTTATATTTATCTGGTTTTGACATCTATCGGCACTCTGAGTGTTACCGTTAACACGTCACGTGACCATGTAAATGACAACTTACTTGAATTTACTCCCCATCCAAACCTGCCTATAGAAGTTTTCACTTTAAAAATATTCGTAGCTTACCTAATTGCTGAGCAGTAGCCTGCAAATTCGGTTCGCCAACAGCTGGGAACCTTAACAGCCACAACACACTATTGGGCACATGTTTCAGAATATACACCCACATGTGCAAAGTTAGGGGGTCTATTTTGTATAGTTGGTTGAAGTTGCAATACACCACTGCATCGTCCGGTAAGCCGTACTGTTGTCTAGTGGTAATCACTATTGACTGTGGAACTTCTTCACCGGTTGCTGCTTTGTTGTTTGTCTGGGTTGTTGCGAGACCGTTTTGTAGGATCACTCCGTTAACTGACGTCTGGAAAGATAACATATTATAAATGGTGTAGCTATTTTAAAATTCCGAAGACATGTTTAAATTTTATTGATAATTGCGTGTATTCACAAACACAAGTGCACTTTCTATTCCTTTCATTTTCAATCTCGGGTGTCCCAGCCATTCACATGACCGGTGAAAAATCAAACGCAGAACCGATGGGCCTCCCGAAGTAAGGTGATAGTCGCCGCGTATTCCCAACTTCGGGCTATATATGGCCGGACCCGGGAATCGAACCCAGGACCTACGCATTGACATATGTAACTGTAATGCAAGCCACTAGACTAAAGTATAGATTTGTATGAAAAATATATTTACACAACAGACCATTGTCCAGATTTAAAAAAATCCCAAATCTTTGCTAATGAGTATATTTTGAAAGCAGAAATTAATATTTTACCTGTACTTGTCCTGATGCGATCATAGTTTCGATAGGCGTTGTAGTCGGCAATTCTGCAACTTTCAATGAAATCTCCACTGGTCGGGCGGCTCTTACTATTTCTTTAATTTCCTTAATATCCGTATTTTCGACAAGCGGCGACAAATCTGTTGCGTTTATAACTGCAACATTATCTGCTACACTGCCCATATTATTATGAGACTTCACTTTGTCACTAACGATCAATCTTTCTTGTAAGTGTGGGAACATTTGTTTATGGTCGCCTACGAAGTATGTATGCGGCATATAGGCGAGTTTCTCACTATACTGGCTGGCTAATTCAACTGGTGATGTCACAGCATCGGTCACCAAGTAGTCCATATAACTGGCCCCGCTCGTGCCAGGATAACCCAACCACATAACTTGGACTGGGGCAGGCCGTAGTGCGAATATTTCATTTCTAGCTCCCTTAGTATAACCATTCATGTTTACTAGAATATGAATACCGTCTGAATAAATCTTATCAGCTGCTTTTCCATTGCAAGGCACCTGAGATAAGTCAGTAAAGTGCTCAGCTTCTCTAGCTATTTTCGAACGGAATGTTGTGCCGTCATCTGGGCTAAGTGCATAACAGAAGATTTCAACTTTAGCACGGTCGTGCAATCCGGGAACTGATTGCATTAAGTGAGAAGTTGGATGATTTCCAAAATCACTGCTTACATAGCCGATACGTAGGCGACAATTTAAATCTCTGGGGAATTTGTATGGGGGTTTGTGTAGAACTTGAACTTTTTCAAGGCACAAATTGGCATGTCGGGCGGCAATAGCCTTTCTGAACTCGTGCGTAAGAGGATACAGCATTGAATGATGAGGATGGACTGAGGGTAATCTATTTTTCTCTAACTGTTCAGCGACAATGCTAACTAACTTCTTCATTCGCGCTTCATAGTCCGTCCAATCGCATACAATTTGCAAGCAATGAGCCAAATTGCAATATGCGTCTGGGAAATCCGGTTTCAACTTCAACGCTGTTCTATACGATTGAATTGCTTCTGGAATGTTTCCGGAGTCTTTGTGGATGCTTGCAAGATTGCTATGAGCATCGGCAAATGCTGGATTAATTTGAATAGCCCTTGTATAGCATTGTAAGGCACCGGCAACATCTTGCATTTCCTTGAGGGTATTTCCCATATTACTGTACGCATCCGCGAATGTCGGTTGAATACGAATTGCTTCTTTGTAATGCATGAGTGCTTCATTCAATTTCCCTTGTTGTTGTAAGACTGAGGCTAAATTGCTGTGAGCAGCGGCAAATTCTGGGAACACTTCTAGTGCCTTTAGGTACAGACGAGTAGCTTCTTCTATGTATCCTTGTTCACGTTTGATATTAGCCAAGTTGTTCAAAGAGTCAGCATGTGAGGGACATAATCTTAGTGCTGTGTTGTAGCATTCTTCTGCGTCGGCGACTTGGCCCTTTTCTTTTAGAGCATTCGCCAAGTTACAGTACGCGTCGGGGAAATTAGGTTGAAGTTCTATGGCACGCCTGTACGTGTCGATGGCCAAGTCAATGAGTCCCTGTTCATAATATACGCAAGCCAAGTTTCCATGAACAACTGCATTATTCGGTGATAAGTTGAGTGCACGTAAATAAGCTGCTACGGCTCTGTAAGAAGAATTTGTATGCTTGAAGTTTTCATAGGACAACTAAAACTATATTATGTAACTAGATATTTCATAACAAAAAAAAAGATAAAAAGGGCGAAGATAAAAATACCTGTCAAATATTCTGGCTTCCTTCAACACATTCCCTAAGTTGATATAAGCATCCAAGAAATTGGGATCCAATGCAACCGCCTTTTCAAAGTGATGAATTGCCAACCATATTTCACTTTGCGCGTTAAAAACGCATCCTAAATTACTCCAAGCAACTGCAAAGTCTGGCCTCGTTTCGATGGCCTTCAAGTAACATGCCTACACACACGGAAAAAACAAATGTTAAAGGTCGATCTAACATTGTATTTTACACTGATGAAGTTTTGAGATGTTTTTTACGCCAAAGTATAAAGTTACACCATAGCTTTGAATGGCAACGGGTGATTATATAAAAAAAAGTCATGCAAATCACCGATTACCAAACAAATATTTCAAGTACATCTACGCCAATTGCGCCCTAATTTTCGAAACTACGCCAAATGCCACAAAAATCAGTAGGAAATGCAAGCGACCCAATCAATACAGTAAAAGACAATTTACACAAAAAAAAATATCCTATTTTTACATTTCGCAGTCAATTCCACTTCCTAGCCGATAGAGGATGGTCACAGTGATAAAGTCAAAGAGCTCGCCCGGTAAACCTGCTCGTAAACAGTTTCTTGCAAACCTTTTACACTTTACCTTTAGCAAATAGTATGTTGTCACCGTGGCAGGATACGATGAGTCGAAATAACCCAAGATACTGCAGTGGTCACACCTACTGTCTTACCAGTACACCTTGTGAAAATATAACAAAATTAGTCGATTTTGAGTCAAACTATTTCACCCGATTGACGTCTTATTTTTTACAAATTATATGAGGATCATTGTCAAGGTGACTGCACGTCGGATTAAATTTATAATATTTTTTTCCCCAGCTAATATATTTAATCTTAATGCATTTTGGTACTATTATTAACTTAATGTTTTTTACAAAGCGTATTAATCGGTAAACTAACGCTATATTCTTATCTAGTTCCAATTCAAATTTTAGCTTTGCAAATACTAGAGTGAAAATAAAAGCTTCAAGCCTGACATAATTTTATGTCAACCTATCAGTTTTAGTTCACGTCGAAATTACGACATCCGTTGCAGTTTGTTAATTTTAACAAAGCTTACCGAAACAAGTTCTACCTCTCCGGCACTCTAGATGATAAGAAAAAATATTTTAAATATATTACAATTCAGTTTAATTCTCTTATGAATGGAATTTTATTATAATATAATCCGACGTCTTAAGATGACAAAATCATATTTAATAAAAAAACAACTCACTAAATCATACCAAAGTATTTGCAACAGACGCCATTGATCCTCCTTGAATACAATAAATCTACAAGCGAATAAAAGTAAAAAATCATATTTTAAAGACAACAGGATTATAATTCGTCGTAAATAAATATTTAAAGTAACGCTTAGAGTATTCCCTCTTAAGACTTGAATCTTCCACACAGTGTTTGTCAGGAGTTTCAACTCATACAACGTCCTTAAAATGAGAGTAATATTACACAAAATCAAGCAATGATGTAAAAACTATCTTTTTAAACACCGTGTGGAAAATTATATAAGATTATACGCTTCGCTGGCTTCACAAAATATTAAATGATTGTTTTACACCAATCATAATATTTAGCGACCAATAGCAAACGGATATTGAGCAAAGTGGAAACGAAAACGCCGTGCTGTGTAAATAATGCGGTTTCCACTTTGTTCTCACGTCGATTGTAATAGTTTAAGCAAACGCTTTATCGTTCTACTAAAATAATATTTAAAAAAACAAATATTGAATATAATTTGAATAAAACTATTACAATGGACGTAAATTACGCTTTGAGCAATAAAAGTCGTTTACGCAATCGCTGTACGCTGACGAAACAGAGAATACTCTAATTATATTTGAGACAAAGGCAACAATAAGAGAATCCTGTTATCTTGGGAGAAAACCAGAAAGCGGGAGTACAAAATCATGTTTACCTTTGCCTCGTCCAGACGTCCTAAGGCCTTGAGCAAATTACCCAAGTCACTTCTAACGCAGTACAGATCCTGTAACAATATTAAATTTCAGCGTGGCATACAATTTCAATGCAAGACAGGAATGCTTATGCAATAACGTAATAAATTGCTAAATTGCTCGTTCTATAACCATTTAGAGCTTTAAGGCATTACAGTAAAATTTTCATTATATAGAATTATTCAATAAAAGCTACCACTGTTTGTGGGATAATTCCAAAAAAGTTATCTAGTATGATATCTATACTATTATTATAAAGAGGCAGAGTTTGTTTGTTTGAACGCGCTAACCTCAGGAACTACTAATGCGATTTTAAGATTCTTTTTGCATTAGAAAATTGTACTTTAGGGCAAAAACTCCGAACGAAACTCGGTAGCCCAGTTACTATTATTTAATCCTCACAAGTCTAGCGTTCATTAAAGTCATATAACCAAGTGGTCTAATTAAGTAATGATCAAAATAGCTCACGATCTGCCTACTACTATAGATTATTGTTAGATGAGGAAGTTAATGCCGCGACCTTCAGGCTATGAGACAATTTATCTTTAGATATGTATGGCGCAAACATCCATAATATGTTATGTTTGATATTGCTTGTAATATAATATGACAGAGGTATAAACACAGCGGTAATCAATTTTAGTAAGGACTAGCGACTTACCCTCGCTTCGCTCGAGTGCGTCCCTAAATAATTTTATTTAAAAAAAAAAGTAGGCTAAATTACTCCTTATTATATATATCAAAATCAGTCTAGCCGTTTCGGAGATTAGTCGGAACAAACAAACAGTCAAAAAATAAAAATTATGTTTTTCTTATAGGTAAGTACCTACCTTATAATATTATGCATTTAGTGAAAAGCTGTAATTTTGATATTACAGACACTTCAATTTTATTTATCTGTATAGATTATATTTTCAAAATTAAGATTGAATGAAGAGGGAATGTCTTTGTAAAGCAATTTTTCGATCTATTTATCCTAGACTAGGTTTTACTTGCGATCTTAAGACTGTGATTTTACATTGTTATATTTGGATAAGCACGAACTGCTAAAAGGCCACTAAAAAAAAGAAATTAAGCTGTAATAATGACCATAAGAACGTAATATTCAATAATTTCAAATAATTTTGATTCAATAATCAATCAAAATTAAGATCAGCTATATTAAAAAGAAAGTGTACAATAATAATTATCCAATAGAATTATTATATTAATATCTATTTGCGGACTCAGCTCAAACACACGCTCAGAAATTTGCGACAAGAGTAAATTCTTTAAATAAATTCTGGTTAATGAGTAGGTATAGCCTGCGATGAGTCAAACTAAGTATGTAACAAAATAGATCAATCTGATGTCATACTCTTTGTTTTTTTTTATAATGAACGGAAATTATTCATAAAATCATTCGTATTATTTACTGATTGCAAAAACATCTATACAGATAAATAAAATTGAAGTGTCTGTTTGTAATGTCAAAATAACAGCGTTTTACTAAATGCATATGAAATTATATACGGTACTTATAAGAAAAACCCTTTTTTTTATTTTTGTCTGTCTGTTCCGGATAATCTTTGAAACGGCTGGATTGATTTTGACGGGATTTTCGCTAAAAAATAGCTGATGTTATAGGGAGTAACATAGGCTACTTTTATTTTAGAAAAAGAATTGGGGTTCCGCTCAAAAAAAAAATTTCTATCAATATGCCTATAGGATACTTTTTACTGAGGGAAACTATCCCATCTCTGAGAAATCTATACTAAACGTTCAAACGTAACTAATGACGAACCCGAGCGGAGGGAGGGTCAGTCGCTAGTAATAACATAAGTTTGTATAAAAATTGAAGTTACACTTAAACAATGGAAATGTTTTAGTTTCTTTCCATTAAACGGTTACAAACACATGTATCAAGGGCTTACGTTTTGTTGATTTGTATTACATAAATATTCAATAGATAAAATTATGCGAATACAATAACAAATGCTCGCACCATGAAATTATAAAACCCACGGTTATTTCATTTAAGCTCAATAAATACACAAAGGTCACTCAAAGTATGCAGATTGTTCATGTACAATATACGAGGTGGGGCTATTAAATAATGAATCTTATGCCCGATTTCACCAACAACCCATAAGCTACCACTTACGTATGGGATCCCTAGCTTAGAAGTCCCCTAAACTAGCCCCTAAATTAAATTTCGTTTTACGATCGTCTTTACGCCCATATTTCGAGCACCTAAATTTAGGGGGCCTTTTAATATTTAGGTGACCCCTAACTGTCGGTGAAACAGAAACTGTCCCCTAACAGCCCCCTAACCATGCTTAGGGGATCCCTTACACTTAGGTGACGTTGGTGAAATCGGGCATAACACTGCTGCAAAAGAAGTAGGCAATATGCATAAACCAAACGTCAGTGACCACCAGTTGTTTAATTTGAATAGTTTTCTTTCGAATGTAGTATCTCTAAATTCTATAAACAAATCCGTATAACTGTAGTCTTCGTTCGCAGTAGAGTTGTTTTTATTTCGCTGGAAAAATTTTAGGTGTAGTGCATTCTGTTGTATAGAGCGATGAATTGATATAGAATTTTACAAAAACCTTGGAAAAGCCGCTACTGAAACTCATATTACTTATTGAAAGAAGTGTATGTCTCTTAATTTTTATCGCGTGCACGTATTTTGAGAGGTTCAAGCGTTTACTAATTGGTCGGGAAAATGTTAAGGATGATTCACGCCCGAGCTGACTTTGCACGTCAAAAACGGGTGGCAATATCAAATTAGTATGTAGGTTAAATATTCGTGAACTCTTATAAAGAAGAAGAAAATCCGAGTCTCGGAAGGACAAGTCATGATTTATCCACCAATACAAAATTCATTCCAAATTGTCCCTCGAGAGGTTCCTAGCCATTTACAGCATCCCAGCGATCATCATCATCAGATTATCCGCCTAATCCTCGGATCTTGTGTCATAAGATTTCTATTTGTTTACCAAGGGAAGCTGTCTGCTTTAATAGGAAAAAGATTTGAGGCCGTTGAAGATGTGAAAGAGAATGTGGAGTTCTGAAGGAAATGACAGAAAAAAAATACCAGCACCGTTTGAAATCTTCGAAGATTTATATAGGACGTGGCAGAGATAAAGGAAGGGTTTAGTATTAGAGCGTCATTCTCAAAAATATCTAATTTCTGAGAAAAAATACAAAAACTGCATTGTAAGAGTATACTAATATGTAAAACCTAAGAATTTGGGTTTTGGTAATCTGAACACGGGCGGAGCCGCGGGCAATGCTAGTAATATTATAAATACGAAAGTTTGTGAGGATGTATGAATATCTGGATGTATAAATGTATGGATGTTTGTTCTCACAAACTTTCACATTTATAATCTATACTAATATCATAAGGAAGTAAAGTTTGTGATATTGCGAGTTTGTGATGTTGTAGGGGGTAATCTCTGGATCTACTGAACCGATTTTCAAAGTTCTTTTACCAATAGCAAGCCACGTTCTTTCTGAGTGTCATAGGCTATATATTAACCCGAAGAATGAAAAGACTTTTTCATGGTAGTCGGATATGCAAAGTCGGAGAAAAAACAGTTGAACGAAAACGTTACTTACGAACGCTGCCTTAACGATGAGAGATATATGAGAGAAAAGTTAAGACCTTAATAATGCCTACAAAAAGGTCAGCGATAGCATATGTCTAACTTTTATATTTTAGTCACAAAAAGTAGTTTTTTTATATTAAAAAATAATTTAAATCGGTAGGTCATGTTTATTGGTCATATTATCAACAATTCTGAATTCTTATCAAAATAAGAAAATTTATCGTCTAAAATGTTTAAAACAAAAAACTTTTTCCTTTTACTGCATATAATTTGGACAAATGGTTAAAGAGATAATACAATATATTCGTAGGTATGGAACCGCAACCGTGTCGTAATCTATTGAGTGATATTTCTATGGTTTTTTTTTCATATACAATACTAATACTATGCATCAATCTATCTATACTGGGAAACATAGGATATATTTATCCCGGAAATCTATATATTATATATTTTTATCCGAATTTTTATATATTTTTATACCGGAATCATCCCTTAAAGAGATGAAAGTTTGTATGGGGAAGCAAGCTAGGGACGAACCCGAGCGAAACGAGGGTGAGTCGCTAGTAGTATATATAAGTACCTGGGCGACTGAGCTTCGCTCTCAGTTCTTTTTTATTATGTCGTATTTTTTAGATAAAACAAAAGTAAAAACTTTGTATCCCGACCGGGATTCGAACCCGGACAACTGTGATTGCCAATTTTTCGCCTTGGCCGCTTGACAACGATGCTTATGCTCGAGCGTGCGAAATTAGCGACCATTATTTGCGTGGAATAATGCGAAAGAAAACCGCATGAAGACTGGAAAACACGCGTTTTCCCAGACATAAGACTAATCTAGATCGATTTTTCGCCCCCGAAAACCACCATATACCAAATTTCTGTTAAATCGTTAGAGCCGTTTCTGTGATCGCCGGTATAAATATAAAAGGACTGTTCGTTTAAATATATTAGATAATAATAATACCATATTACTTTTATTCTTTTCTATTCTTCATTTTTTAAAGTCTTCTTTTCATTTGTCTTTTATTTATGTTGTAACCCTTCCAAAATATCTATTTTCTAAATGATTGCAAATATGGAATCTAATTTAACGCAATTATTAGTGTAATCAATTTATTTAATGTAAAATTAAGGGTAAATAAATAATAGTATTATAAACCTAAATAAACAAAATTTATTATAAACCATCACTTTTGATTTCACCATAAAAAAAACTTGTTAAACTATGAATATAATAGTTATTATACTATTAGTAGTGAAGACAAAACCAACAAAACAAAGATTATAAAAATCGTTCCAGCAGTTCTCGAGTCGTAAGTGTTGTAACAAACCCGACTGTTTTATATTTATATAGATGACACAAGTACATAAATTGATAACAAATAGAAAAATTTTCAAGTTAAGGTTAAAGAATCTGTAAATAAATAATCAGATAAAAACAAACACTGGGACATTCATACATACTCAAAAATAACTTGACTTACAGGGTTATACTGCAAAGCTGTGACGTAAGCTTGAACTGCCTGTTCCATATCACCAGCAGCCACAAGAGCTGCTGCCAAATTGATGTAACCATCTATGAAGTCTGGCTTTAGCCTTACTGCATGACGATAATTCTCCAAAGCCTCTTGAAGTTGCCCACGCTCTTTGTACACATTGCCAAGGTTGCTAGAGGAAAGTTACAATACTTGTGATAAAATGGTTAAAATAGTACACATTTGATTGGATTGGACAGTAATGAATCTTATAAAGAAAATTCAAAGATATCATGAAAGAATTTGAAGTAATATTGGTAAAAATAAAATATTTCATATTATTATAGGTATTCTACTTAAAGAAGGTTCCAGACACATTCATTTTTTTTCAAGTCGGCTTACATGGCTAGATTGACTTATAATAAAAATGTAGAATAAGGTTATATGATATAGGAAGTAGTTATAAAAATCTATACTAGTGGTACATTATAAACTAGCAATTAACATTTGCATATGTATGGAGCCCAAATTAAAGGTATAAAGTAAAATAAATACCTGTAAGCTTCAGCCAACAAGGGGTTTTGTTTAATAGCTAATGTTGAAAAATGAGCAGATTTGTCCAAGCGCCGACATTGGAAATGAATAGATGACAGCAACAACAACACTCCCGTGTTAGTGCCATCCTGACGCCATAACTGCATACAATGCAGTTCCGCACTATCGTAATCTCCAGCTTGATACTCTCTATGAGCTAACTCCAATAATCCTATAATAAAGAATAATGGTACTAAAATTTCTTCTACTACTAACGTGGTTTAGGGAAAATAAAATCAATGATTACACATTTCACAAGTTACATCCAAGCAAATAACAATAATAATCGAAATCAACGCAAATATATCTAAATTATGTTACTACAATACATACCAACGGTAGATATCTGTTGTATTTCCGACATTTTCAAGATCACCGCATTTGCAGGGACACCGACAATTTGTTGAGGCTGTGTCGTGACAGATTGTGGCACGGCAACATTCGCTTGCGGTTGCATTTTTGTTATCATATTTCAATTGTAGTACGTTTTTGTTCCAAAATATCTTAACACTACACAAAACACTTATATGTATCACAAAAAAAACCTAGTAATTTTCCATGACGGACAATCACATTCACAATGAGACTAATACAGAAAAGATTATCTCTTCACTCTAGCTACTGGCCTGCAATGTCAATTGCCAATCGTAAAAGTTAAAACGCAACGATTAGCGGAAGCGCCTTTTTATATTTTGTCTATGGCATTTTAATAATTCATTGACATTCTAAATAAAGTTTTGTTTCTTTGATTTCCTATGAAAAATTAAATATCAAAAAAATATATTTTAGAAATGGATGAATTAAAATATATTACTATATTGTAAGCATTTTTTTTCGGACACGTAATTACAATTACGGATAATTGACTCTTATTTCCGGTTAAAACACGCAGCGAGGTACCGTCAGCCCGTCAACCATGTCAGGGCCCATCCATTGCTTAGGTTGGTAATTTTAATATTTCTATTTCCTATTCCTTTTTTAGTTCCAAGAATCCCAATTACAATTCATTTAAAATTTAAATTAAGCGCGGACAGGCAGTTAACATAAGCTTAATTCTATAATACATTTTCATTCTTTCATAATGATATTAGATATACGATTAATAAAATGGATTTTCAAAATACTAATAATAAATATGTACATACCTAATAATTTTATTTATTTTTTAAACCTTAAAATCCTAAGCTAAGATATAAAATTCAGATCATTAAAAGAATGTATGTATTAACATTATAAATCAATGTTGAATACCTGCAGTTAAGTATATATTGAAGCATATTTGAAAACAAATTACCTAGTAAAAATAGTAATCTTTGAAGATTGCAGCGGAAAGAATATCATCATTTTCAGATAATAACAATGGTTACTATAGTAACCGAGATGGCTTTTCGCGACAATTTCTCGTGACGCAACCTTTACACTTTAGGCCGCGCGCACTTTGAATACGCTTTCGTCCGAATTTTACTCGTGCGAACACGCACGAATTATCCGCACCTTTCAAGTACTATGGAGTATGGAGGCGCGCAGACTGCGTGCGAGTTAGTCGTATGTATACGTGCGTATAGTTCCGACGTCAGAATACAATCCGAACTTGTCGGGATTTTAATATTTTAATACACTTTCATACGTTAAAAATTATAAATGGGTGTAGAAACATTAATGAACATTAATGTTTGTTTCTTCATACGTGCATAACCATGAAACAGTATGTGGTCATATAAGTCTTCCATAAAATGAACGAATTCACCGAATTCGGTTCTACGATAGCGAAGACGCCGCCGCAGTCTCCGAGTTCCTGAGAAAAAGGGTCTTGACAGACAGACAGACAGATGATCCTATTACTTCGTTCGTTCTTAGGTTCCTTATTACTAATGAAGTACGAAACTCTAAAATAAAAAAAATAGTTTATAATAAAACAATAATACGTACTGTTGTAGGGTTTATTAAAAAAATGAGTACAAAATATAACATATTTGATATGAAGATATGGACGGATATCAGAGATCAACGTAAATACTTTAATATAAATGCAAAACTTTAATACTGATATTAAATTTTATAATTACTTATCCTCTTAAATATTTCTAGTTATAAAAATGAGTTTAAAAACTCTTAATGCATAACATATATTAATTAAGCTTAATGGATAGGCGGATTTTATATATTATAAACTTAAAAAATCGATAATTCGTAATAGTAGAAGGTCAGAAGTAAGTTCACCTTTATTCTTCTGCTTACCGATGAAAAGTGTTTTGACTTAAATTTTTACTTTATTATTTAATAAAGAAACTTTATCGCAAATAGGTTCCCTATTGAAATATGTTCAAGGGTCTCATTTTCTCATTACTAATAAATTATTAGTACATCACTAATATGTCCAATATTTGACATTTTAAATAAAACTATCTTTTCGGATTTTTTCGAGAATTTATTTTGATTTTTGGTTCCCGACGTTTCGAATGCTTTACAGCAATCATGGTCACGGGAGAATCTCTCCCATGTCGGAAAGATATCCGAAAAAATAGTTTTATTAAAATGTCCATCCCTAATTGATTTTTACTCTATGGTGCACACTTGTAAAAAGATTGCACTACATTGTATTAAAATCATATTAGTAGTTTTTATTATTTAATCCAGATAAATACTTACTTCAGATCTTAGACTATATTATTATTTAATAGTAAGATTATATTTTATTCTATATATGAAAGTAAATATGCAATTTCCATGAGGTCTTGCGGCACAGATTCGTGATAACACAAGTACAGTTCTCGCGGTTCTGGCTCACTAAAAACTCGTCTAGGAAAAAGGAAAAAAATCATATTTTTAGTATAAATCTATCTTTTCCATAAGTACTAAATGTCTCTAATTTATGTATAACACGCAAAACTATTTTGAGTATTTAGAGTATTTTTGGATCTTCTGTAAATTAAATTTAGCTATGTTTTTTTTTTAAATAAAATCAGTGTTATTGAATTCTATTAAGTTATCTATAGATACGTGATGTTTGAGTAGACTGCCAAGTAAGACAACAAATATCCAAATAATAATAATTTTATAAAAAATATATACATACATATATATTTTAGTAGGTACCTAGTATAAAAAAACTTATTATCAAAAATGTTAAACTTTTTGTTAATAAGTTGACATCAACTTGATGATGGATGGATGGACAACATATTACATAAAATTATTAAGGCAAATAATAGAATTAGTAAAAAAAATCTCTCTTCTCATTTGAACTTACCCGACTACCCAAAATAAAAATGGTTCACAATTTTTTTTACTGATACCACACTGACTCAGTACTTCTAGTGGCGCTTCAAACAACATGCCATATTCTTTGACGGCCACTAAAATTTTGTTTAGTGGACTTGATGGTGCTTGGTTTCTTTTGAATCTAAAAATATTTACATTTATTATAGGTACCAACAAAATTACAGCGAAAATAAGATGAAAAAGTATAATTATATTAAACTAAAGTATTTTTGAAGTGAGAGTAAAATTTTTACGGTGCGCGCACACACCGAAAGCCAGAAAGCGACATGATGAAGTTAGGTGAAAGCTACATAATAAAGTTAGCTGCATTCCTTTTACAAACAGGCAGTTGTGACATACGGGATGAAATCTTTTGCTATTTTTGTTCTGTTACGCCAAAGAAGTATAACTTCTTACGGCCTTTTTATTTAAATTAAAATAATTCTAGTGTTAAATATAACTATGTATCCCATCCTTAGGGATGGTATCTTTTTTTCTTAAAATTTATATGGATAGTTCCTTTAGATATAAATTATTTATTAAAATAATAATCACAATTTTCTCACAATAGATTTCTTTCAATATACAATAAAATATACATAACACCAGAACCATTTAAAATGACTCACTTTATACTATGTTGCATTAATTCATGTATTTTCTTGCTGGCACTTCTAAATGTTTTCACTATATAAGAATACAAAGCATTATTCGCTTGCATTTCTATGTTCTTAACTGGCGCTATGAAAATACCCTTTTCAGATTCCAACTGTACAAAATGAAATAAAACGTTTTCTTCACCAGCGGTTATTCTGAAAAAACACTTAAAGGATTATTACAAAATGAAATGTCTAAATTAAAACGATTTTTAATACAATCTCTCTGGATTAATTATGATTTTTGAATTATAATAATATAATAAACCATTGTATTATTTCAGATTTATACTTTACGAGTCAGTAAGTGAATTTGTCTCTCACTTTTTCTTATATGCTTATATATGTTTATCGATACAAAATAAAAGAAATTAGTACTCGTATATTCTAGACATCTGCACAAAAAATACAGGCTGCTTATTAAAACAACTAATAGTATACCTTTTTACAGTAACATGATTAAGTTCATCAAGTAACGACTTTCTTATATCAGGCATGTCCGTAGTACTTGATCTACTGCTCTCCTGTAAATGTCAAAAGCCTTTAATTAAAAAATTCATAAAACTTGAGCTATTCAATTTATTTTTTTTGTTAATGGCTTCAAAGCTTGCCAGGTTGAGCACAGATTATTTTGCCAATGTCACATAGAATCAGGGCCGGATTCAACCTTAGCGCCCCCCGCCCCCCTGGGCATAGTAAAAAATGCCGCTCTATTATCGAAATTTTGCATAAAATGGGTAGTTTTGAAAAAAATATTTTTTTTTATTTATTAACCTTTTTAAAAATGCAAAAAGAAAAATTTATTTATAAATGATTTCAATTTTTCGAGAAATGTACTAGTTAATTTTTTTTAATTAATAATTTTATGGAAAATAAAGAAAGCGTTTTCGATAATTGGATAAAAGGGATGAGAATTTTTTTCCCACCTTCCGAGTTTTGCCGCCCCTAAAAATTTGCCGCCCTGGGCACTAGCCCCGAGTGCTCCTCCTAGTGTAAATCCAGCGCTGTATAGAATTGAGAAGACACGAAGGAGATTAGTACTTAAGCTATTCCGAAGGTAACATAGCAGTGGCGAAGGGTGAAACTTTAGCAGAGATAAGGCGTTCCAAAAATATACAATTTTTATATATGTATTAATGCAGAAAGAAAAAGCTAATAATTATTATACATATTTTTCCAAAAGAACATTAATTATAAAATTAAATGTATGTAAAATTATATCAAAATAATTTTAAGGTAAGACATTTTGTATGGACCCTTCGCCACTGTAACATAGACATATAGAGTGGACTGAGTATCTCTTTGTCAGTCATCAGCTAAAAAGGGCGGACAGGCGCGACAGAGACAAAACAAATGTGCGGCCAGAAGCCTTCTGTATTCATTGAAATACGATTATATTTTTATATTTAATTTATTAATGAAACCTGTTTATCCCAATCAGACTCGGATCCTGAGGAGTCTCGTCTATTCTTCTGCTCTCTATCTGCTCTTCTACCAACAATTCTGTCATCGCTTATTTCACTAAAAATAAAACCAAGCATTAGGCAAAAGTTAAATATTAACTTTATTAAATAGTTTAATAGTAGAAAAACTTCTGAAAAAAGAAAACAATATTACCTATTACTCTTCAAACTGCCAGAATCTTCAGAATAACTAACATCTATACTGGAATGTCTGTATTGTTTTTGTGGGCCGTTATACCACTGGGCGTGCAAGTTGTGTTGACTTGCGCTATGAAAATTGTGCGTAGAATTCTCAATCGCCATATTTATTAGTTCACTTGAATTGTGACGCCTTTTGATGTCTTGTTGTGACTTTGAAAGTTTTAGTGTTGGGTTCTTTACATCTGATTTGGATGCTGTAATTTAATTTTTATAACTATATTTCTTTTTCATTGAAATGTAGCTTAACCAAGTGTTTACTTTAGAGAAATCTACACAGGAAAAGTAGTCCCATTAAAATCTAACCGTTAAACAGACCGACAATCAAAAACTTGACAAATTGGTAATACTTGTATATACTAGTCCTTAAAATTTCTTAAATATTAATATTTTTAAATAATTTATTGTTCTTGACCTCTATATAATATAATTTATGGTAAAGAAATGTAATGGCTATTTAGAATGTATCTGAAAAAGAAACTATTTGCAAATAATATAACATACATACAAAGACTCGAGAGATTAATTATTTACTTACAAGTATTATCTCTTATTTTCTTCCCATACTTTGTTAAGTATTCAGGGGTTGTCTCAACTTGAGGCTGGGTGTTGGACGAAAACCAATACTGTAGGTATTTGTTTAATCCAACATCAAATAACAATTCAAGGCAGCTTTCACACTCTTCCACATAAAAAGGTGACGGTGGAGTTACTCCCACAGCCTACAGGTAATAAATAATAAAGTAATTAAGCAAATAATATAGGTAAATTATGTTATTAACATTTGTAAATTGAATATTTCATCGCTCTGAGTATCTCACTGTACAGTATTGGCCTCATGCAAGCACACCACTACCTCACACATCTTCTTTTCTTAGTCCTGCTTTTCTCAACTATTATTATACCATTATAAATAGAAATAATTCACACATGAACAAAACACAAATTTCAAGTTGAAAACTTGAACTCACTTCAATTGGCCTTCTACATGTTATAAAATGAGCACCCCTGGACCACTAATGCTTTCTATTTTTGCTAATCCATTTACTATAATTTCATAACATAATTTATTCTGAGTTAGAAAAAATAGTATATTTGGTAATAATAATGTTGTGTTGATTAAATCGATGAAATAAAAAAAAACTATTTACTGTTATTATTTAGGTACATGTGATAAGATAGGATATACATAAATAAAAAGTCTAAAGTACATATTTAAACTAAAAGTCCACACTAAAAATGTTACTGTTATCATTTACAACAAGTAAGTTATTACAAAAGTTACATACATCTTCTGTACAGCCTCCAGCTTCCATTAAAGTGGAGAGTATAAAATGTCCTTTTCCAACAATAAGAATAAACCATCGGCCATCTGGAATTCTAAAATAACAAGTAATAATGCATAATATAATTATGTATTTCGCTTATATTTGTTTATATAGGACATAAATATATTGGTTCAAAATTTTATTGACCAGACTTTATATTTATTCTATTATTTCATATAAAAATATTTCATGACTATGGCTTTTGAGGCAAAAGATTAATCTTATTTAACTTGTTATAAGGCATTGGTAGCCGAGTGAAGTCAAATCCCAGGTCTCGCAGGAAGCACGAAATCACCTAGCTAATTTTCAAAATACATGTGAAGTCCACCCACACTAAGACGATAAAAAGGGTTAAAGACACATTTTGTTATAAGAAATAAATTATTTTTATTTGTTATAACAATATAATTTACTTTAATTTTTACTTAAAAACCTGTAGTGTACATGTACCTGTATTCATTTCCATCATTAGCATGTTGTTTTCTGTGTTCATTGATAAAAACTTCTTTCCATATAACTAATTTTTCAATTTCCCTCTCCATGCTTATGTTTAATATTCCATTTAATTTCAGAAATGCATTTATTTCTTTTAAATCTTCATCTTGTAAATGTGAACTTAACAAATGTCCTGAATAATATAAACAAGCTCCTATTACTGTGTAAAGTCTTTGAAAGTTTTCTACATCATCTGTCTGAAATAAAATAAATTTATTAACATTTTCTTACCTGATAATAATAAATAAAAATTATTAGTAACATTAAATAAATTTCTATAACTTCTACTTTATTTTTTGTAATAAATATATTCTTGTAAGTTCCAATACAATTTTAATGACATACCCATTCCCTATAATCAGCAGCTTCTAATTCTGTAATAGCATCATCAACTTGAATTTTAACTTCTAAAGGTAAAGACACACTATGAGCTGCCAACATTTCTTCAAAGTTAACACTTTGTTGTACACTAACACATTTTTTTCCCTTAGTTTTACTTCCAAATATTAGTGTTACAAATATTCTTGAAAATAAACCATCCAATTTGTCTACATTATTAGGTTTCGTAAAACAAGTTTTAAGTGAGCCATATAAAAATTCTAAAACTTTAACTATTTCATTTATTATCCTTTTAGCTCCAAAAATATCTATTTTTCCATTTGGAAGAGCAACTAACAATAAATCATTACAATGAGATGCATATGTAATATTAATCAATTTATTTTTATGTAAAACTGTAGACACAACAGGCTCACTTGTACCTAAGGATTTGGGTGCTAAGTGATTTAGAGTTAAATAAGCACCTCTTGTGTTGTATAAAAAATTTTGATTGAAAGGTCTTGGAAAGCAATACAGAACTCCTTTGTCATCATTACTTTGGTACTCCAAATCATTTCCACAAATATAAAGAACAGAACACATAGCATCTTTAAGTATTTGAGTTAAAGAATTTTCTGGTGCACTTTTGGATACCAATAACTTTTCCATGTCCAAATTAAAGCCATCTGTTACCACTTGAAATGCTAATTTAGGGTTGTCAACATCCTCAATGACTCTTTGAAGAACCCCATTAATATTATATGATGTTACTTCAATACCATTAATTTTTTGCAAATAATATCCCACTTTCACTTTAGGAATGTATAATGCTTTAGCTTCGGACAAGAATTCAGCAACCACTAAAGTTTTTCCATCTGCATGAGTTTCTAAGCTGATTCCAAATAGTTTCTCTATTTGACAATTTTTTTCACTGCTAAAAATCATGTTTTTACTAACCTGAAAATTATTTTATGTAAAACTAATGATATAGTAATCTTATTCAATTATTTATAAATGATTATATATCTAATTATTTACCTGAATAATGACAAATTTGTTGTTGTCTTCGGACTCTTTTTTCTTTTCGGTTACAGCAACTTTATTTTTTGCTTTACGAGTTTTTATGACTTTAAATATTCTCCCTAAAATATTAAAATCTTGTAAAGATTAAAAGTTTATTTTGTGAATGGCATATTTGAATATGAACACTCATTGTAATAAAAATATAATGGTTGAACCAATATATATATATGAAAACATATACCCTTTGTCGAACGACGTGTAGATGATCTTTTAAAATCACTTCTTAATTTAAAAGTATCGCAGTTTTCTAGTAAGGGTGCCTGGGAGTCGTCTAAACTTTCGTTAGTGGCTTTAAATTTCATATAAACAAGTTCTCCATCCTCGCCTATATCAGAATCCCATTCAGGGACTGAACTGTAAAATAATTTAAAGTTAATGACAAGATTTTTTCTTTAAAAATACAATTGGTTTTTCTAAATAACGGCACCTTTCAGAGTCCGAATATTTTGAATCATCTGACGAATTAGTCCAGTCATGATCAGATTCATATGGGCTTTCATAGTTATTTTTATTTTTGTAAGTATTCATATTATATAGGTATCTTCTCATATATTGTAATTTAAAAAATATAATTAATCTATTGGTCCAAGTTGTTTATTTTTGAAAGTTTTGATAAAGTTTTTGACAGTTCTTAATGTCATCATGTCATGATCATGCATGACAAATAAAAGTCATAATTCACCATCCTGGCATCCACAGAAAACAAAACCATAGAAAAAAAAACTTAAAGACCATAGCTTTAAAAATAACCCAAAAGTTTATCTGGTCTATAACAAATTAAGTTTTAATGATTTCATGATATCCATTTTCTTTGCATCCTGACGCTGCACAAATTTTGTCATTTTAAATAAAAGGAAAAAAAATCCACCTACGCTAGAGAGCTTTACGATATACTGAGGGCTATAGTGATAGCGACATCTGGCGGAAGAAAAAGGCAATTTTTTTCCCCAAATAACTAAATTTGTAAGTAAATAGTAATAATTCCTTTTTTTAATTTTTAAAAAACGGCTGACGATATTAATTGGAACTAATTCATCTATTTTATTTGTCATCTATGGAATACTCATTAATCAATACCATTATTATTTATTATTTATCTATGTTAAATTATGAATATCACACATTTTATTTGTCATCCATATTCCATGATCATCATATAGTATATTGCTAGTTGCTACATATATAAAATGATCATTGATCAATGATCACACATGTCTTTGGCACGAAAATTCAAAATGCATACATTTATGAAATAGAGAAATGATTTAATGAGATTCAATAATTGACAAAAAGAAAATAAAATGGAAAATGCTTTATTTTTAAACAATAAATCTAATTTTTCTTTAGATACATGCATTGATAACAAACGATCAGATCAATGGGCAAAAGATAAATTGAAAGATCTGTACAGTTCGAACTCCTTTTATGTTTGCGAAATTAAATCTAAGAACAATAAACGTTATTTTAAAAATGACAAAAATAATTTTCCGGAGAGAGGAAATAATAATGAAAGCTGTGGTAATACGAATGAACCATGTTGTCATGTTAAATTGGTATGTAATAATACACTTTTTCTAGCCCCATATTTATGTACTTTACTATCCATTACCTTAAATGAAGTACTATCAATTACCCAATATAAGAAGTGAATTAGCCATCAATTATGGTATTGTGGGTATGACATCCTCCTTCTTCGGCGGTCTACCTCACTGACGATAGCGAACTTCGTGGGGCAATTTTAGTGCACATGCGTAGTAGCATATATATAACTCAGGTCTACTCTCATATTCCGGTGGGAAGATAACTCGACACGACCGGCGAGTCATAAGGCGGAAGACTCATTGAGAAACAGCAAAACCGACTGCATATCGTACTCTCCGAGGCACGGGGCTGTACACACGGCCGACTTGCTAACTCCGGACTGTTACTGAGTAGGTATTTCGTGACGTATTTTTACCCGACCAAGGATTCGAATCCATGACCTCACGATCTGCATCCGTACATATTAGACATTAGATGTAGTATATAATACGAATATCATTAAAGTAGACCTTCCAGAATACATTTCTGCGATTAAAGGACAGCACTAAACAACTTTTATGTCTACTTGAGGAAATTCAAGCAAAAGTACATACAAAGAATATAATTCCCGACGAAAATCCAAAATTTAACGTTTTCCAATGTGATTTACAATCAAAGGTATATATGTTTTTCTATTTAATTATTACACTCGTATAACAACGAGAACAAGTATGACTTATAAATTAAATTTTATTACTTCAAATAGGTACCTACGTTAAAGTACAAAATTACGCTTTTTAATAAAGATTTTTTTAGGAAATAAAGTCTGTGACAAATGTAATTGACTTAAAGAGATTAGAAAGTCATACAAGGAAACTAGGCACCATTTATATCACGGTAAATAGTTTTAAATAGAAATGAAAAACTCAAGTGAAAAATCCAAGTGGTCCTTCGAAGTTAGTTTGGTAGTTTTAATTTTATTATTGTTTAGAATCAAAATTCGCAAAATATTCTATTAAATTTATAAGTTACTACTCAAGAATATAAAAATGTAAATATAACCCTCACTTCGCTTGGGTTCGTCACTTGGCACGTTTTAAGAGTTAGTATAGATTTCTCAGAGATCAGATATTTTCCCGCAGTAAAAACTATCTTAAATGTTGACCCGGATAACCAGCTATCATCATACCATATTTTTCCAGTGGTTTTCTAGTGATGCGTTCCCAGACAGACAGACAGACAACAATTCTAAAAGCTATAGATTCGTCCTCTGTGTCGATAATAATGACTATATTTCAATAAGATTTTATAAAAAATATTTAATGTATAGATTTGACTCAGTTAAAATTTTAAATTACACTAGCGGCTTACCTCGCTTCGCTCAGGTTCGCCTCTAGAAAAACTTTTTATATTATTTAAAGCTATTTATATTATTTAAAGGATGAACATGATGACTGTTCAATATACAAAAGATTAATAAGAAAATGCCACTGTCTAAATCATCCTGATTACAATGATTTTGTCATACATTTCAACGAAGAGTCCAAATTCACAACGAATAACATCGGTGAATTAATAAAAAATATGCGCATTTTAAGAAAATTTCTTTATATGGGGGGTACCTATACTAAAAACGCTCTAATGTTTTTATATGAAGTGAGTAATACTGTGGTTTTTTTTTACTTATTTTTATTTATTTTGAGTTTCATATGATGTCACTATGTATTCGATCCAAGACCCTCGTAGATGCAATATGTATCTACTTGTATCTATAATTAGAAGTAAGCTATACTCCCTTGTCTTTTGCCTCTACGTAACTCCTATATTATGTAGTTACTAGTTATATATTTTATTACTCGGTGATAAAAATAGTCATATCGAGCCTTCGCTTAACAATAGAAAACAAACAAACTCTCTTTCGAATGTATTATGCACATATTAGTAATTATATTCCGCGGCGTCTCCCGAATAGTTTTTATGTATAATTGGTCCACTTCTAATAAATAAATTTCCTCGAGAATTTGACTATAATTTAAACAATCTCGTCAGTTTTATAAAATTAGTAAATACTAGCGACTCACGCTCGCTTTGCACGGGTTCGTCCCTAGGTTGCTTCCCCATACAAAGTTTCATCTAAATTTTTACCCCCTTAAGGGATGATTTCCGGAATAAAAACTATCCTATGTCCTTCCCAGGATCTCAAAGTATCTTCTTACCAAATTTTCGGTTCAGTAGTTTCGGAGCGTATTTGATACAAACGAACCAAAAACATTTTTTTCCTCTTTATAAAATTAGATGTTTGTAAAACGTAAAGTTAGTTATATTATATATTTTGATCATCAATTGGACTCAAATTCTTAGGGTTTATTAGAATCACAAAGACATGAGAAACTCGAAATTATACAAGGATGCGCACACGCAGACATTTGTAATGTTTTTGATGAACACTCCATAGTGACTACTTGCATAGCGTGGCCTTGTAAATATAAATACTACGGAAATTATATGACGCAAGTCAGTATTTATTTTGTCAATTTTATTATTAAACGTTAAATTAGAAAATATATTTTAAAAATAATAATTAATGAAATAACTGTTTAATTAATAAGACTATAGGTACTTATATAATATTATGTAGGTCAGAAAGTGGTAACGCACTCGCTTGAGAAACCAAGTGAAACGGGTTCAAATCCCGAGTCTCGCATCTCTGATATTTTCATGTGCGAATCGGTTTCAACATGATTACTACTCGTCTTACGGAATACATCGTGAGAACACCTGCATGTCTGAGAGAACCTAGCAAGTTGTCGAAAGACATGTGAAGTCCACCAACTCGCACTTGGCCAGCGTGGTAGACAATGGCCTGACACCCCTCGTGCCCAGTTAAAGTTAGTTAAAAAGGGCAAAATGCGAACACAAAAAAGAGATCGTACCTAACTATAAATATATATATTTTTAATACCTACTTAGATACTTAATTTTTTAGAACTTAGCAGCAGGATTTTTATATAAACTAGCAGATATAGAACAAGGACGAAGATATTTGAACTATAGCTCTAAAATTGCTAACGATATAAGAAAAGTTTTAAGACAAAAATCACCATGCCTAGAAATAGATATTGTTGATTCCTTAAATGCTACGTTAAATTTACTTAAACCAAATTTTGCCAAAAACTTCCCTGTGACATGCTTCGCCAAATCAGTATACGAAGGTAATAAGAAGAAATTAATTTCAAGAGCACAAAATACTTTTAGTAAATGCAATAAATATCACTTTTACTCAAAGGAGCTATTTAATATAAAAAGAGCAAAGATCATTCCGGAATACACTCAATAAAAATATTCTTTATTTAATGTAGGTATCTATGAAGAAATGTAATTGACTATAGAAAATCAAGAAATTAAAGTTTTAATAAAGGCCATACATTTTACAGGCATAGGACCAAGACTTATTAAGGACTTATTTCAAAATCGCCAATTCATGAACTTTGATGAGATTTATATGTATCTTGACTTACTGAAGAATTATAGCAATTGTGAAAATGAAAGTGAAATTATACTTCATTTACCAGCCCTTTTGATACTCTTCAAGCAATTGCTCATGGAATATGATAATAGTGAATTGAATATAATGGTCACGAGCATCCTTAACAATATAGTCTCAAAAAATATTGTTAAAAATAATAGACAACTGATGGAGACAAAATTGGCCTTTGCGGATACAGCTACTGAAGTATATTATAATAATTTAAAACTTAAAATGTTTTTATGATTAATTTTAACCATTCATATTTTCATTTAAAAAGTAAAAAATATTAAAATATTTTTTTGTAAGTGATTTTCTATTATTATAAATATTTTAGGCAATCAAAATGAAAAATGAGATGTGCCAAAAACCATCTAAGAAACATAATTGTAGGAAAATTACAAAACCCAATAAATTTGGTGTACATATATCACAAAATAAGCAACATCAACCATCTAAACAGAAAAGTATTCCATATTCTATAATACTACTTTTTGTAATAATTATTCATTACTTTGAATACAAAATATTTTATTTTATTTCAGATTTGAGCATGCCCTTAATTAACAGATCTAGGAAATTTTCAAAAGGTAATTATTTTTATGATTTATATATTTTTCTTTTATTAAACTGTACTCTGTGCAGAAAAGTTACAAATGCATCATATACTTTAAAATTTCAGATTTCAGAAAATCAATTATAATAGTGCCAATTGAAGAAAAATAAATATTTTATAATAAATAATATATTTCTTAATAACACAACATGTAAGAACAATTAATAATAATATAAAAGTACAACACAAACACCTTTAAAAGCAATTACCTAATAGGTAATTAAATAAATTAGTGTATAACTTTACAAAATACAAAAGCACGTTACAAAATACTCTGAAGCATCTCTCCACATTCCAATATTCACAGCTAATTTTGGTATTATTTTACAGCTATACTCTTATATTCAATATGAGGTTTTATCAGAATAAAAATGCGATTTTTTCTTATTAATGAAATAGAACAATTAATAATCATCTATGATCTCTGTTCTTAATGTGTTGATGTTTTTTTATTTAACCCAACTAAATGAAAATCAATAGAGGAATGTTATGAAAATAAAGAATTTGAAAAGAAAGTCTTTGAAAAGAAAGTAGTCTTTAACTTTAAAAGTACTGCCTTAGTTATATGAACAGTATGAGATCCAAAATATAGTTATAATGAAAATACTTCATTGGATAATCAATCAAATTCCCTAGGGTTAAAGTTTTCTGGAGGTTTATCATAATATGTAATTCTTCTCTTATTTAGAGGGTTTGGATTGTTAGGCTTAAAAAACATTGCTATCAAAATATAAAATCCACCAACTATCTTACTCAAGAAATCTAGAAAACCCAAAAACATTGGTGTGGAGTTCTTAATAAATATTGACATTTCTCTGATTAAGGCCAAAATAAAATTGCCCAGAAAATTGACAAATGCAGTGCTACCAGTAAAAATAGCAATGATAAAAGCAAAAAGGAATGTAAAGAATTCCTTAAGATTACTTATTGATAGCATATTTTTAAGGTTTATTGTTATTTCACTATATGCATCATTTAACTTTGCTTCAATGTTAACCTGCTTGCTGTCACTTTTGCCTTTGTAATTATCAACAGATCCAGTTAGTATTGGTTCTATCTCTAAAAAAGCATCTGATATATGTCTTATACATTTTAAAAGTACAATTATTTCTAAATCTCTGAATTTGACACTTTTTACTTGAAACCAAAATGCACCAAAAGGTTGGTTGTCTATCTCTGTCCAGATACAGATTCCTGATGGGTGACCAATAGTTTCGGAATCCGAAATGCCGATCCATTGGATCTTTGGGTAAGCTTTCATAAGTTTATGTTGGGCTTCCGATAAGTGTTTCTTGAATTCGACTTCAGCTGGGCTCACCAATACCACATCACGATAACCAATACGTTCATCTATCAGTCTTCTCTCCAAATAACGGCCCAAGAATATTCGTGACTTCAATAAATCTTTTACGTAATTTTTTGCATTAACCGTGTCCATATCTTCACAATAATCAATATGAGATGAAGTTGATGATAAATTAAATGTACTCCCTCTTGTTATGTTCATTTTTGCAAAAAATAATAATATAAAAAATTCAATTTACATAAATGTTAGTAGGTACTTGTTGTTTAACAAAAAAACAAACACCATTCACCATGACAGATATCATTCGACATTCACAATTGTCATTGAAATGTCATAAAAAGCACAGATTAAGAAGACTAGCAAGTAAGCATGGAAATGATTGCTACTTTTAAATCATTATCACGTGATGAAATTACAACAATTTTTCACGTGATTTCACCTGCTACTTTTCACGCATAGATTTTTGATTTCGACGGTCTGGTGTCACACTTTATATTATTTGCTATTAAAATGAAGTATGAAATGTCACCAATGGCGCTACTGATGTGATATGGAGCAGAGATATAGATCTGACGTAGTTGCATACGTACATGGTGCTTTGAATGAACCTATTTTCAAACAATGAACTTTCCCTCATACTTCTACAGGCTTGGGACTGACAATGTAAAATTAAATGAATTTTAAATATATCAGAGTAATCACACGGTAAAATTGTATTAAGCTAAGTTCCATAATTACATTGGCGTATTTAAAAGTTCATTGTTTTTATGTACAATAAGAATTTTTATAAAAGAATTTTATACACTTTTTTTTTGTTTTTCTTAATTTTTTTAATTTGTTTATAATATTTTTTTTTGCTTTTTGATTTTTTTGATGATTGATTTTTTTATGAGATATCTATATACAATAGTCTTCATTGCTTTTTAAAAATACAAGTTCCGCTGTTCGTTTTCTGCTTAATCGTGCTCTTTTTTGGGTTGCAAAATTTCCCGCTTTTGAAAATACTCTCTCACACTCCACTGATGTCACCACGATGTGACAGTGCTCATGAAATATTTCCGCCAAATTGGGGTACATATAGGAGTGAGATTTTTGTGTCAAATAATAATTATTTTTTAATTTGATTTATATAAATACGATGGCATTGATGGCAACATTCTGTTGGCCTATAATAATGTTAATGAACAAATGAATACCGGGTATATATTCCATTAATATATAATAAATATTATTTTGTAAAGATTAAAAAAAATATTAAGCTAATTTAATTAAATAAAGTGATTTTGTTGATTCTGTTATTGAACTATTTTAATTGGCAATTGATTATCTCGGGTAGTTATAAAAATGTGACACTGTCCTAATATTGCTCAGTTCTTAATAAACATTTGTGAAATTAGGAAAAAGAAAAAGACATTGCAAATTAAAGTGAGTGTTGCATCGTGAAAGTAAAATAATTAGTGCAAGTGGTAAAGTGTTTTATTACAAATCGCCAACCCAGAAGTTTAGTGCTAAAACATTATTGTTTGATTTTGTGTAATTTATGTGTTGAAATAAAATGATCTTTATTATTATTACAATGGAATAATATTCCAAAGTATATAAATGTGGAATAAAATAAATGTGCTCTAAATTTAATTGTTGTTTCTAATTTAAAATTATTTCTAAACAATATTTCTAAGAATCCGAAATCATGCAACTCGAAATAAATAAACTCCCCAATTTACTGATCAACGGTATTAACTGAAAATTGTATTTTGTTGAATAAAAAATCAATAAAAACATCAGTACGAAAATGTATACGGAAAATGCGAGTAACGAAATGCATTCGTGAGTAACGTTTCGGTACTCGGTACTAGATGGCGTACCCGTTACTCGGTAACGAATACATACGGTTTGCTACAGCTCTAGATTTCACCAAGTTGTGATTTGTAGCAGCCACTATGAATTTAAGTAGCAGGTGTGACGTATGATTACGCATTTCACGTGATTTTTCACTTGCTACTCGTGAAATGTTCCATCCCTACTAGCAAGCAGCCAGTAGTGATGTACACTATTCTATTTAGGTGTTAACTACAAATGAATGTATTAACCATGAACGAATTAGAGACTAACCTTAGAGTATACCATATAAGCTACGTATAATCTAAGGTTTTAACAATATCAACCGTCTGTAGACAGATAAGTAAGGCCATTCATGGAATAATATAATCGGAATTCTTAGATAATACTTAAAACTGCGTAGCATTTCTAAATAGTTTGTGCTTAAAAGACATTCAAATTATACGATTATAATTAAGAAAAACATTAGTGATTAAGTTTTATTAAACCCAAAATGTTTCTCTCCGAATAAGATCCGTCGTGCCAACCCTTGCACCGGGTAACAGATAACATCTGATGACGCATATATCCCCCTTTATCGTCCTACTATTGTATGTGCAAATGTTTACATATAAGTGTATGTATGTTTGTTACTCCTTCACGCTGAAACCGCCAGAGTGATTTGGATGTTTAATACACAGTTATACTATAACCTAGAGTAAGTAACACTTGCTAGTTATTATCTACTGTTAGTATAATGGGATAAGAAATATTTCAGTGCTTTATGTATTTTTGCAGTAGCAGGTCTAACTTCTTTATGGTAATCGGGAGAACAGTTACTTCTTAGAAGTTGTTACAAGAAAACTAAAACAGCATATAACAAACTATTATCTTTAGCCATTAACGTTCACGTTTGCATTTTATTTACAATATAAATAATAAAGATTTATAGTTTTTTATATAAAATAAACATAGTTACTTAAAATTTTACTCATTATAATATGAAAGACACATTCATACATAGACCGTACAGACGCATATTGGGTGTGGGTTTTGTAAAACTTTGCATCTGTTAGCATAATTTTAATTACATATTATACTGTATTGCGATTGTGACCGTAGCTTTTTAGGCACCCTAAACGTACACGTTTCACATTCATATAGAAGATATGCTCACACGCAGCACAAAGATCCTGAGTCTTCGGGTTCGAATCCCGGACCAGGTCAAAAATAGTAGATTTTTTCCTTGTCAAGAGATTGTTAAGTAGTTAGCGGCATTACAACCCTGTGCTTTGGAGAGTATGTAAACACACACATATACGCACGCGCGCTCACACAAGGGCATACTACAGTAACGAAAAAAATTGGTAAGAATTATATTTAACATTTTATAATAAAGTATAAGTACTGTATATTACGGCATGTAGTTAAGGAATAGATTATAGATGGCAAGTCGCGATTGATAAATGAAAAAACTAGTACATAGATTAAAAAATTTGTACATTTAATTGAAGTTACAATAATATTGAAATTCAAATAGAATATGTATTGAAATATATACATATACGCAACAAAAGTTCTCGTAAAAACGTGTACTTTGAGTCGGTATTTGTATAGGAAGATATATAATTACAACTTTATATCTTTAAAACATATTAAATGAGAATTAATTAGGTAAGTATCTAAATAAAGAATAATAGACACTAACCTAACAATTTGAAAAAAGAGGTGCGAAGGAAGTACCTCCAAACCTTAAATTAGCAATTTTATATCTAAGCTGGCATAACAGACATTCGAGATATTTATTATTTTTACATGAGCTTAAATCTAGATGGTGCTAAGTTTGAAATAAAGTAATTCGATAATAAATCTTTGTCTTCTTATTGGAACAAGTTGAAACACAATGTTAATAGTTCACATTGCTAAGAATATTACAATCAAGTATAAATATTTTTTTACTATAGCAATAGGAAATATGCATGATTTTTTTTATTTTTTATACAATAGCTTACATCGTCATATTATTAAAAAAAATATCCAGCCCTAAAAAACTAAAATTTAGCATATTATTTTTTTAAATGTCATACCGTAACGGATATTTTAAACGCCCGCCATTTCGCGTGCTTGGCGTGACGCCATAGTATGATATACACAGAGAAATGACTCAATTTGTAGTGTCATATTCGGTCTGACCAATGGTTTTGTGTTTCAACTACTTTGAATGTCCCGCCTTTTTGCACATTCTAATAATTATTTTCTTAATCAAAAAGAAAATATATTAAAAAATATTAATATAGGCTTAATTCAAAAGCGATAAAGATATATTAAAAAAATATTTCATCTTTATTTAAATCACACGCATATTCCCTATTCGGTATATCAGCAAAACATACGGCCCAGAAAAAAGACATTTATGTATTGGCGATGAACAGATATGCATAATTTAGAACTAACGCATATCTATCTAGAACATAAGGATAATTAATGTTTAATTCAATTTTTTTGTTACGGCTGCATTAGTATTGCCGATTAAATATTATATATATATATAAATATAATATATATAAAATACAGACGATGAAGTAATAAGTGCCATTTAATGTGCATTCCGAAAACAATCACGAGGAAAATCTCATCACCGCCAATGGAATTCAAAATTTTATTATGTAGTAAATTCTTAATGTTAATAAATAAGTGAAGTAACTAGTAACTCAATACAACAACACTAATGAAACGATGAAAAATTATTTAACTATGTTTTGAATGCATCATTAATATGAAGTGATGTCACAGAAATATTTTTTTAACAAAACGTTTCGTAACTTACTATTCTTTAATAATAATACACAAATGAAGTCTTCCAACATATTTACTACTAACATAAAAGTTATTGGCATTTGTCTCTAAATGTTTTAAAAATATGTATTAAAAGAAATAAGTTTAATAAGTGCGAGAATTTCTCATAAGTCACATATCTTTAAGTTCTTAAAAATAAAAAATATCTTAAATTTTAATACTTTTCTTATTTAAAAAGCTTAATACCTCTTAAAATTAAGTTACTCTAAAGATACGAAGATATTTTTTTGACTATAAAGACGGAATTAAACTTGCTAGTAATAATTTATTTATTTCAGAAAATATTAAACTAAGGACATAGTAGTTTCTTAAGATTTACGCGAATATTCGACATTTTAAAATGAAACTATCTTTTTGGATTTTGTGGGGAAACCTCTCTGGATATACGTTTCTCCCGTGACCATGATTGCTGTAAAGCATTCAAAACGTCCGAAACCAAAATACTAATATATATATATATTTCCATATGTAATACATAAAACTGCGACAAAATCCGAAAAACATAGTTTCATTTCAAAATGAGAACATAGCATAGAAAGTTATAAAAAATTCCAATCAAATACTACATACAAAATTAATTTGTATTAATTAAATGGTGTTTCTTAAAATCTATGAAATTGTTAGTAATACGAAAACCGTGTCAAATAAAACTGTTATCGCTCACAACCATCACACCTTTTCCTTTCGTTGTAAGGTTACTTCATTAAAAAAATATTTAATAATTGAAGAAATTTTGAAATTTTGACAATACAATTATTATAAATATCAAGCATTTTTCGAGTGTATCTTTTACGGCATCTTAATTAAAAATATGTCAATACTAAGAAACAAAACTATTTTTATAACATGTTCAATTACCTGCCTTGCTATATACTCATAAGTATTATCATTTTGTTAAAACTCAAAAAAATGAGGTAAATTCGAGAGTATTTATATACTTTATTATACTTAAAAATGAGTTTCAGTCATTACTTATATAATAGAGGCACATACATCATATAATATACATATTATATGTATATTAGGAGCCTCTTTGTTTGAAGTCAAGTACAAATTAAAAGAAAACCACCCCGGCTTTAAATTCTCAAGCACCCTGTTTTCATTTAGGCCATACTAACAGAATAGTGAAACAAAAATATACTTTTCAGTACATGTGACTATGATTATTAAGTAAAGTTCTGTTTTAATTCTATATTACAAACTACAACACAGCCCTATGGAAGGACATTACGTTTACTCTTATATTACATACATGCTCGTATTCATTTAATCCGGGTCATATAGGAAAACATCTATTATGACGTCATACATAAGTAGCTTATTTAAATATTAAAGATGAATAAATCGACAAAAAATTACATTCCTATAATGTAAATAATATACTATTTGCATCTGGGAACTGTGATAAGTGAACATCATATGTATTTTTATACAATATATTTTTAATTAAATTATCATTCATTAAGAGATAATTTCCTAGCTAACACTCCGAACATAGTTCTCATTTGAGAATAAACCTCCATCCAAATAAGTCTATAGCTCCACGACTAGTCATAGAAAAGACTTAAAATGTCACAACAACAGCTCTTGACAATTCTTATTATAATTTAAATTTAAAACTATTTATTTAACTATCAAAAACCCGTGCACACTGGCCAGGAACTTATCAAAATTGTCTTGAAACCTCAGTTTATGGGTTCTCAAGCCATCGAATAGGACTCCATTCGTGAGTATTCCGAAGGCTTCTTCTAGTCTCGGCACATTGGCGGGGTCATTGACCGCGAACGCTTCTATGAGTTGTCTCGCTAATCCTGCTAGCAAGGCGGGTTTGACGCATGTAAGCGCATATATGGCGGCGCCGGCTGCTGGTATTGAATCTGGTGGTATTTCCATTTTGATTATCAACATCAGTAATAACTCTGCGAGGGACAGGACTGCGATGGCGTAAGGATTGTCGTCGCCCAGTGTCCGCACAGTGTTCGAGATGCCCACTATAGTTTCACAGCACAGTGTGGACACGTCGCAGGATACGGCTGTTAGTCCGACTCGTAGAGCGTTTATAACCATGTTGAAGTCTTCTATCGGTAAATTTGTTAGCTGAAAATTAAGTTTTTATATCGGTTATTAAAAGTTTTCGTGGTGATATCGAAAAAGGAGGAATATTACATATTTAAGTAAATCTAAGAAAATTTTACCATATGTTACTGTCAGTGACCATGAAAGCTTATGAATCGAAGAAAGTTGAATGTTGAAAAGTTGTTGTAAATGCAGATGCATATAACTCGCGTCACCTAAAAAGAACGCTGGAAGAAAGTGAAGGGGGTATGTTTGCGCATGGGTATACTCGCGCACAAAAGTACTAAGCCTATTATTTTATTTTTCATAGCATTTCGCTCGCGGCTTCATATATTAGTTATTAATAAGAACATTGAAAAATATATTAGATAGAATATCATTAAATAGAATTCTATTCATTATTAAAAAATGTTTGATTCAGTGTAGAATGTTAATCTACTTACAAAAAATTAAATTATTACGTTTAATACATTTTCTTTAATTATTAACTGCATTTTTATCAGACTCTCTCTTTGTAAAACAATATATGTCAAAAATAATTTCTCTCTTTTCCTATATAAAAACCATTTCGTAATTAAAAACTTTTGTGTGTGCGATGGTATTTCGAACTGACGAACCAAATAGGGCGCCGGCAAGCACGCGGCGCGTGCCCCGCCGCCCCGCGCCCCGCTTCTTATCACCAATTTGACCGATAAATCTCTTCTGCGCAGCTTGACAGCCAACGTTCTTTTTAGATGACGCGAGTTATACCTGGCTAAAATTTTCTACAGACATATAAAGGCAGATGCACACCTAACAACCATTTAAGCATTTTCCTTACACATAAATGCAGATGAGCACCTAACCACCATTTAAGCATTTTCCTTACACATATAAATGCAGATGCACACTTAACAACCATAATACTTTCTTTTAAAACTTAACAACCACATATGAATTTAATTACACATATAAAGGCAGATGCACACTTAACCATTATTTAAGCATTTTTCCCACATATATAAAGGCAGATGCACACCTGACTAGCATTATCCAAGTCTCTTAGCATTCGGTACGCGCGCAGCGCGAGCGTCGGCATGGCCAGCAGCGGCGGCGTGACGAGCGGCAGCAGCAGGCGCAAGCCGCGCGCGCACGCGTGGCGCCACGCCGCCTCCGCGCCGCAGCCGCCGCCGCACCGCGACACGCTGCTTATTACATCCATCAGTGCGCATATGTCCTGCGTAGTACACACGTACAGAGTGAATGAACGTCACACTACTGTTATAGTAATACAAATTTATAATCATTACTAGCGACTCACCCTTACTCCGCTCGGGTTCGTCCCTAGTGAAAATTTAGGTTTGTATGTATTATTTAATGCCGAAACAAAAAAAAATTAAAATAACTTTTTTTTGTTAAAAAAATAAAAAAAATATTTTTGGGGTGGACCACCCACTTAGGGGTATGAAAGACAGTTTACGTCCTATTCTCAGACCTACTGAATTTACACATAAAATTTCATAAGAATCGGTCAAGCCGTTTCAGAAATGTTTTGACACAAACACTGTGACGCGAGAATTTTATATATAACATAAATGTGAAATTTTGTGTATGTGCGCACCCGAGCAAAGTGAGAAAAGTCGCTAGTTTAAAATTTGCAACTATAACAGTAATATTATAAATAAAAATGTTTATAACATATTAAATGAGTGTGTCACGTTATTCGTTTTAACAGCTCAATAAAATTCCGAATTGAGATAGCTTAGGTATATTGTAGATTGCGTCGTAGTTGAATGCGTAAGCGATCCTGCGACGCCCCATTAAGACGGGGGAAGGTTTCGTTGGGTTTTAGTGGGTAGTACTGGCTTTGCCGGTGAGTCCCACACCTCGTGCGTAAATGCATTTCCCAACGTTAAAAAAAAAAAAAAAAGGTATATTGTAGATTAGCACATTCGTTTTTTATATAGACGTAACCACCACGCGAGGTAAATAAAAATAAGTAACTAGAAAATAAGTGTGGTATTTAAACAGATGAAGGTGGTATTAATTTGCATAAAAAATAATCGTTCCAATTCACAATTTTAACAATAGAAAACACTAAATATAACAGTGTGTGAAAAGCAATAGTCAAATAAGCATAATCCGTATTATAAATGTTATAAATGTGAAAGTTTGTTTTGTTTTCTTTTTTGTTTTGCTAGTGTTAAATAAAAAAATAACCTCATATGCTTCTTCTTCTGCATCTTGCGGAATACTTGAAATTTTTCCAGAATTCCATCTCATGTATACTTCAAATGTAGTGTTGCACACATCCAAAAATCTGTAAAACAATATGAAAAATATAATGTATATTAAGAATTATTATTATTATCAGGCAGTATAAAATGGCTCAAACACTTATAGAAGAGTCGTAAAATTCCAAGTATGGAATAACTGTAATAGTACATTTTTATGTTATTTGTTGCTGTATTACCTTTACGATATATAACATGTTCTGACTGACTTGATAGTCTAGTGACTAGCAAGTACGGTTGAAGATCCAGAGGGCCTGGGTTCGACTCCAAATTACAGCTATTATTCTGTTAAAGAAATTCTTAGTAACAGCCAGGAGTTTGGATATTAGTGTTTCACCCTCCTCTATCACCGGAGTTTGAAAGTTACAGATATAAGAGTATTTCTGTTTCACACACAAACACTTCTGCACTCTAATATCTCCTATACACTTGGCTCGTCTTAGCGAGATTGATCATCACGACAAAAAATGGTCAAACTATCATTCATCTACCAACTAGGGGTTGGGGTAATCTCAAGTTATTAATATACAAATTGACCCACTTGCTAACATTGGCCGGCTGTACGGAGTGCAGCATACGTTTGGCGCTGCGAGCGAGCAGCGTGAGCGCGGGCAGCACCACGCCCGGGTAGTTGTGGTAGCGGAACACGATGCCCGGGATCTTGTCCAGCGCGTGCATCAGCATTGTGAACTGCTCGTCCAGGGTGCCCACCTGTGGACAACGTTACAACGTTCGTATGACTATATGTTTGTATTTGTACGAGCAATACTCCATACGTTAGTGTTTAGAGTATTGACACCAAATCGCCTCATTAACAGACTTCTCCTAGGCAAATTCACTGGATCGTAGACCTTATCTTTGCCTTCGAGCTAAGACGAAGGTCAAAAGTACGCCCATTTCTAATTAAAAAAGGCATCAAATGCGCGATACGTTACATTTCAACATTCTACCAGTAGATTAATATCTACAGTCTTTAGTAAAAACTTCTTTTGATCTATTGTACCCCTTCTTGATCTTTTTCTTTCTCTGCCCAAAGATTGCCTTGCAAGAGATCGCTCTCTTAGCAATAAGGCCACGTATTCGTTTCCTCTTTCAATCATTTATATCATATATTTTAGAGTAATTATTAATATAATAATTTCGCAATACAATAATTTCATATCATCGAGCTTTGATGATGAAATCAGAAGATGAAACTTTTCAATATATGTATAATATTAGGGTGGCGCAAAAAACCGTCATTTTTCTTTCTTATCTCATATGAAAATATGTTAGTTTATCATATTTTAAGAGCCTCCTTAAAACATCAACTCAAAAAAAAAATTAATGTTCGCTTACAATTTTTATAAAATTCTCAAAATCGTTAAAAATTGTTTTTTTTTTTATAACTTTTTTTCTCGTTATTTTATCAATTTAATAATTTAAAAAGATTTCGATACTAAAAATTTCAAATCGATATTTTAATTTTTAAAAGTCGCTCTTTTTTTTACTTGAAGACTAGTGTACCTAAAATGTATTTGAGCAACTTCTAAACGACGATATATAGCCTACAGCCTTCCTCAATAAAAGAGCTATGTAATGCAAAAATATTTTTTAAATCGGATTAGTAGTTCCTGAGATTAGCGTGTTTAAACAAGCAAACTTTGCCTCTTGTTAATAGATTGATTGATTGATTTTGATTACTAATAGATTACAATAGTTACATTAACTCAGTATGAACAGGTCAATAAGTGAACTAACTTCAAGAACCCCTTCAGTGACTCCAATGAAACAATCGAGCGTATCGGCGAGCATGCTGCGTATGGGCTCGGTGTCCGCCTCCGCGTTGATTATATTCATCAACTTCTCTTGCAATGCCACTGTACTGCCGAGTAGACGGTTTCTTTCTTCACCTGTAAAATTCGACACTATTTATAATAGGTACGTTTTAATTTTTTTGAGCGAAACCCTAATTCTTTCTCTAAAATAAAAGTCGCCTTTTTTACTCCATATCACATCAGCTATATTCCAGTGAAAGTCCCGTCGAAATCAGTGCAACCGTTTTAGAGATTATCCCGAACAGACAGATAAAATATTTAAAATTGTGTTTTTCTTATAAGTACCGTATATAATTTCATAATCATTTAGTAAAACGCTGTTATTTTGACATTACAAACAGACACTTCAATTTTATTTATCTGTATAGCCTAGCGACTCTAGCGACTCATCCCAGCTCCGGGAAAATATCTAATCTCTGAGAAATCTATACTATTATTAATTATATATTAATTAATTAATTATATATCGAAACCGAGCGTTTCGTCCCTAGTTACGTTTGAACGTTTAGTATAGATTTCTCAGAGATGAGATATTTTCCCACAGTAAAAAGTATCCTATATGTTGACCCGGTTAACCAACTATCATCGTACCAAATTGCATTGCTGATGATGCAGAGTCTTAATTTGGGGGCATACGTGTAGTGGCGACTTGTGACGGTGCGCGACATCAGCGTATGTAACACGCTGGAGGCATACATTTGTGTGATGAGCACGAATGTTTGTATCCAGGCGTGGGTGTTTATATTTGTAATATGTATTTTAAGGTTATACATATATGTGTCTAGTGTATCAACTATCTGGTATCCATAACACAGGCATGGTAGCCACTCAACACACACACACCACACAACACAGTACAATGAAACTAGATGGTAATGTGTGTTAATGTACCAAAATATTTATTTATAAATGATAACTATTAAGATCCGTCGCATCACAAACCTTCAGCGTACGTGGCCGCGATAGCGAACACGCGATGTAGTTCCCTGCGCAGCTCGCCCGGCAGGTTGCTGCCGCCCGCTTCCCAGGCGACCAGCGCCACGAACTCCTCGCATTTGGCTAGAGGGCTCTGTCTGGAAAAAATTACGTTGGAATTGAAAAAAATCCTATGTCCTTCCCAGGGTCTCAAACTATCTTCTTACCAAATTTCATGTAAATCGGTTCAGTAGATCCAGAGATTACCCCCTACAACGTCACAAACTCATAAACTTTACCTCTTTATAAAATTAGTATAGATGATAAATAGAATGCAAGTGCATACTTGTGCTGCGGGTAGGCGAGCGCGGCGAGCAGCAGCAGCGCGTGGCGCGCGGCGGCGGGCTGCGCGGCCAGGTGGCGCAGCGCGGCGGCGGCGCGGCGCGCCACCAGCGCCACCACCCACGACACGCCGCGCGACCCCGCGCCGAACGCCGCCTCCAGCACCTAGCCCACAGTACACACTATACTCTGTTCACGGAGTGAACCATGCAAAGCGCTTTCTCTGTCCCACATTACCATACAAACTAATAAGGACGAAAAACTGTCTAGCTCCGCCCACTAACGCTTGCAACTGGTTTAAAATCGTAGGGCTCATTCATGTTGCTAATGTTTTAGTTAGAAATAATTAATAATTTGTATTACAATAAATCAATATTAAAGTAAAATTAACTATATTTTAAATATTTATATACATTATTCATTAAATTTCGCTTTCCGACGTATCACTGTCATCTCCTACATTGATAATAAATCGAATAACTACATGAGATACGTCTAAACGGTACAGAATGCAACGTCGGACTAATTATGACTTGCATTATAATCGCGATCTAAGCGTCTTATCTGCAACTAATCACGTCGAAGCACAAAATCTCAGTGCTTGGTTCATTCGGCAAACTCTTTTTTTTTTGTATTTTATTTTGTCAGTATTTTATTTTGTTTTAAATGTATTATTCTAGAGGGATTTGACGCTGGTAGCTGAAATACAGGTTTCCTAATTCAGCTACTTCATTCACTTAATAGCGATATTGTTTATTTGGCTTAAATTAATTTGTAAAATCTTGTAAAGATCTTTTTGGAAATTAATTATTATTAAATTATAAAAAAAACATACAATAAGGCCTTTCTCCCACGCCGATCTTCATAACCTACACGACTGAGACGCAACCCTTGGTCGCCTACTCATTTGCTACTCAATCAAATCAATTTTCACACATGACACTACCCAAATCGTCGTCGTCGAGTTTGACCTTGTGTCAAGTGATTCTAGCGATGAGGACTTTCTTCTTTATATTTATTATAGGAAGTTATTATTTATTGTAGGCGAAAAAGAAGATTTTAGATTGAAAGAAACATTAATATAGAGCATTCGTCCCTACCAGGAAAGTACATGGCGATGATGATAATTTTCACTGTTTCATATTTTTTATAGAATGTCCAAACAATATAACTTCCAGTACAATTTTTGTGTTTAGTTCATGTTTGGTCGCCATTTTTATGCGACGCATTTTATGGTCCTTATCAATTTTATTATTACCAAAATTGTTGTTCAATAAACAAAAATCTAAAAAATTAAATTCAAGATGGCGGATGACGCAACGGGTCTGGCACCCCAAAAATCTAAATTTAGACTTCCAGTGAACCCCCCCAAAGAATTCCGAACGAAAATTGCAGTTAAAAATTTTTGCAATGTCAAATCCTAATTCGACTGGCAGTTAAAGCACTGTAGAGCCATCTCGTGGCAAATTTTAATATAAGACTCACACTCGCTTCGCTCGGGTTCGTCGCTAGGTACGTTTTAAATAGATATAAATAGTTATTAGCCAGCGTTAGCCATATAATTTTTTTTTTCGTTAATTTTTCATCTTTTTTCTTTATTAAAACCTTCCGTGGACCTTAAGGAACATACGAAAAAAAATTTGCCGAATTAGTCCAGCCATTCTTGAGTTATGCGCTTTCCAACATTCATTTTTATTTATATAGATCAATTTTTGAATTTCATAGAAGTAAACTTTGACTAGAAATAAAAAACCTTAAGTAAAATAAGAAAAAAAACCAGTCATGAGGACTGTCGACAGAAGTGAAAACTTAAAACTATAAACAAACAATTGTTATTTTTGGATGTTCAAATTAATTGTTTGATCTTATATTAACATTTGTAAATAAAAACTGTTTACATTTATCTAGTTTTTACATCTATCGGCACTCTGAGTATTAGCGTTAACACGTCACGTGACCATGTCGATGACGACTTACATGAATTTACTCCCCATCCAAACCTACCCATAGAAGTTTTCACTTTAAAAAATTGCGTTATAGATTGTCGCTCTAATTCATTGCAATAGAATGATCTATATGTATATTTGTGAAGCGAATAAAAGAAAAAAATACATGCTTAAGTTAAAATGCTTATGTTCTTTTGTTTCACTCTATTTCCTTAAAAATATTATATGATTGCTATATTATAAGATAATAATTAAAATAATTGCACTTCACAATTTATATAATATTGCGTTAAGATTTAATTAAGATTGTGAACAAAACAATAAAGTGTTTTACGTCTTCACGCCATTCTTATGCAACAATATTTTTTATAAAAAAAATTGATTGTATAACGTTGAATTAGCTAGATAGACAAGACATATTTATGTATTAATTGAACCATCGAAATGGCATTCTATTCCTCTATAAACATTTTTGTCAATGGGAATATAGCCATATATGACTGGCACATTTAAATGATTTGTTTATCCAAAAAAAAAAACTTAACGCTACACCTAATTCCTTGTCACCCAGAACTCGAACCTAGGACCTCGGAATATACAGCCGTAGTAGCCACTAGACCAAAGGGGCAGTTAAATAAAAAAAACCCACGCCTACCTTAGAACACTGTGGGGGTTGCAATACCAAATAGGCATTGGCCCATATCTTCAATAGCCAAGACAACGTGGCGGAGAGTTCAGGACTGAAAACTGAAGCGAGGCCAGCTTCTAACGCCGCACATTCCCACGAACTGATTCGTAGTATTTCACCCACCAACCTGAAATAACAAAGACATGATTTTATATGGCTTATCTCATCAATCAAAAAGTACTAAATAATACACAATCAGCTACATAAAATGTCCTCACCGAATGAACGCTCATTTGAACATTTGAGCGCACTTTTATTTATTTTTTTGTGAAAAAAACTTTAAGCATTGCATTTAAGGTTCAATTTACATTGTTGTATATTTATTAAACTAGAATAATTACCTAAACACAATTGGTGACAGTTTTAAGAGAACTTTTGCATGTGATTGTGTATCTAGTACTTTCTTGATCGATGCCTTATCTACATTAATATTATACAGATGTAAAGTTTTTAAGTTTGTATGTATGGGGTAATATTTGAAACTAGAACCGATTCTGCAAATTCCTATTCTAAGAGCTATAATACCGCCGATTGCTATAGACCATTTTTTATTCTGAAAAAGATGTTTCTTGTCAGAAATCAAAAAATAACTTTAACTGAAGACGATAAAAAAAAGCCGTTGAGTTACTTTATCAGCTTTTGTTTGGCGCCTAGTTAGAATAACATGGCTAGCCTAGAAATCTCTTCCTTTTCAAACTTATATTTATACAAGTTTGAAAAGAAAAATGCCATATTACCATTATAGATGTATTGAGTTACAATGATATTATATTTAAATACGAAAGTTTGTCAATGTGTGTGCTAGTTACATTTTCAAGTCGTAACGGCTTAATAGATTTAAGCAAAATTTGCAATGGTAATAGGATCGAAATATAATTTTTGTATCTTCCAAGCGAGAGGAGCTGCGGGAAATCTTTTCAATAATATAAAAAGGTCTACTAAATAATTAAGAGGTCGTCTAATCATTTATATATGTCTTTACTAGCTATTTCAATGTCTAATTTCATCAAAATCAGTTCAACGATTAGGCAGTCAATGAACAATTACAGAATACAGTATGTATGTAGTAACATGTACATTATACAATGCACATGCTACTTATATTAGTAATAAAATTTACCAATAGATGGCGCTGATATTGAATGAAAAGTCAATACTTTTGTCAAGTTGCAAAATAAACTAATATAATTAAATATAGTAGTGAATATAAAAACAAAGTAATGAAATTGTACAGAAATTATAGAAATAATAATAACTTGCTGTTGGTTATACAATAAAAAAACCTATTAAAATTCAAGGGCATGAAGCTATTTGTGTTATTTATATATTGGATCGTAACATCTAAGATTGCGTGATAAAGTAGTATGCACAAAAGAATAAAAACCTTTAGAGAATAGAATTATACAGTGACGTCAATTTCGTATAGTAAACATGTAATAATATCGTATAAGTTTAAAAGAGCAACATCGGGAAAAATCAAAAAGGAATGATGATATTCTGTGGCCCAATAAAAATAAGTCGTTCTTTTTAGTCTTAGCAAAATCATAATTTAATTTCTAAATTTTATAAGCCATTATATTACTGTTTTTGGCTGACATTAATTATTTTTTTTATCCACATGTACTTTTCTTTGCAAGATGGACTTTGAAAAGAGAAACCTTTTTATGTAAACATCACTGCAAGTCAATGCAAATTTTCTAATAATATGAAATTATGTAAAAGTAGATACCACCTATCAATTGCAGTACTTTTTATGAGCTCTCAAAACAAGATTCGCCATACATTTTGTATGGCAAAAGCAATCTGTGACATCACTTATTTGCCAATTCAATTGATTCGTTATATATTAATTTCGTAGGACTAAAAAGCTAATTTTATAGATAAATGTAAATTAATCCAGTTTTAAGGGCTAAATTAAAATGATTTTTAGTGATATATCTTGGAATGATTGGTAATTGTGTCAACTACCCCATTAATAAAAATTGTTTAATTTTAAAATTTGAAGGCCACATCAGCATTTTAAAAACGGTAACAAATGACCAACAATAATAATATGATTCTCTAACGATTGCAGAATAACATCCTGTCTAAAGCCCTAAGTTTAAAATTCATACTTCCACTAAAGTATTATAATTAATATCTAGTGACAGATAAACAGGGCAAACAAACACTTCAAGCTGCCTCTTTCTTTAAATATTCAAAAATAAAAAACAACACTAACTTCAATATATCATCAACATTCTCAGTACTGGTGGTCTCTCCGACCAGATACCGTAAGGACGCGTCCACATCAGCATTTTGCGCCACACTATATTCCACTAATTCAGTTGGAATCATCACTGTCTCTCCCTCCGTACAGTCTAAGGCTAGAAAATGTCCTGAAATACAAATTATTTTTTGATTATACATTACTATATGTATTTCTATTGACTGATCCCATAGCTTGAGTTCTACGTTATAAGCTCTTCCAAATAGAGTAGGGTTATATTTAGTGGTTTTGGGTTATACATATAGATACTAGTGACTAACTCTCGCTTCGCTCGAATTCGTCCCTAGGTTGATTCCCCATACTAACTTTCATCCCCATTTTCACCCCCTTAAGGGATGATTTTCGGGATAAAAACTATCCTATGTCCTTCCCAGGGTCACAAACTATCTTCTTACCAAATTTCATCTAAATCGGTCCAGTCGTGTGGGAGCTTATTCGATGCAAAAAAACAAAAAATCTTTCCTCTTTATAATATTGGTATATATACACACATATATATATATATATATATATATATATATATATATATATAGTCAGAGACAGGGTCATATGAGGTCATAAAAAAACGATATGGTTTATTATTAGCGTTCAAACGAAATAGTAATACTTAAGATGCCTTGAAGCAAATTTTTACTTTTTCTAAATTGGGTCATTCTTAATAAATTATTTATATTTTCCAAATAATATCAAAGACACACCAGTTATCATTAAAATCCAATGTAGATCTTCAAAAAGTGTAACGAGTTGTTCTCCTCCATTAATAATCTGACATTTATTCATATGCATTAATTGGAGTTGACTTTCAAGCCTGGAACAATAATTTAATTATTATTTAAATTTATTTTAACTAACAAAACGAATGTATAACAAATAAAAAATACTTTAACTATAAATATTTATATTTCTTTTTCAATGTTAAAGTAATAAAAATTGCAATAAAGTTAATATATTTTTTACTAAAGAATAAAAAGACATATTTAATTACGAGTTACTATTGATGGTGTGCAGATTCCCAGTACTTAGTTTGTACTTTGCAATAAATATTTAAAGAGTATGCGGGCCGTCTTTGATATTAACAAAATTGTAAGGGTTGTCAAAAAACAATTTTCATAGCCAAAGGTTTCGAAGTGCCATCTCGTGGCAATCAAAAGATAGCCTCAACCCTGAAGTTGTTTCCCAACTGTCATATAAGAATACTTTATAGCTTTATTATTTTATGGCAGTCGGGACTCGGGAGTATCTCACTTGCGTTTCACTTCACACACCCTGTACGAGTGCCATATCCACACAAGATAAACTAATTAGTACTGTTCCTATTGAGTATGTAGTAATAGCCCGAGAGCTCGTGATGAATTTTGAGAAGGTCCTTTTGGCAAGTGGAAATTGTAAAAAAATATAATTTCCTGAATTGGCGAGTACAGTCCCGCCAGTCTGGTATAGCATTAGCGGTTATTTCGCTACTGCGCAGTATATACATGCAAAAAAAATCCAAAGAAACATATTTTTGGCAACTTGATTTTTGTTTCATCTTTTAATTTAGTTTTCATATAATTCAAAAAAAAAAGAACCACAGATATTTTTGTCGATTATAAAGTATTGCCAAACCTCTCCAAAGATACATTATTAAAATCCAAAAAAATATACTTTTGGCAATCTAAAATTTTAATCACCTATTTATTGAGTAATTTTCTTTCAGAGTCTTATTATTGTAATAACAAAATATTTATAAAAATATAGGTATGTTACCGTTTACTTCTGTCCATCAATAGTGTATATAGAACATGGCTACAATGAGCCGGCGCTTTTCTTGCTACAGCTCCAATTGTCAATAGGTTATTACTATGCAATTCCCGTTCATCCTCATCTACGTCGTCTTTGATATCATCATTGCAACCGTCACTGCTTTCTGTACCTCTGAACATATGAATATATATTTTTTTATTATATAGATATATGATTTATAAGTAGCAAGGGATAAAATTCTGTAAAAAGTATGTAGTCACAAATATGTACATACTCCTTATTTCCCCATAAAAACTTTCATCCCCCTTTTCACCCCCTTAAGGGATGATTTCCAAGATAAAAAGTATCCTATGTCCTTCCCAGGGTCTCAAACTATCTTCTTACCAAATTCCATCTAAATCGGTTCAGTAGATCCAGAGATTACCCCCTACAACGTCACACACTGTACCTCTTTATAATATTAGTATAGAAGTATAGATTAAGCTATTAAAAAATACCTATTTTTTGAAATATCTTAATTACTTGTATAAAAAAGGCATTAACAAATATAAAGACCTATATAATTATATACAAGATAAAAACCATTATATACAAGATTTTTTATTTAAAATAGAATAGAATACGACAACGACACGTTTGGCTTAGTTTGTACTTTGTAGCCCTACTTGCTGTGCCAACGGTCGTGAGTTCGAGCCCCGCTGGCGGTATTCTTTTATGTGATGAACACGAAGGTTTGTACTCCAGTCATTGGTGTTTATATTTATAATATGTATGTATTTTAAGTCATATGTGTAGTGTACAGGGCCGGATTATCCATAAGGCGGATTAGGCAACTGCCTAGGGGCCCCGTGCACGCACCAAGAAAAAAAACGTTCCATCGAACGATTTTTTTTTAACATTTGTATACTTCCTCAATATTATTCCTTTTTTTCGACGCATGTTGTCAGTTGCTGAAATACTTCATGCATAGTAGAACTAAAAATAGCTGTATATGACGATAAAGGTAAGCTTTTGAAATTCAAAAAACACCCAAACTTCAATAGGGCAGATGACTGGGTACCATCATATTGGGATCCTATAATAAACATAATAAAATCTAACAACAAAAATAAACAACAGATCATTAGTAGTCCAATCGGAATCCGGTTTGGGAACAAAATATTGAAAACCTGAAGTTTTATGAGTTTAAACTGTTAGCAGGTAAATTTATTAGGAATTGAAATTCGTAAAATGCCTCCTATGTCCAGCTACCCCCGAAAAATGAGGGGGACGCAAAGCGTTGAAAAATAGTTTTTTTTCATTTTCCTGACCTGAGCGAAGCGACGATGAGCCGCTAGTATCACATAAGAGATTGAAGTAACAGGATACCAAAGGAGTCCATCTGATCCACTCGACTTTTGTAATAGAAAAATTGTATTTTAAAAAGTCAGAAAAGAGTAAACGCAAGGACCCCCAGAATTGCATTGCCTAGGGGCCCTGATAGGGTTAATCCGGCCCTGGTAGTGAATCAGTTATCTGGTATCCATAACACAAGCCTCATAGCTTACCATGGAACTAGATGGTGCTGTGTGTTAATGTCCCAACATTTTTTTTTTAATTTAATAATAATTCTATATTGCTGCAACAATCATGAGTACATGGACTTACACCTAGACTGTGACAAATATATAAGTATATGATGAATATAAAAAAATGACCTATGGCTTGTGTTTGAATTACTGCTTACATCTAGCATAATAATATAAAAAGGAAACACTAACCACTGTGATTTAGTAATCAATATTAAAGTTCTTATTCCTATAAACGTACACAATAAGAATAGAACACAAAAGCCATCATAATCATGTCATAGTTACATCCAATCAATGTGCATTAAGCAACATTTTATAATTTTTTTATGATTTACTTAATATATAAATTTACTTAACAATAAACTTATTTTTAATAAATAATCCTTCTGTAATCTTCTATAACTATATAAATAAAAATGAATGTTGGTAAGAGCATAACTCAAGAATGGCTGGATCAATTCGGCTAATTTTTTTTTCGTATGTTCCTTAAGGTCAACGGAAGGTTTTAATAAAGAGAAAAAATGAAAAAAATCACAAAAAATAAAATAAAATTTATATGGCTAATAACTATTTATATCTATTTAAAACGTACCTAGTGACTAACGTCGCTAGTTATTTTATACTAACGGCTCATTTGTTCCTATTGTTGATTCTCCATACAAACTTTCATCCCCATTTAGACTCCCTTAAGGGATAATTTACAGAATAAAAAATATCCTATGTCCTTCCCAAGGTCTCAAACTATGTTCTTACCAAATTTCATCTGAGTAGTTTTCGAGTTTATTCATTACATACATACAAAAATACAAATCTTTCCTCTTTATAATAGTAGTGTAGGTAAAAAGCATTTCTGCACAAAAATCCTTTTAAAACATTCTCAAGCTTAAGATAATATATAATATTATGAGACATGTATATATTTAAATAGATTAAAATGTAAGAACCAAGCAAAAAAGAAAATGCAAATTTTCTCACCTTGTTCCATCGGGTGGTGCTAATCTACATTGCAGATAAGTATTGAATATTTCTATGCAAGGAGTCATCAATGTTGCATTTGAAAAGCCATCTGTATCTTGTACTATAGAACTCCATGTGTGTAAGAACTTGGTTAGTGATTCACGCCAGAATGTATCATCATTTATCTAAAAAAATCAAAATTAATTAATTTCAAATTGATGTTATATTTTTTTTATATTAAAGTTTTTAATTCTGTTAAGCATACAATATACTAATAAAGCAAATATATTAAAAAAGAGGTGAGAGCACCATTGAAATGACTTCACCTCAGCGAGTACTAACTAATAATTTAACTACAATTTTTTTGTGAGAAATTATTATAAAAGGATTTCGAGATCATATTATAATTATATGAAAGTATTTAATTTGTTCTAATATTTTTGTATACAGTTATAAAATATAACAATATGAAATTTTTATAAGTTAATCCAAAAATATAATTATGAGATAAAAGAAAATAATATTATTATTTATTATAGCTTTATTTATTAAGTTAAGCACACACAATACTTACACCTTCTTCGACAACTGATCCTCTGATACAATGGCAGGTATAAGTAGTCAGATATTGAAGGAATGCAGGAGGAGTAGAAGCTATCATAGTAGGTGTGAAAAACTGAACTAATCTCCTATATATTTGTGAAATACCCAGCATTTCTCTCTCTGATGGTTGGATGAATGCTAATATTCTCACAAAGCTATTTACATAATTTTCTAAGTACTGTTGTTTTAAATTGCTTGCGGATACAACAACACCACTTAGACTAGCCAATTGAACTAAGCATGTAAGTGAGGAATTGAGTAAATCAGGATTGTTTCTCACATATATGTGTATTTCAAAGAATAATGTTATTAATTGTGGCTGCATAATTGTATCCCTCCAATTCAAGCTTAAGCGTAAGGCTGGTGCAGTGTCACTTTCATAGATAGCTTCAAAGGCACCAATCAATCTTTTAGAAAGTAGTGGAGACACATGGTTCCAACATAAAACTGTTTCTACTATTGTTAAAAGCTGTTTTGTCAATAAAGCTTGTTCACCCTCTGGTTGGTGCCCTGATCGGACAATTTGCTCTAAGACTCCAACAGTAAATCTAAATATTCTTTTTAAATCTAAAGCTTCAAAAGATTTTTTCAATCGAAAATGAACTTCCCATATAAGACCTACATCAGCAGATTTAACAGTTATTGCATATTCTTGCATAATTGATAAAATAAGTGAACATGCTAATTTTTGTTGGGTTATAGGTGAGCTAAGAATTATTTTTTCTAATTCATCTAATAATGCTTTCCTTTCCCGTCCACCATCACTAATACTGCCTCTTTTAATTATTACTGCAATTGTCTACAAAAAAAAAGAAATTAAATTCACTTGTAGGTACAATTATGTAATTTTAAATAAAACATTTGCAGTTGATAATTTATAAAGGATTAATTTTTCAATTTGAGATCATCTTTTTGAATATGATGTATGCTTGAACTGTATAATGTATCATTTATGCAGTATAAGAAAACATTTGTAATATTATACCTGTAACAGCTTTTCCTTAAGAAATGGTGGAGCTTCTTTTCTTAAAAGGTAGTTTAGTAAATATTCTCGAAGAGAATTTATATCATTCTCAGATAGTAAGTTCCATTCTCTTATTAGAGCAGTCTTTATAAGACCAGCAGCTTCAAAAAGTATGTAATCTGAGCTAGATTTTTCAAGTATTTCTCTACATAATTGATATGGATTTTTAGTGCTTCTAAACTCAAGGAAAACACTCTCTGCCTGATGTCGTTGCTCTGAAGAAACTATATTTGGCGGTGCCTAAAAACATTGGAATATAGGTAATGTATTATTTATAAACAAGATATTGAATAGATTGTTAATGTGTCAAAACATACAAGTCTCTTATAAAATATAGTACTAACCATCAATATTTGAGCCGCAGCTTCCAAAGTTTGTATAGCAGAGTTATCCATGTTTATTAAAAAATACAGTACTAATGAGATAAGTTTATTGAACGCCAGGTTGTTTATTTCAAGTCATACCAAGACAGTATAATATAAGCCGCGTAGTTTTTCTTTCCTCATATTTTGGCGATACCTCAAATAATTTGAAGTACAATTGTGCATGAGCGGAATTGTCAATTAATGAATTCTAAAATCTAAATTCTGCTTCTGGATTGGGATTTGTGATGTGATTAAATCAAATCCCATTCCTAGCCCGCTGCCCGTAGGTTACAGAATACTCAATACAGACTAAACATTAGACAAAAAGAATTTAATGTCAAAAATCTTTAAAACTGTCAATACCTACGTATATGTATATCAAAACACAAAGATGCCAAGTTTTAAAAGAGATACTCACGTATCTCTCTGTACATTAAATATTTTTGAAAAACCTTATTGAAATAGACAATATAATCGATACAGAGGCCGTATTTATAGTTTTTTGAATTTTTGTCTGTCTGTCTGTCTGTCACGGAAAAATTACTGGACGGGTTTTGATGAAATTTGGTATGATGATATCAAGCTGGTTATTCGGGTCAACATATAAGATATTTTTATTGCTAGAAAATATCTCATTTCTGAGAAATCTATACTAAACGTTAAAATGTAAGTAGGGATGAACCCGAGCGGAGCGAGACCAGGATGAGTCGCTAGTAAAAAAATACTTACATTTAAAGTAATTTTTATATTTTTACAAATGCAAATATTCTTGCAAATATTTTATTAAAATGAAATTAAAGTTAATTGTCGGGTTTTTGTACAATAATAAAAAATATTTTCTTAATTAAAATTTTTATGTAGTTCATATACTAATAATAATAAATAGTAACTCTCAAATTCAAAAGTCTAAGATGAAAAAGGCTCGATTAATAGAAATAGAATATTCTTGATAGTGTGTCAGCTCAATATAGTCACTGCTCAAGAAGATGACCAAATGTGTAGGTACACATATTGTATTGGTTATTATTATTAACGAATATTATTCAGGCACTCTGAAAAAAGTATATGATATATCACGTGGCATGAACAACGTTAAATATTTCAACACAGTCAAAGTAGTAAATACACTAGAAAAATGAACTTTAACTAAAATCGCTTTATCAGTAACTGCTCATGCTTGTAATCCTTTGAGTGCTAGCTGTGCTACCGGCTACTTGTACCGGTTTTTCATGGCAGGGAAGTGCAAGTGCAATTGTTTGTTGTAATTCTGCGCACAAGGGCATTATTAAATACTATTTACATTTGAAATAAATAATACTATGTTATTTTACTATCATACGAATACAAGGAGTATAAAAAAAGTTACTTTTTTCATATTACATATATGAATATAATTTCAGAACCCTCGGTCCGAATTATTTGTTAGCCGAGTATCTATCAACTTATATAGGTAGTATATCTATCACTATGTAATCATATATTCATCAGTTACAGAAGTAAATTAAACATCTAAAGCCACAAACCACAATTCAATACCGTAGCTGGGATATATATACAATAGTCCTTGAAGAAATACCTATGTCTCAACGGCCGTTAACTGTTTTATAATAGGTACTTACCTAGAATAATCTAATCTGGAATAATCTAGGTTAGCATAAGTGTACAAGATTATATTGTAGATAGATGCCTATTGTAATCATACAAAATGGGTCTCATAGTATTATTTTCATTTATTAACACAGCGCCATCTTATAGTTCCATGGTGAGCTACGAGGCTTGTTTTTTGGATACCACATAGTTCATACACTTATTATACACACTAGCGGCTCACCCTCGCTTCGCTCGGGTTCACCTCTAGAAAAGCACAACAACACACAACAGATCTATCCCACGGGAACCTTTCATTTTTCCGGGATGAAAAGTAACTTGTTATTTGACCGGCAATATAAGATATCAGAATGTAAAATTTTACTAAATTAGGTGCATAAGTTGTTGTGTACTAAGCTGTATAAGATACTATAGTTTTTTAACTATCCCACGGGAACTCTTTCATTTTCTGGAATGAAAAGTATCTAAGGTATTGACCGGGGATATAAGGTACCACCATGCAAAATTTTATTTCAACAGTTTCGGACATTAGCCCGTACAAACAGACAGAGAAACAAAAAAATTGAAAAAAAAACTGGATTTGTTCTATTTTTCTTCTTACGAGATGTAAGAAGATAACTGACTCGGTTTTTAGCATTTTTTTTTCTATGTACAAACATTCGACCTCTACCGTTTTATTATATTTATAGATAGAATAAATAACGTATAATAAAACAGTAATATATAATGAAAATAGTTATAGCGAGTGTACCTTAGGAGATAGACATATACTATTGAGAACTTTACTATCGACCTTTTTTAAGACTTACAATTTTCTTGTACAATGTTTTGATATATCTCATAAGGTTAAGCCAGTGTTAGCCATATAAATTTCTAAGGACAATTCGATAGAACCAGTCATTGTGTTTTCCCGTGCGAATGAATAATTTGCCTGTCGTAAAAGGTATCCTAAATGATGACCCGAGTACTAAGTTATCACTATACAAAATTTAGTTAAAATCGGTTCAGTACTTTTTGCGTAAAACGCGCACATCGATTTGACTAAGTTAGTTTTATTATAGGTATAGATAAGAATAGATTTTGCTTAGGAGATATACATATACTATTCAGAACTTTCCTGTAGGACTTTTCAAGACCTACAATTTTTTAGTATATGGTTTTTATGTATGTATGTCTTAAGGTTTAGCCAGCGAAAGGTTTCTAGGGATGACTCGATAAATCCAGTTATTGTATCTTCCCGTGAGAAAGAAAGATTTTCTTGAAGTAAAAGGTATCCTAAACGTTGAATCGAGTAATAAGTTATCATTTCACCCAATTTCGTTGAAATCGGTTCATTACTTTTCGCGTCAAACGCGCTTACAAAAACAGATATACAGGCAAACAGACAAACAGTCAATTTTTTTAATAACTATCGTTTTGGGGTCTATGATGTGTACATAATACGTTATAAATAAACGAAAACATCTATCCCACGGGAACCGTACATTTTTCCGGGATAAAAAGTAACCTATTTGTTATTCTGATGTATGACCTTTTTTTTTTTTTAACGTTGGGAAATGCATTTACGCACGACGTGTGGGACTCACCGGCGTAATACAGCCAGTACTACCCACTAAAACCCAACAAAACCTTCCCCCGTCTTAATGGGGCGTCGCAGGATCGCTTACGCATTCAACTACGACGCCCCGACGGCAGGTCTGCCAAAGCAGACCACCACAACCATGGGGTTGCTCCAAGGTCCACTCTGCTGTCAGAGAAGTACCAGGAGCAACCCGCAAGGTACACCGCCCCCCGAAGAGGGCCACCTCCCACCGCCCACCGAAGTGGGCAACCTCCCTGTGCGTTTCTTAGCTTCGCTACTACTACTGAGCCCCCCACCACGACAAGGTGAACGCACGTTGGGGGGGAATTCTGATGTATGACCTACATTATTGTAAAGTCTTCAAAAACCTTTCATTTTTATACCCCATAATATGATAGATATGGTCGAAAGATTTCTTTTAGACCCCACAAATTGGCGTCTGAAATGAGGAATCCGCAATTTTATTTTAATATCATAACTTTATGACGCTCGCGTTATCAAAACGAATCTAACGGTCATCATCAAAATTGATTATTCCGTTTCATAATTACGAGGAAATATATATGATCGAACATACACACATAATATACATAGTGAAACTCCTCAACTCCTGTGAGCTTCGCTGCTGTCGAGTAATATAATATAGTACAATTCTAACGTCATTATTATTTAACAAGATATTTACGTCGCCAGCCGCATTAGTTGCAATGGTCAGACGAACTATATGTACTCGTAATTATAAAAAATCATTTTTGGAGAAACTAATTTCATCTCACAATATTTTTGAAAAAAAAAATACAATTAGAAAGTAGGTAACGCCGTTGCGCTTACTACTTTGTTTATTTAGTACCATGTATGTATCGTACCTACTCTTCTAGTAACACGACTTACCTTCGCTCGCGATCATAACACAGGTATACTTACTCTATCACTAATTGTACGTAGTAAACGGAAGCATATTTCCGACCATCCAAACAGTCAAAATCCCCCGTGAATGAGTTTTATTATATCATGTTTTCCCGTAGGAGTGGGATTTCTTTGTTTTTCTAGGCGTTCTATTATCTCATTTAAAAAATCACATCATTCGTCATTTCGTGTTGGCGTAAGGATAAACAAACTAATGTACCTAGTTTATTCTTCTTTCACATATATATTCGATTGATATAGATGTACTTATTCATTAACATTAAGTATCCAAGTCCGACAATGTAATACTTATTATTATTCTTGTTTTCAACGCCCCAGAGTAGTAAAGCAGGTAGTTAAAATTAAATATTTTCCTTGAGCAGAAATCGAACCAGTGTATTATTATAACGGTCTATGTTTCACAACCACAGATACTTGATATAGCAACCCAATCAGAGGGTCATTGTCATTTATTTAAAAGTACTAGCTAATCCCGCGTCTCTGTCTGGGTATTTTATTTATATAATAAAATTTACATTTTTAAAGGGTAACAAGTAGAAAGCCACAATATAATATACACTATGTATTTTATAAAAGCTATGTATAAATACCAGTGGAGACTATACTACAAAGTAGATATTAAATCAGGCATTTTTTTAACTAATGTTAAGCATCATTTCCTCATATTTTTATCTTCAATTTCTCGCAATCTCCTTTTTAATATATCATGATTTAATTTATGCATACAAAGGAATTTACCATTTAAAAATAATACTGGTATATCTAGTCTATACAATCGAAGCCACCTAAGATTTTCTTTTTGTGTTATATCTATTTTTTCAATTATTAATTTATTTTTATAGGGTTCTAGCTCTTCCATTACTATGTCGCAAAGTTGACAAGGATCTTTTGTATAGAATGTTAGAATAGGAGGGCCGTCAACACCATCAGCCCTGAAAAATAATAATGCTTAGGAGAATTTCTATAAAATAATACTAAAATAAACAATTTGTTTCATTTAATTGTAAAATAAACAACAATAGATGCATAATATTCTTAAAATATATGGGCAAATATAAAACTATGCATTTATATAAAATATGAACAAACAATTTAAATATATATATTCTTTATTTACAAATTGTCGCTCTTGTGGCTGCAGCAATGAAAGAAGGCACAAATGGAAAAAGTCTATACAAACAAGCATTCACCAAGAAAATTATTCTATGACACTTATTTTTGTGATAGAAGGGTTATTTATCATATTATGATATAAATAAGTTAACATTTTATTAGATATTAAGTGTTATAGAGTTCACATTTTTGACTTGAAAGTCCAAGGTGTATCTTGGTGAATTTATTGCCTCACTATGTAACTTACAATTTCTCAATCATTATTGATGAAGCACCACCACCTCCATTACAAATAGAAGCTACACCTTTTTCGCCTTGTTTTAATGCATGACATAAGTGCACTACAATGCGAGCCCCTGACATGCCAATAGGATGGCCGAGGCTGACTGCTCCTCCATGCACATTTATCTTCTTGGGGTCTAGGTCTAAAATTTTTTGATTTGCCACAACCACAACACTGAAAGCTTCATTAATTTCCCAAAGAGCAACATCGTCTTTTTTAACTCCAGTCTTTTCTAATAGACTCTTTATGGCTATGGCTGGTGCAGTAGGAAAGTCAATAGGATCACATTCTCCATCAGCATAGCCAATAACTCGGGCCAAAGGCTTGACATTCAACCTTTTCGCAGCCTCAGCTGTCATCAATACCATTGCTGCTGCACCATCATTTAAAGTTGATGCATTTCCAGCTGTCACTGTGCCATTTTCTTTCTGAAAAACTGGTCCTAGCTTTTCAAATTTTTCAAAATTAACCTTTTTATATTCTTCGTCCTCAGCAAAAATAACAGGTGGGGCACCACGTTTTTGTGGCACAGATACTGGGACTAATTCATCAGCAAATCCTTTTGCTTCATAAGCTGCAGCACTTCTTTTGTAACTAGATATAGCATATTCATCTTGTTGTTTTCTTGAAACATCATATTTCTTTGCTGTATTCTCTGCACACATTCCCATGTGGATTTTATTATATACATCTGTCAATCCATCACACACAATGCCATCGACTAATTGCATACCACCATAAGTAGTTTCACCTCTTTTTAAATAAAAGGGTACATTTGACATAGATTCCATTCCACCGGCAAGAATGATATCTTGTGTGCCAGTTTGTAGACCTTGTGTAGCTAAAATTATAGATTTCATTCCAGAAGCACAAACTTTATTAACAGTTGTGCATATTGTGCTTTTTGGGAGGCCAGCAAAAATTGTAGCCTGTCTTGCTGGAGCTTGTCCAACAAAGCCAGAGCATACATTTCCCATGTACACCTAAAACAATAATGTTGAATAAGTAAAAGATTTGATAATCAAATATAACATTCATTACTTAAGCCTTTTTTATCCTCACTCATCATCTTATTGTTAATCATTTTGTCAAGATAAATCTTATCATAAAAAATTGGGTAATGATAAATTCCAACTTTCTCAAATTTCATTTAAACAGACTTATGATATACTCTGTCAAAAGAACCTGACTTAGAATAAGCGTCTTGTGTATCATCACATAACTGTAAAGTAGAAAGTAGTTATTTGAATTAACCTCTTTAACTTCCTCCTTCGGAATGCCGGCCCTTTCGACTGCTGCTTTTACTGCGACACTGCCTAGCTCAGTTGCTGACAAAGAAGCTAAACTTCCTCTAAAAGAACCGATTGGTGTTCTTACTGCAGATGCAATGACCACATCATTGAGAGAAATTTTGGTAGAATACGCTGCCATTGCTTGGATTATCTATAGATATAAAAGATACTGTTATTGGTACATACTAAATAATAACATTAAGCAATAAACTATTTAAGATTATTTATCACCTTCTTTTCTTAAACTTTAAAATATATGTCACTACTCTTTAGTGTCCAGACTCACGCAACGACAGTCCGAAACATACTGAGCACGACACCATAAAAACGGTATATAAAACTCAATTTCTTGGATCGTGCTGCATGCATACAAAAATTATTACCTAGCTTTGAAATATGTATTGTATACGAACCTTACTTGCTGAGCGCATTTTAATGCTAATCATTTTACTTCTTAAAAATATCATGATTTATTCTATTCACACTGCTGTTATACAATTTACAAAAGACCTAGTAAATACGAATACAATTTACAAAAGACTACTAAATAAGATCAAGTTATCAACTAATTAAAAAAATATTTATTCAACTTATCTTTTAAATACATTATTTTAAAATGAATCTTTTTGTACATAGCACAAAGTTGACAATTTCGCGTATTTGATTTTGAAAAGTAATCTTTGACCCGAAGTTTATACAGTAGATTCTAAAGGTACATTCATATAATTTTAGAAAAAATGATTTTCTATACCAAGTCAAAAGTTATTGAATAATATCTTGAGTTTGAACACACATTATCAATTCCAGAAAAGCTAATTACTAGATTGATTTCAATGGTAATTTTTATTATGTACTTACTAGTGACTCACCCACGCTCCGCTCGGGTTCGTCCCTACTCCCTAAGGAAAATTTAGATTTGAATGTATTTTTAATGCCGAATCATAAAAAAAATTAAAATAAATTTTTTTGTCCTAAAAATAAAAAAACGAATTTTTAGGATTTATTTATTTTAGTGTGGACCACCCTTATCACTTAGGGGTATGAAAAATAGCTTACGTCCTATTCTCAGACCTACTGAATATACACATAAAATTTAACAAGAATCGGTCAAGCCCTTTTGGAGGAGTTTTGTTACAAACACTGTGACATGAGAATTTTATATATTAGACTAGCGACTCACCCTCGCTCCGCTCGGGTTCGTCTTTATATATGTAGCAATATACTCTATGGGTTCGTCCCTGGGGTGGGGTCTGGGAGGACCACCCTTAACCTTATCACTTAGGGGTATGGAAAATAGATAGTAGCCGATTTTCAGACCTACTGAATACGCATATAAAATTTGGAAAAATCGGTAAAGCTGTTTCGGAGGAGTACGGTAACTAACATTGTGACATGGAAATTTTATATATTAGAAGATTTATTATATTTTTGGAACGAAGTTCCTTATAGGACGATGCCGAGGGGTACCCTAGCTGGCAAAAAACGTCCGTAAGCCGCTAGGAAAATCAAATATGTAAACCAAGTTACAAGCAATTGGTAGTTTTCTATAAAAAGAAATATATTAAAACTGTAAATATGGTTACTGTAATAACAATTATTAATAGTGGGTTGATAAAATATTTCAAAATCATCATGTATATTTATTTACTTCTCCTAAACATTTTTCCTAGACCAAAAGATGGGATTAATTTGAAGGAAACTAAAATTAGTGTAAAAAATAACTCATTTAGTATAATAAATCTTTAAATTAAAATTTATCACCAATGCAGCCTAAACCTAATAAACTTACAATAACATAGACAAAGTGGACTGAGTTTCTTTACCAGTATGGACGGAAGGTAGAGGTAAGGAGAACCATCTTATATGGGAAATTCATTGAACTTGATAAAGTGTTCACCTGTAAGCGAATAAAAACAAAACCCACCAGAATATTGCTAACGTAGCAAAAAGGTATGATATGAATTTAGCAGTTGTAAACGGAGTGAAGTGTACTGAGTTAAAAAAAATAATATTTTAGGTGACTTGTGTAGTTATTTAAATAATTTATATAGTTCAAAATAATTTAGTAAATATAATCAGAAAGACTGTGGTGATATAAAAGTAAAGAATGATTTATTTTTTTGTGAATTTTTAATAACACTTTTGGAGCTTTCTTCAAATTGTACTTACTTGCTATCGCCGCGCCACTCTAAATTGTCGCTTTTCACCGGACACTTTTTCATTACAGAGATAGTTCTCCTTATCTCTACCCTCTATATATTTGCCAGTCTTCAGCTAAAAATGACGGAAAGACGCGACAGAGACAAAATAGATGCGAGGCCAAAAGTCTTCTGTATTATTTGAATTTCGATTAATTGAAGATAAATAGTCCCTGTTTTCCAATTACCGAGCATGATGCCGTACTTTGGCGCACAATACCGAAGTGTGCTAATGTTTAATTGGAACGTGAATTAGTTTTCAAGTGCACTACCAAAGGGCACTAGGTTCAGTGTTGAAAGAAAAAATATAACTAATATGTATGTAATATATAATATTATAAAGGCATACGTAAGCTGGCTGGCAGCGGTTGGATGCGTAGAGCTGAAGATCGAGCTCAGTGGCGTGCCATAAGAGAAGCCTATGTCCAGCTGCAGTGGACGAAAGCAGGCTGAATATGATGATAATGATATAATATTATATATCGTTGATATTATAATTTATATAATAAATATATAACAATATATAGCTAATTAATATATAATTAGGTATATAAATAAAATATAAACAAATATTAATAACGATAATGTAAATAAAATTTTGATTGATGCCTCCTTGAAGGTTTACAGATAGTTATATTTATTTTTGAACACAGTATAAATTAACTTTTTTATATTTTATCAGAATACGTCGAAAGCTTTACGAATTAGTTCAATATTAAACAATATTACTAACGAAAATTGAAAATAAAATTTTGATCAATGCCATCTTGAAGAAAAACCACTTCTCATATTTTCTGCTATTGAGTTGGTATCTTTGTGCGCATCACGCCAAAGCAGTACTTTTCAAAATGCTCGATTGAGCGGAGCATTGCTGTAGTTGAAACATTCGAAGTTAGCACTATGCCGCATAATACGCTCTAATTGCAAAACAGGGAGCTACTACCATTTTAATTCCATTATAATATTAAATTTTTTAATAAATTATCTAGTCTTATTTAAAATGTCAAGAATTCGCGTAAATCTAAGACAGTATTAAAATTAACATTATTTAAAATTAAAAATAATAAAACGTATTTCTAGCACAGAATTCGAATAATTCCGCATAAATATCCATACTTAATATTATAAATGTTAAAGTGTGTGTTGTTGGTTTGTTTGTCTTTCTTTCATGTCGACACGGCTTGGCGGATTGTCGTGATTTATTGTGTGGAGATAGTTGGAGGCCTGGAGAGTAATATAGATTACTTTTTATCGCGGGACATTATCTCATTTCCACGGGAAAACACGTTATAAATTTCCTACAATACAAGGCAATAAATTATCTATGATTAGAATTACTTGAAACTTGGTATTAATGCTCGTCAATATAATTAATTAAATACATATTTTAGCATTTTTCGAAAATCATCCCATAAGGGGGTAAAATAGCAAATGAAAGTTTGTATGAAACCTACCATTTTAAATATTTTAATAATTTTAGCGCGAGCGAACCCACGGATTCTGCTAGTAATATATGGGCGTTTTCCAATTACAGCACTAAAGCGGTATAAATACGGTATAATGCTCAACTTCAACTTAACAACGCTCCGAGCAATCGAGCATTTTGAAAAGTATCAGTGCTTTGGCATGATGCGAAAAGCAATAGCAGAAAATATAAAATTTGTTTTTTTGGCGATAATCGTGTTTTCGCGCCAAAGTGCAGCATTATGTTCTGTAATTAGAACACCGTACGATACATAAATAGATTCAAGGAATCAAGCAAAGAAATGAAATCACTATATTTATAAATATATTTATATAGTAGAATTGCCCGCGGCTCCGCCCGCGTTTAGATGACCAAAAACCAAATTCTTAGGTTGTAAATATTAGTCATGAACGAATTAACCACAATTCGTCCATGATATTAGTATACTCTTACATTACTGTTTCTGTATTTTTTCTCAGAAATGAGGTATTTTCCCGCGGTAAAAAGTATCCAATATGTTGACCCAGATAATCAGCTACCACCATACCAAATTTCATCAAAATCCCTTCAGTAGTTTTTCTGTGATGCGGTAATGGAACAGACAAGACAGACAGACACAAAAATTCTAAAAACTATAGTTTCTGCCTCTGTATCGATAATAATGTTTATTTCAATAAGATTTTCCAAAAAATATCTAATGTACAGATTCGGCTTAGTTACAATTTTATTATATGTATAGATTATACAGTCTATTGTTAAAGAAAATTACATCATTTTGTATAATATTAAAATTGAAAATAAAATTACTGGCGTCGACCACTTTTTTGATTTCTTTCTTCTGCTCTGTTTTTTCTCTGTTATATGCATGGGTCATCCAGGATGACAAATAAAAGTCAGAAATAATGCGTAGCATCTCTATGTACTTTGTGAAGTAATCACATTGTTTCTTTATTGTCAAAACGAATATACTGACAAAAGAAATGTCATTTGTGTGCATTCTGCAGTTCATCAGTCAACTGTCAAATACGAGCGAAGATAATTATTGTATTATTTTATTTTGTGCAAAATACAATGACAAACTTAAAGAAAATAACAGTAAACTGAATACTTCAGTATAATAAACGGGAAATAGATATGTGTAGAAAACAAAAATTAACTTTCAATAAAGTGTTATTTCTCACTACAAAGCAAGCTTGACGATGGCTTATGGTTGCAGAAAGCGAGTAATTGAGTAAGTATTATGATTTTTTTTTTATTAAATGCAGTAACTTACTTCATAATTGGTGTGTGTTAAGGCTTTAACATTTATCTACACCCACTTCACTTACCTTTTATATTATAATATTATAGGTAATGTTACTAAAAGTGTCACTGTAATTAAATAGATAAGATAATATAAAACAAATTAATGTAACATGTATTGCTTCATTGCCAGACCTTTCTATTTTTAATATAAATATAAATAAAGGTCTCTAAAGAAGTAATGAAGATGAGCCAAGGTCTCTCCTTTCCCTTAGTAAAATTTAAACTATAATCTATTAAATAATTTAGGACTCTTTAAATTTCCAATATATATTGTTTATTTATAAAACTAAACATAATTTCAGTCTTGTTTTCTGTATTATTACTGATAATGTTATTATGATTCAAGAGAGTTATTAATGAAGTTGGTAATCAAAACATGATTCACTATAGTTATTTCATATGAGCCTTATAAGATTTTTATGTTATATTTAGGTAAAATATAGTAGATTTATTTACTTTAGTGTATTTATCTTTATTTATAAAGTATTTTCTATGTACTTGTAGTATTTTATTACTCTTTTAATCCCTCCATGACCATGACCTCGGACACGCCGGAGTTACAGTTAACAATAGATTTCTTAAAAATTTAATTAATTGCTTACAAATTTACGTGGAGGTGTTAATATATATAAAATTTATTTTGTTTTGTTTATGAATACATGTACAGTAGAATTCACACAAAAATGACATTGAAGGGAAGTGACATACAGGTCATACTAAGCGATTAGTATATTTTGTTAGATATTTAGTTTGACAGAGAGAAAAACTACAAATTATATTTATGTGAATCTATTTAATAAAAAAAAGAAATAAAACCTTAACTGACACAAAACAAACATAAATGTATGTATTAAAACAATAAAAATTGTACATAATACAAACTATGTACATACATTACATATTTTTTAATGTTTTACATAACAAATCAATCACTTTTGCTTGCATTTATTTTTTCTTTAGATTGTAATAACAGTCTCAAAAACTTGTGTAAAGAAGACATTGCCCTAGTTTAATTTTCATGTTCGATATATGAGCGAAGGTGTTAGGAATCATGTCAGTCACTATAAGCAGACATAATTTCTTAAAAAAAGGTTATAATATGGGACATGTCACTATAACTAAAGTCATTATATCTGACTTTATTGTAAAGTATATTATATGGAAACCAAACTCTGCACATAAAGACTTCATATTAAGTGGTTGGTCAATATAGCCGAGTTCATAATAAATGTATTCTACTGTATGTATATTATAAATATTTTGTTAGATTTCTATTCTATAAAAATTACTTTTCCTAAGGCTTGTTATTATGCCTTTTACTTAACCTTTAATGAGTTTTGTTGTTATAAGCTGGATTAGTGGCATCATTGCTAAGGTGACTCATTAATATTTTTATAACCCAGTGATTTCTTTGAAATTAATTTGTGAAACATTTATGACTTTGGTCTACTTATTTCATTAATCAACTTAGTCAACTATAATTTCTTGTTTTTAAATAATTTTGAAAAAAAAAAGTTTCTGATATCCTTTTTTTAAGGTAATATAGTGTTTAAAATCATTCATATATTTATAATCCTTACTGAAACTATAAATAAAAAAAATGAGTTTTTTTTGTTTGTTCTTTCATGCAGCAATAAAACAATAGAAAACCATTTAGTCTAAGGAGAGTGATATAGGCTACTTTTATCCTGATACATGCAGTGATTAACATGGGCTATAAATTGTAATGTAACAAAGATACTTATACCTACTACTTAATTTTATTTTTTATAAATAATATTTTTTTATAAAAATATAGTACAGCTCTTTGAAGCCCTTAACAAGAGAATTGAATTGAATTAATACAGCTCTAGGAAAATATTTTAATATGTTATTTAAAACAACATCATTCTCTTATGTGAACTTTATTCTCCGTTTTTTTGCAGTTGAAAAAAGACTTGATATTTATTATCATTCATTATTTTTGATATATATAGATAGATAGATATATCATTTATTCATTATTGATATGAGTATGTTGTTTTTTAGTACCTACTGTATCTTATAATTGGTGTTAAACAAATCAAGCAAATATCTGAATTCAATCATTAAAGATATATATTCATCAAGATAGAGTTCTAGAGATCTTGTTATGTGATAATTTGTATACATATATAAAAAAAAATTATGATCATTTGCTTATAATAATACGGTTCTTTAATAAAAAAATAATAGAGATGATTGTTTAATAGCTTAAAAATTATATAAGTACTTTTCCATTGATGAATTTAAAATTATGCTATTTAAAATCATCTCTATTGAGAGATTAAAGAGTAGGTTAGGCCATCTTGAAGTTTTATCTCAAAAGTAAGCCTAAGTCAATATCGTGAGTCTATAGTGAATCATGTAATTCACAAGCATTGTGTGTAAGGCTTGTCATTGTGGTGTTAAAATTTGACCGTCTTTCATGAATGTTTCACGATAATTAGTCTCATTAGCTTTATGTCTGTTTGCCACTAAATCCATTAAGTGTAGCTTTGTTGATGATGTATAAACTGTGGAAAATAGTGTCCTCTAAATATTGTATGTGGTGTTTGCAATGAACAAAGAAATATAGAAATATTTCTTTTTTGATTTCTTATATTATATAGCGGTAATTTTTGCAGGGTTTTCGCAAAAGCATGCAGGTTATGACTTAGGTCACGCAATTAAAATGGACGTGGTTAACATGGATGAGGGGCGATATGAGCAGAGGGAAAGTTTACCAGGAAGTAGTGCCGACAGTGACGCGTCAAGTAGCCTGTTTGAAAGTAATGAAAGTGAACCATTAAGCGATATAGAAAGGCCTTCTGACGATGAAGAAGATTTAAGAGAAGATTTACAAAAAAATATACCCAATATTTATAAGTCTGATTCAAACTTTACATCACATACTTCTAATGACGTCACTAACGATGAGGAGTTTCAAGCGACAGCGCTTTGTCAATTTATGGATATATTAAATGATTTAGATGAAGTTTTAGATAAATCCTTACTAGCTTGTCTGGATGACGGCACGAAATCTTTTGATAGTGACGATGACGATCTCATTTGTAAAATTAAGGAGTGTATTACTACTACAGAAGATAGGTCTGATCATTCAGAATCGCAAAGTTCGGTAGACGATACAACGCAAGTTATTATGTGCCCAATTGCTCAAACCTCGGCTCCGTCAATGGAAGAGATGGAAATCTCCCCCAACGAAGGGGCACGACCAAATCTTGTGCGTTCCAAAAGTGTTTCAGAACTCTCTAGGTGTAGTACACAAATGCCATTACAATTAGAAAGGGCTAGCACAGTTAACGATACCTTACGCAATTCCATGAGGAGATTAGATCCGATTGTTTTACCAGCAATATCTACCCAAGATTCTTGTGAGCCCCTAACATTGCCGGTTATATTATTTCTAGAACATCATGTAAATATGAGGCCTACTAGCGCGCCCATACAACTACAAGTGACAGCTGCAAATCTTAGCAGTGATGGCACTTCAGGGCCTCTGATAGTCGGTCGTAGAACATTGTTGATGAACCGAGCGTTGTCTTTGCCCTCGCCTGGTGATAACGACGTCGCACCTATCGACTGGACTGAACGTAATACAACTAGAAATATAGGCAGAAGTACCAGCGCTTCAAGTTCTTCCAACGAGTCACTAGTTCGCGTAGCCACAGCAAATCAGAACGCATTCAATACTGCAGAGGATAGGTAATAAGCGTGACTTAATATATTACAATGACTAATTATAAGAAACGACTTCTATTAAATTAATATACATTTTTTTTAACAGGAATGAGGATTCGAGAATACCCCCTTTTGGGGTGTGGCCTCACAAAATGAGCGCAATGTTAGCGTGTCTCAGTTGTACCGTTGGAATATTTAACATTTCTAGGTTTGCCATATTTAGCGTCCATTTTGGAGGTAACGTAACATTTCATTGAGCTCTTTACTTCGCATGTTCAACCTCTATTAAATAAAAGTTAATTTATGTATAACTTTTTCAGCTAGCTTCATCGTGCAGTTCTTTATACTGTCTCTATTAATTGGAATACCGTTATTTACACTACATTTGTGTTTGGGCCAAGTGTTAGAGTCGGGACCGATAGATATGTGGCGTATATCGCCAATATTCCAAGGCGTCGGTATATCTTTGCTTCTGATTCAAGCAGTGATTGGAATATACAGTATAATCGGTCTCTCGTGGATCTTCGTATATTTCAGAGACTCATTTATAACGTCTAATGATAGATACAAATGGGCATTGCCACATGAGTATAATTTCGATGGTGAGTTTTTATGACTTTCGTATTTTAAATGCGTTGAACGTGATTCAATTAAACTATTTACAATCAAATTTATTATCTTTCGCTATAATAAAAGAGTAAAATAACTTGGTATATTTTAAAATTATTTATTCCATAACACGTCTAATAGAGATAAGAACAGATCAAATCTGATTGCAATTTATTAATCAAATAAATTATGGTTTAAATATTATCTTTGTTTTTTATATATTTTATACGTACATACATTTTGAGAATTAATAAAATGAGATAAAAATATTCCACTAAATCAATTGAAACATAATCAATAAAAAATAATAAAATAATTATTTTACAGATATCATACAAAAGAATGCGACCGTCAAAATCCAAGAGACATTACCACAATATTTCCACGAAGAAGTTCTTCAACGTAATTTAGGTACAAACAACTTTGGGTCAATAAAATTTCAAGTTGCATTCAATTTGGCGGTGGTTTGGATGATAGTATTTGTGTCACTGAGCAAGGGATTGAGGTCATACGGCAAGGTAATTTGTTTAATACAAATCAAATGGAAATTTTGGGTTTTAGGTTTTGTTTACTTTATAATTTATCTGGACCGATCTTCGGCGTTTTTCGGAAAAGATATAAAAATTGCGTATTTCAGAAGACATCTATCATATAGATAAACTTTAAAAACAAAGCCTTATCTAAATACAAAATTTGATCAAAATCGTTAGAGCCGTTTTCGAGGTACATGAAATAAAATATATGATTATTAATACAAGAACTGCTCGTTTAATTTTATAATTTATTGAAAAAGTGGTTGTATAAGTCTATTTGAATAAAGTTAAATTTGATTTCATTAATTAATGGTACCATAATGCGAGAGTTTGTTAATAAATGTGTTTTTACTTCATCACGTTGTAACTGATTAATGGATTTAAGTAAAATTTAGAAAATTTCTCTCCTGGATTTTGCAACTTGGAAGCTAGCAGCTGCAGTTAAAAACTAGGTTTTTGATCGACTATAAAAAGAACAAGGTACTCAATTCCGATGTAATATATTTTTGTGTGATTTTCATAATTCTTTTTTCTAAGAACCATTCATCAAGCCTTAAAAAAAGATCTAAACGGAAACTACTACTTTTAAGTGATTTTGAAGTTAATGTACATACTATCTCTATTATGTATCAAGCTATTGAATATCAATACAACTTTAATAACATTATTAGAAGCTTTATTAATAAAAAAATAATACATGTACATAATATCGCTAAAAACCTACAATAATCAAAATTACCTTTATTAAAGTAGATTTTTACGAGCATTTTTGAATAGCAATCGTCTTTTATGTAAAATATATAAGTATATAAACTTTCATGGTCACTGAAATTTTATTATGATGTGCAATAGGGTATTTACAATGCTTAACACTTTTGAGAGTTCTCGATATTTCGGAAGTTTTACAAGCAGGAAATATCGGGACTTTTAAAAGTAAGTGGTAAATTTATACCGTTGTACATAATAATAATAATGTAAAATATAAATATCTTAAAATATGATGTTCTCCTGACCGATTCCGGCCACGGCGGCAATCTCACTGAGACTAGCCAACTGCGCAGGAGATATTATAGTGCACAAGTGTACGCGCAGACACAACGTGCACTTTATTCCTGTCACTCTCATACTCCAGTGGGACGACACGAGACACGACCAGTGAGAGTTAAGGCGCAGGACCGATGGCTTTACGTGCTCTCCGAGGCACGGGGGTGAAACGCTGCCAACTTCCCAACTCCGGGCTGTTACTGAGGCTTACTTATACAGAAAGACTCAATAACTAAACTTGGCCCGACCCAGGACTCGAACCCAGGACCTCTGGGTGTGCAGCCGTACATGCTAGCCACTACACCACCGAGGCATTTAAATTTAATATAAGTATCTTTATATGTATTTAATATCCAATATCAATGCCTAAAGTTCAATATCAAACGTTAAGCATAATTGAGGTCGCGGGTTCAATTCCCCCAAAAGTATTTAAGCGCTCTGTACCTAAAATTTTAGTGTACGAGTGTAATTAGGAAATAATACCTAATAAAGTAATTACTGTGTCGATTTTAACGAAAATTTCACTAGCGAATAAAAGACTTAAATGATAGTGAAATAAGCATTATTTATCCTAATAAAGACGAAGGATTAGAACTTAGAGGAATTGAGAGAGGGCAGAAGAAGGCTTAACTGATAATAAAAGGAGATTTTTAATGGCGGATACGACTTCGAATTAAGATCAACGTATTTGCGTAAAATGAAAGTTGGATTAAGGGACTTCAAATATGGCATACATAATACATACCTAAAACAATAAAACTTTGTAATGAAAATATACAATTTTTTGACAAGAGCTATTATGGGCCGAAACAAAGTTAACTTACAATTAGTCTAACTCAATTAAAAAGATATAATAATAAAATATTTCTGTTAAAATAACTTAAATTCATTGTTTAGCTTTAATATATTTTTCACATTTAAAATATTAATTAGTGATCTCTAAGTGTTAATATGTTATTTATTTATTACAGGCTGTATACATGCTCATATTCCTACCGATATGCGGCACTCTAGTACTATGTACGAAGCTATTAACTTTGATACCATTCGATTCAGTCACAAATATCTTCTCTGAAACGGAATGGAGTGAATTCTTTATTAATAGCAATGTAAGTATAATAAATCAATTATGTACCTCTATTACGACTACAGTCCAATAATATAATGTACAATTATGTTTTAAACAATATAAGTACTAGTTTTACCATTTCTAGTGTCATATTTTTGGTAATTGTATTTTAAAGCTTATTTTAATTTAATATATCTCGAGGTGGTTAATAGATTAATCTATACTAATATTACAAAGAGACAGAATTTGTTTGTTTGTTTGAACGCGCTAATCTCAGGAACTACTAACCCGATTCGAAAAATTATTTTTGTATTAGATAGTCCGTTTATTGAGGACGGCTATAGGCTATGTAATATGTAGTCTATCTATTCCATACTAACTGTCAATACAAACCTACGGACGAACTCAAGCGAAGTGAGGGTGAGTCGCGAGTACGATAGTAAAAGTAGATATACATAGTTCGATTTAGTTTCTTCTCCCAACATCAATTTGAATTAAACATTTTTATATGCACAATTTTGACATAATATTAGATGATATTGTTAATTAAAATGAATAGTTTGTATTTTTTTTGCATATTTTATTTAATTGCTTACTAAACCAATCTTATAATAATAAAAAGTATAAAGTCTGTGTAAAAACTGCAAAAAAATTCTAATATAAATTGATATGTGAATTATTTAATTATTAAGGATATGACGTCACGTCTGCAAACTATCTGGTTATGCACTGTTGAAAACCACTCTTTTTGCATAAATAATAAGTACGTATAAGTAATCATGTATATATATTATGTATTTATACATAGCACCAATCACCAAAAACGAGATTGCAATAATAATAAACCCATTAATAATATAAATGCGAAAGTTTGGATGTATGTTTGTTACTCAGTTACGCCATAACGCCTGAATGGATCTGGATGAAATTTGGTACAGAGATAGATTATAGTCTCGAATAGCACACTTTTTATCCCGGAAAAATGTACGGTTCCCGGGGGTATGTTTCCTTTTCTTCTTCTCTAGGGACGAACCCGAGCGAAGCAAGGGTGAGTCGCTAGTTAATCAATAAATGATGAAATTTAGATAGATGGTATGTAACTGCTCTTATTATTTGCCTTGCTATTAAGTAAGGTCAATATTCATGCTAAGAGAATAAAATGGTCGACCGGTGTCGTTTAATACAATTTAAAAAATTCAGCCATATTGAATGTCAAACATAGCAACCGTATTCTTAGCGTACAATACCATTTCAAGCGTCAATCACTATATCCTTGTTTCTTTATGTTCGAACTAAAACTATAATAATTATAATATTTTTACATTGACTTGTATAGAGCTGGGCTGCCGCAGCACAAGAGACATTTTTAACTTGGGGGTTATTAGGAGCAAGTATAATGCAACTAACCTCTCACAAGGACCCAAAAAACAAATCAAGCGTGATACTACAAAAGGAAAGTGCGTGTATAGTCGCCTTTACATTCGCAGTGCTCCTATTGGGCTCCTTCCTAGCAAATACATGTGTACAGATTTTGAAGAGCTACGGCTATATGTATTTGCCTAGCAGTTATGGTGAGTGCAATTATTATTATTTTTGTAGAAATCAGAAGTTTTAAAACTTAACGAACTCATATGTGACTCGAAAACTATAACTTACAATATTTACTATTGATTAGTCATTTTAATTAGAGTCTGTAATGCAGAAGTTTCAAGATGTTGTTAATATCATATTTAATGCAATGGAATTATAACATAGATCAAAACTAATAAATCAATGAAAATAAATGACTGAGAAATTGATTTAAATTTTGGTCGTTCAGGTCGTGTGACGTCACGAAATTATTCTTACAAGCTCAACTTTAAAGTTTCATAACTCTTTCATTTGTTGGGATATTTTAATTATTTTATATTCTTTCATATTTTTTATGTATTTTGCTCAAATTTTTAATAAATATTAATACAAAAAAAAATTGGAAACTTGTCTATTGTTTAAAAAGTCATATATTACACATTCTTTTTTTGGTAAAAACATTTTCTGAAACAAACATAAAATTGATTTCAATTACAGAAACAATCAAATCATCGCAATTTCTTTGGCCTGTATCTGAACCTTTACCTGGTAACACTGTGTCTACTCCAGTTCGATATATGGGGCACTATGGAAGTTTAGTGGGCGTGACCGTGTGGAGAACTGGCAACCCGGCCAAATTGTTAAGTGGCTGGCAGCCTTTACAACTGGCAACCCAGATCGTTCCGGCCACCTTAGCTGTGTTGCCAGCCAATGTGGTAAGCTAAATTATATATTGACTTTAATAAGAAAATGTAAACTGCTTAGATTAGACAGGTGTAATTTTTCAATACCATATAAAGATTGCATCTACATACATATGTTCAATATACAAATATTTGTATAATGTTTGATATTTTTCATGACAACATTTACATATTTAATGTTATTCAAATATACAGCACTTCGACTTTTTAGAGCTTATGCATATTTTCCATTATAACAGTGAAAATGTAAATTTTCTCATTAACTTAGCATGTCTTTATGCATAATTAAAATTTCTTGTACTCGAGGTCATTTTTATGATATAACTTAATTCTAGTGGCTTTTCTCCCTTTGTTCGTGCGCGTCAGAAGGTTTTTTTTTTTAATAAGTATTCAACAGAAAATCTTTTATATGGATAAAAATTCTTTAAATATTAAATTAGTTTAGGTTATTTTAAAATTTTAAGACTTTGTTAATATGCCTACAGTCTAAGTCTAGCAGCGTGTACAATTGCACATATGAAGGTGGTGCAGAATTGAGTCCCCGGTCGGGCTAAGTATGGATTCTGGGGTTTCCTATCGAAACGTTTTCATTTAGTTCAGAGGATTTATGTACATTCGTATATTAGGTTTCAAGACTGAAAACTTTTTTTGAACCTCGAAGTCTTGGGTTCGAGTTCCAGGACGGGCCAAGTTAGATATTGAGTTTTTCTGTTAAGAAATTCTCAGTAGCAGCCCAGAATTGGCAAGTTGTTGGCAAGGTGGTGTTTCACCCCCGTATCTTGAAGAGCATGTGAAGTCGGTAGTCCTGCATTCAAATATCTCATTGGTCATATTAAACTATGGTCCCATTGGACTTTGAGAGTATGTATACTACTAGAAAGAAATAGAAAGTGCATGTTGTGTCTGCGCTTACACTTGCGCACTATAATATTTTCTGCACAAATGGCTAGGTCTTGTTAGATTCGCCGCCCTGCGAAATCGGTCAGGAGGTTAGTATTATTAATCATATTTTTTTTTAAATTCCAGTTATCTCCAGCGTGGGCAGTGATATTCTACTTCATCCTTATAATGTTCGGTATAGCGCAGCAACTCGCGATATGGCACTGCGTTATCACAGGCGTTATGGCGTTCAACCCCCGTGTGCTGAAAGTATGGGAGACTACAATAACTTTCTTCAGTTGTGTGTTTGGACTTGCCATGGGATTGCTATTATCTACTGATGTGAGTATGATACTCTTATTAACGTTGTTTCGTTGTTATCGCAGACAGAAACTTTTTGTAGTTAAGTTAGTTATATGGTAGTGAAAACGTTAGGGATTTAAGTGTTAGTTTTAATGATAAAGTTTCGCTCGAGCTTTGAATTAATACAAACATACCTTGGTAAAAATATATTATCATTTGTCAATATAAAATGGAGTTGAACGCGGAAATTGAAACTAAAACTATAGTGTCGCTTAAAAAGCGCATTAAATGTAAAATATTATGGTAGTCTTTTGTTTTTATTACAGAATCACAAAATGTTTTGATCTATTCATTCGTTACTTGATTGTCATCATCAATAAAATTCGCGCGTTTCATTTGATTAGTTAGTCTAAGATGCGAATGCGTATACGATACTAGCGACTCGCCCTCGCTTGCTTCCCAATACAAGCTTTCATCCCCATGTTCTCCACCATAAGAGATGATTTCCGGGATAAAAAGTATCCTATGTCCTTCCCAGGGTTTCAAACTATCTTCTTACCAAATTTCATCTAAATCGGTTCAGTAGATCCAGAGATTACCCCCTACAACGTCACGAACTCACAAACTTTACCTCTTTATAATATTAGTATAGATTAATAATAATCAGTGTTTAGTGTTTGTATGAATTGGTCAGAGAATAAAGGCTATTTTTATTTCATTTATTTATCCGCAGGCGGGCATAAAGATAGTGCACTTCTGCGACTACACGTGGGTGGGCGCGTGGTGGCAGTGCGTGGTGCAGACGGCGCTGGCGGCGGGCGTGTTCGTGGTGCGCGGGCGGCCGTACTCGCCGGACGCGGTGGTGGGCGCGCTGTACGGCGCGCGCTCGCGCCTGTCCGCCGCGCTCGCCGCGCTGCTCAGCTTCACCTGGACCGTGGTGCTGCCGGTGCTCTTGTGTGTGAGTGCCTTTATTGTATAAAGTGAAATTTCTTTAGAAACGTTGTGATTTGAAACTCGATGAAACGAAAATGCGACACTAAAAAGAGACAAACACATAAAATGAGATAGAAAACAAATCTTTTGTAAAAGTATATAGTAATAGTGTTGCTTAGTAAATTGTTTTTAAATAATAGCAAACTAAATTAAAAATTTTATCCTTAATTAATTTTAACTTTTTAAATCACACATAGAACAATTTTATAGCTTAAATAATTAATACTATATGTTTCTTCATGGTTATAAATATAATAATGGCAACACTAAATAAATATAGATTACTAATTAATAATGTATAAAAAAAATTAATTAAAATTGTAATAACAGCAAAATTAAATAAATAATATTCCATATTCAATTATAAAACTAATTAAAATTATAAAAATGTTTAAAGTTAAAAAAATATTGTAATGTAATTGGTGCAATTTTCATTTTGTCATTTGTGGTAGGCTGTCTGTAACCTTCGAGACATGTAACACCTCAGTCTCTCCCGTGACCATGAATGCTGTAAAGCATTCGAAACGTCGGGTCCCAAAAATCCAAATAAATCAGCGAAAAAATCCGAAAAGATAGTTTTATTTAAAATACTTTTTTTTTATTCACAGGCAATATGCGTATTGGATTTCCGTTTGGGGCAGCAACGTCAGTTGTACAGCTGGAGAAAACCTGTTGGGTAAATAATATGTACTATACTTTATGACCTTAGACCAGAGTAATGCTACTGTGTATTTCTATGCAACTCGACAGCTGAATCCATCGTCGTATAGCACAATAGTACCTAACCTACTTAAGATTAGTATAAAATAATATGAATCAAACCTTATTTAATACGTAAATTTGAGTATGTCCTGCTTTTTGATGTCGGTGTTCACATGTTTCGGTAAAAGAGACTTAAGTAAACTATTGGACAGACCTTGACTGGGTGAATAAATTGTTTGATGTTGCATGCAGTGATGATACTTGTTATCGTCATTGCATTATTGTAATTTTAGAATTAAATGAAGTTACTATTATAAATTCGACAATTTGTACGTTTGTGTATTGGATGTTGTGATTTGTGTGAAGTTTAATTTACACATAGATGGAACAACACGTAGATACTGTACAGCACCTATTAGGACGCGCTACGACGTTCCATTGCACTTCGTTCATAGGGTTCTGCTGTGGGTTTTAGAAAGAGTCAGTAGGGTTTTCCCCATTAAAAATAAAGCTAGAGTAAGCTAGTATATCATTTTTTTTAAAGTTTACAAAATGAATTGAACTAATTAATAATTTATTAAATTCTTGACATTTTTTTTAAATTAGGATATTTACTTTAATTAACTCAATATAAAATATATAAAAATAAATTAATTAATAACTTCATACACTAATATAGTATTTAAGGCTAAATTGTTTTATTATTAACAAATATGGATGTAATTAAAATTATTATTATATTATTATTAATATAAAATATTAAGTAAATAAATTGTCGGCCATAGGTACTGGCCGGTGTGGTGCCGGCAGGCGGGCGTGGCGCTGCAGCAGGGCGCGCTGCTGCTGCTGCCGCTGGCCGCCTTCGTGCAGACCTGGCGCTACCTGTCGCGCGGGCCCGACGACATACTCGAGGTGACTCCTGCGCTCCTATGTGCCTCGATAGAAGCAATAAGCTCTATCCGTATTATATTGACGATCGCAGTTCATTCTCGTTGCGACATCGGTCAACTAAAGCGTTTTTATACAAGAAACAATCAGTGCATCGACATTATCCTTTTTCTATGTGACATTGTCGAAGTAAGCTGTGTTCAACAGGTAATTTTTGAAGCCGTTAACAAGGGAATTGAATTGACACTATCCTTTAGATCCAAGTCAAAACACACTCTCATATTCTTAAAAAAAATATTGGTTACTGTTACTGAGTGCAATAACTCGAAAGACGTTAACGGACATATTCTTCAAATAGATGCAAGTTTCCTTAGGATGTTTTTCTTCACCGTAACGCAAGCGATAATCATGCTAAAAATGTTTTGTACATAATAATATTAGAGGTGCAAAAAACAAACTTTAACAGGGATCTCTGTCATGTAACTTAAATACTTTCATTAAAATCCGTCTAGCCTACCTCAATTGACCCATGATTAGACAAATAAATGAAAAATAACGTACATGGATATTATTATAGTAATTAAATGTGTTATTGTTTTTACCATGTTATTTGTAACTCTTTTATTTTTATTTATCGCTGCTAGGATTCCCATGAATGTTCGGATGAGTTGGTAAGATTTATAAAGGTGTTTTTTATATTAAAATGTTATCATTGTTGATATTAAATATAATCGCGTTGGTACTGTAGTTAAGATATAAATTCAAATAGGTATAAATTAGACATTGCTTGTTTAAGTACTGTCAATAAAGCAATAACGATTAATAAAAATTAAATAGTGAACAAAAAACGTTCATTATTTAATTAATCAAAATTATTCATTAATTTCAAAAATCTTACGAGAACAGCTAGCGAGGGTTTTAACAGTAACGCGTCAACTACGCAGGAGATATTATTGTGTATATTCACTTTCACTCTCTTATCTTGTCAGTCTCACGCACCTGTGACGACACTCGATACGACCAGTGACATTTAAGGCGTAGAACCGACGGCTTTACGTGTTCTCTATGGCATGGGTTGCACGACAACTTTGAGCTGCTATTGAAAATTTCTTGACGGAAATACTCAATAACTGAGCTTGGCCTGACCCGGGACTCAAATTCAAAACTCCCGGACTATACTGTATTCGCCGAATGAACCAAGCACTGAGATTTTGCGCTTAGACGTGACTAGTTGCAGATAAGAGGCTTAGGTCGCGATCACAATGCAAGTCATAATAATTAGTCCGTCGTTATATTCCGTACCGTTCAGACGTCTCTCGTGTAGGTACTTGATTTTTTATCAATCTAGGAGATGCCAATGATACGTCGGAGAGCGAAAATTAATAAATAATGTATAGAAATATTTAAAAATACAGTTAATTTTACTTTATTTGCATGTTCATTTTATTTTATTACAAATTATAAATAATTCCTCACTAAAGCATTAGCAACATGAACGAATCCTATGATTTGAAACCGGTTGCAAGTATTAGTGGGCGGAGCTAGATAGTTTTTCGTCCTTATCAGTTTGTATGATAATGTGGGACAGAGAAAGCGCTTTGCATGGTTCACTCCGTGAATAGAGTATTCAGTATAGTAATACAAGCGCATACCTTCCACAGCGCGTACAGAATCTCTACCGGCCGCGGATGGAGGCGGGCGGCGCGGGAGCGGGCGCGGGCGCGGGCGCGGGTGGCGGCGCGGGGGAGGCGGCGCCGGCCGCCGCGCCCGACCCACCGCCCAAGTACACGCCGCCGCCCTCCTACTCCACGGCGACCGGCGCGCGCCTACTGAACTCGTTGAGACGCAGCTTCCGCACGTTGCGACGGTGAGACTGGGCCTTTTTTATATATATGATACATAGTTTTAATCACAGTATTAAATATACATATATAACTATCTATTCGGATTTTTGACGTGATAACGTCTTATGAATCGATTAACGCCGGCTGCACGCACGAAAAAGTGTCACGTTACGCCTGAGCTGAGCGTGCAAGCGAAAGCGCGGAACAAACGATAGAGAGGCACAATCGGATTAAGTTGTTAATAGCACATTGTTACTTGTAATTAATCTGTATAATTTAAGTAAAAAATATTAATTTATCGAAAGAATTGTAATTTTCAATTAACTCTTTCTGTGTATTATACAAAATAATGACGATTCAGTGATAATAATTCAATTCATAATAGTATGCAATTTTTCATTAATGTTTTCTTATGACGTTATCACGTAAAATTATCGTCCGTAAACCAACTCACAGCAATCATTGTCGAGGAAAAGATCTGAAACTACAGTTTTATTTAAAATGAACCATTTTGTGGCCCTGAAAAGAGATTCATTTTTAAATAATATTTTGTGGTATATTCGCACCAAGAAGGTCGGTCACTGGCTATTTACTTCGAGCTGTTGGTTTTGCGGCGTGATTCGCCAACCCTTACGTCAGACTCTTATTGATGACTTCAGATACTTGGCCAATTTGTTTTGTATGTAATTTTTCAAAATAACCGGTACCTATCATTATAATAATTTTCTTTGAATATATATTTGATACAAAAATTAATTCGTTGTTTTTTTAGAATAACATCAAACCGAGCAGAAGCTGCAGACGACACATCACAAATACCCATCACTCTGAGTGAGAGTGTCGACCGGCAGGCCGACGTGCGTCCTCCTGAGTATCACTTCCCAACACTAACGCCGACCATCACACTGACCGACGAGACCGACACGACGCGATCGACCGCCCCTACTCGCCGACATTCCCGCTCACCGACAAGACCGACATCCTCCCGAAACTCACTCACCCTCACACGTGATTTACTACGACGATCCTTCGTCAGGAAAAGCGATTCCGCCAAAAGCATCCGTTCGAGTTTACGACGAAGTTTCAAATATGGCGGACCACTCACGACTAGTCACGAACAATTAGTAAGGGACGTCGAACCAATCTCTAATACGGTGGCCATGTCGGCCATGTTGAGCGATGACGTCACACACACTAGAAGTCTCGGCTCCGTCATCTGATCGATGGACATTCGAATATAGAATGTAGAATTATTATCCTCATATTTAGCGAGCAAGTTTTAATGAAATACTATTTTTTATAACTTTGTTGATATCACAGTTTTTATTGTTGTAAAATGAATTAAGTTAGTATGTATGATAAAATGTAGGACCTTTACATTAATGTAATTGATTATATTTTATTTTTTTATCTAACTTGTTTGTTAGAGAATCCAACAAATGCGGTGACTTATGTATGTCAATAAGTAGAAAGCTTATTTTTAAGTAATTCAAACGCTCATATTTATTTTTGTCATTTGATAATAATTAATACTCTTTAAGTATGAAGTTTACATTCCATTACATTATCAGTAGAAATTTATACAAATACACCAAAAATAATTAGAAGTATGAAAAAATCTTAAATTACATATGATTAAAAGAACAGTATTGAAAGAGAGAATCTCATTATTCTACAAGCCATGTAAGTTAGTGATTTAATTATAGGTACTTAAACAATAATGAATTGAGCTTAAATTAAAAAGACAGTGCTACTAAAATAACGAGTAACAATTTTTTATGAAATAGATTTTGTAATTTAGCAAATTAGATATGATGTGTTCTTATTAGAAGTATGATTATGTCGTGGGATGTTTTTTAAATGAAATTGTTAAAATTGGATATTGGATTATATGTGTTTGAAATAATATATTAAATTTTCAAATAAAATATTTTAACTAAAGATAGAATGAAAAAAATGTTTTTTTTTTAAATATCATTTATATCAAGCATATGCAGTCTTTTTTTCATTCAAGTAAATATTTAAAAAAATATTAAATTTTTATGTTACGAATATTAGATGCAAGAACACATATAATTTAATGGCCAGTTATAAATGAATGATATGATTTTGTTATGAAAAAAATGAATTAAGCGATGGTAACTCGAAATAACGAATTACAAATTATTTCTTTAAAAAAATTAAAATAATATCCGAACATCGATATATATATTTATATTGAAACAATTATGTTAATAAATAATGTTAGTAAATATATACAATTAGGTATGTACTTAGTACTTTTTACAAAGAATAGTTATGTTAAACAATTATTTTTCTGAGAGAATTTCAAGTACAATGAATGTAGCTATTAAGTTTTACAATTCAATGCAATCATTTAATAATGGCATTTAAACTTTAATATTGTTTTATTGTATATCTTTTGGTGCAATTATCTCGTCTCATCACACGTAAACTAGAACTGCCAGACGTACTTATTGTTAGTATGAGCGTAATTTTCATATAGATTTGCGGGTAATTGTAGCGTCTAATAATAAGTTTATTCACAATAAAAATGAAGTTAATATTATGTTTTATCAAAAGACGCACCTGCATTCAGGTCTTTATTATTAGGTTCCTGTTCTGCATTTATCATAGCTTTCGAAGTGCGTCTTCATATCTTTAGTTCTAGTCAAAATGGCTTCCGCACGATTCCGATTTTAAACATCACACATATTAAAGATATTAACGCGCGCACATTTTATTCGCACATTTATTTGTTTTAGTTTTATTATGTTATTGTCGATTTACATTCCTCTTATGTTTTTAATGTACTATTTAGGCAATAAATGTTTCTTTTTAAAAATTGTTTTATTTACTTATTGATTATTATTGAATGTTCGTATAATTAGAATTCCACTAATATTATAAACTCGAAAGTCTGAGTTCTCGTGTGTTTGTTACTATTTCATGCAAAATCTACTGAACAGATTTTAATGAAACTCACTAGTATAGCTTACGCATCTTAATTAATTACGCGGGCAGACTCGGAGAAGTAAGTATAATAGTAATGACTTTCATGCTGAGATATCACATTTTTTTTATTATTATAAACCGGTGAGGCGTTTATTTATGCAGCAAAATTATTGTGACCGTCTTAAGATATATAGCAGTAATAGTCAACATTAAATTTAATTTGCTTTAGACATTTTTGTGAATATATTATATTATATTCACAAAAATCATTATGATATATTTTTCAATCGGTATCAATTTTTTTTAAACCAACTTCCAAAAATGAAGAGTTAATGTTTTACATAGATACATTCATTTATTTAAACATAAAATTATACCGTCAACTTTATAATGATATCACTGATCAAAAATACTATACTAGTACTGAAAGCTATAAGTAAAAGACAATATATCAAGCATTCTTTATTAAAAATAGAATAAAATAACAATCATTATTTAAAATGTGCATTCACAAAACATTCTTAAATTCATAGAAATAAGAATCGTTAAATTATACTATAAAGATCTTAAAACAAGGAAGCCGAGGTAATGAAATGTTGAAAATTAAGTTAAGTTTTAAGAGTAAATTAAAAGATTGTTGAATTAAAAGTAAGAAATTAAGATGTAGAACAAAGAATATAAGAAACTAGAACAGAAAGATCGCGACACATTTTACGACCTCAACTTCTCTTTTGTTCTGTTGAAAATAAAACACTATAAAACATTTTCAAGGGCTATAAATGTCCTAAATTTAAATATGTCAAATACTAATTAAATATTCAAAAACATCGTCGTTCAAAATTGTAAAATAAATTAACGGATGAATGTGATGTATGAGAACATGAATGGTTATGGTTTTCATAGATTTGAACATCCAACTAAATAGTAAGAAAGAATTTCTAATGATTAAGTCATATTTAATTTGATTTTAATAAAACAATAAATTGTAAAACTTAGTGAACTCGATCACTAAACACATTAAGTGTTATACTTATTGAATGCAAACAAGTTAATACCTTCTTCCTATTTAAGAAAATCACATTATTTTCAGTCACATGCATTCACAATTAAAGCTAATATTTTTATAATACTATCGAATCAATGAGTTCATATTAAGTAGCGATTTAGTTGCCTTGGAGTCAGTCGGTTCTTTTTTCTTTGAAGGATCTAACATGAAGCATTTCCAGAGGCTGAAACAAACATTTAAATTATTGTTGTGGGTAGAACAAAATAATATAAAATATTACTGATGGACATTTTTCTGTATATCAAAAGAGTATAATTTATTAAATTTTTGTATTTTATTTAGTCTGACTACACAGGAAAGAGAAAATATTTACATATTGCATATATTACAGATCAATAATATTAAACTTAGTTAAATATTAAACTCGAGAATTTTTTGGTGAAGAAAACAAAGACTACTGTAGTCCGGGGATTCAAACCCAATGTTGTATGTATGTACTTGTAGTAAGTAGGTAGACACCTACTTGGCTTGACTGGAAACGATTTCAAATAGATGAGTGGGTAGCGCTTATAATAATTATATTAATTTATTTTCCGCTTTTGAGTGGCCATTTGTGGTTTTAAAAACGGTTTATTTATTATTATTATTTTAAATACTTTTCAGGAATTTGAAAGAATTTCGACCACGCGCCGACACACTCTAACATGAATAGAGACTTATCATTCTATTTATAAAAAAAATATTTAAATTTCGAAACAATGCAAAATGTTCTATTATAAAAAAAACAAAAGTAGGCCGTCACGGGACGCCCGGCCCGGCAGATGTGAAATATCTATGTTAATATTAGAATTCATAATCAATAAAAACTTATAACGAAATATGGATGATAAAATATAGATAACTAGCGGCTCACCCTCGCTTCGCTCGGGTTCACCTCTAGAAAAGCACAAACAGATCTATCCCACGGGAACCGTTCATTTTTACGGGATAAAAATAAGTAACCTGTTGTTTGACCTGCAATATAAGGTATCAGCATGCCAAATTTTACTAAATTAGGTGCATAAGTTGTTGTGTACTGAGCTGTATAAGTTACTATAAATTTTTAACTATCCCACGGGAACTCTTTAATTTTCCGGAATGAAAAGTATCGAATTTCATTTAAATAGGTTCAATAGTATCGGAGATTAGCCCGTACGAACAGACAAACAGACAGAGAAACAAAAAATTGAAAATATCTGGATTTGTTCTATTTCTTTCCTTAAGGGATGTAAGAAGAGAACTGACTCGTTTTTTAGCAATTTTTTCTACCATCTATGTACAGACATTCGACCTCTACAGTTTTATTATTCATATATTATGTACCTATACTCAGATAGAATAAATAACGTATAATAAAACAGAAATATATAATAATGAAAATAGTTATAGCGAGTGTACCTTAGGAGATAGACATATACTATGTAGAACTTTTTTATAGACCTTTTTAAGACTTACAATTTCCTTGTACAATGTTTTGATCTATCTCTTAAGGTTGAGCCAACGTTAGCCGTATAAATTTCTAAGGACAATTCGATAGAACCAGTTATTGTATTTTCCCGTGGGAAAGAAAGATTTTCTTTAAGTAAAACGTATCTAGGCAGTGGCATCCCAATGGTAACGCGCTCGCTTGGGAAACCGGTCTAGCACCTCTGATATTGGCCAGCGTGGTGGACTATGGCCTGATCCACCTCGTACTGAAGGGAGGCCCGTGCGTGTGTTAAAAAGGGCTGAATACAACATACATACATACATACATACATACATACATACATACATACATACAAAAGGTACCCTAAATGTTGACTCGAGTAATAAGTTATCACTTCACCAAATTTCGTTGAAATTGGTACATTACTTTTCGCGTGAAACGCGCACACAAAAACAGACAAACAGACATACAGGCAAATAGACAAACAGACAATTTTTTTAATAACTATTGTTTTGGGGTCTATGTTGTGTACATAATACGTTACAAATAAACAAAAACATCTATCCCACGGGAAAAGTACATTTTTCCGGGATAAAAAGTTACCTATTTGTTATTCTGATGTATGAACTATATTATTGTAAAGTTTCATCAAAATCCAATCAGTGGTTTTTGTGTACTAAGCTGTAGAAGTTACTATAGTTTTTTGACTATCCCACGGAAACTCTTTAATTTTCCGGGATGAAAAGTAGCTGATTTGTTTTTGGCATGTATGAACTATATTATTGTAAAGTTTCATTAAAATCCAATCAGTAGTTTTTGTGTACTAAGATGTATAAGTTGTTATAGTTTTTTAACTATCCCACGGGAACCCTTTAATCTTCCAGGATGAAAGTATCTAAGATGTTGCCCGGGCATATAAGGTACCACCATGCAAAATTTCATTTAAATAGGTCCAATAGATCCGGAGATTAGCCCGTACAAAGAGAAAAACAGATAAACAGCTCGCTCGGGTTCGTCTATACATACGAATATGTTGTATTATCTCTTTAACCATTTGTCCAAATTATATGCAGTAAAAGGGAAAAGTCTTTTATTTTAAACATTTTAGACGATAAATTTACTTATTTTGATAAGAATTCATAACTGTTGATAATATGACCAATAAACATGACCTACCGATTTAAATTATTTTTTTAATATAAAAAACTACTTTTTGTGACTTAAATATAAAAGTTAGACATATGCTGTCGCTGACTTTTTTGTAGGCATTATTAAGCTCTACAACTTTTCTCTAGAACATAATCATATATCTCTCATCGTTAAGGCAGCGTTCGTAAGAAACGTTTTCGTTCGACCGTTTTTTCTCCGACTTACTTTGCAAATGCGACTACCACGAAAAAACCTTTTCATTTTTCGGGTTAATATATAGCCTATGACACTCAGAAAGAACGTGGCTTTCTATTGGTAAAAGAATTTTGAAAATCGGTTCAGTAGATCCAGAGATTACCCCCTACAACATCACAAACTCACAAACTCACAAGATCACAAACTTTACCTCTTTATAATATTAGTATAGATAAAATAAAGAAATATTAAGCAGCTCACACAGAATAGCTATCAAGTATATAATATATATTTTAGTATACGCGAGAACACATAAAAGTTGTGAGCGGCGGCTTAGAAATACATATAGCATATTTTGCAGTCACGGCGTACGAATCAGTTTTACTGTCACGGCGCGCCAATAGATGTTTCACATCAAAAAAGTGTGTAGTGTATACCGACCGCAGCGTCTCGTCGGCGCCGGCGGACAGCACGGTGGTGCCGTCGGGCGACAGCGCGAGGTGCAGCACGCGCGCCACGTGCCCGTGCAGCTCGGCCACGCGCGTCAGCGCCGGGTACTTCCAGATGGTCAGCTGGTTCTGAGCGTAGCCGTGGCCGGATATCAGCTCCTTGTAGTGAGTGCTCCATTGGATTGAGCACACCTTGTTTATTGACAACAATCAAATTATTAATATTGTAAATACTTACAACATCACTGTTACATCATTATTAATCTTTCAAATGTTATAAACATTGTCAAATGTCCCAACATTATTATTATTATATTATTATAATGTAAAACAGCTAGAAAGAATAGAATAGAATTTTTATTATAGTACATCATATAGCTCATGTGTAATACTAGAGTATATTGCAGAAATATTCTGAATAATATAAGTCTATGGTAGGTATAAGAAACTCTCAGCTAACCACTCCACCAACATACTTACATAATCTCTAAGCAAAATCCCCTTTAGATAGATAACTCAAGATATTATGTAATTTTACTTTACAATTGTTATTTACTTATTATATTTGTAATTATATATTTGTAACTAATATAATGTATTGTTATTTCTGTAACCATGAATTTTACCTATAACAGAGTTATTAGTTCCATTATCTGATAAAAATTAGTCATCAACACAGAAGATCTGTGTATTGTATTTAATATTTACACCACCCACCCTGTATAGTCTTCCATATTTCCTCACCCAAAATTTGTCTGGAAGAAATCGCTAATTAGCGATAAAACCGTCTTTTGTGCACACTTTTGTATTTGTTTTATATTTTGTTAACTGTATTTACTTCATGATTGTGGTGTACAATAAAGTATAAATAAATAAGTTCTAATCAAATCAATAGTGTCGACATTAGTGCCAACATTGATGTTCCAAAGACGATGGTGCAACACAAACACTTCTACGTTTTTCACTGTGCACACACTGCACACTGCACACGGCATACCTGCGACTTGGTGTCGACAGTGTTGATGTTAGCGCCGGTGTTGATGTTCCATAGGCGGATGGTGCGGTCTGCGGTGCCGCCGCCCGACGCCAGCACGCCCGCGCTCCATGGACACCACGCGAGGCCCTTCACTGCCGCTAGGTGCTGGCTAGGGAACAAACAATAGTTACTTATTAGCTTGCTTCTCAATACAAACTTTCATCCCCATTATCACCCCCTTAAGGGATGATTTTCGTAATAAAAAGTATCCTATGTCCTTCCCAGTGTCTCAAACTATCTTCCTACCAAATTTCATATAAATCGGTTCAGTATATCCAGAGATTACCCCCTACAATATCACAAACTTTACCTCTTTATAATAAGTGTCAAATTTTATTTATCTGTAGAGACTAGCGAATTGCCTTTGCTTCTTTCAGGGCGTTCTAGAGTCTTTCAATCACTTTCTCAGATTTATGCGAATAATTGACATTTTAAATAAAACTATCTTTTTGAATTTTTTTGCGGATTTATTTTGATTTTATGTTGCCGACCTTTCTAATGTTTTACAGCAAATAATATGGAGACATGGAATACACTAACGTTTTAGCCGTCTCAAAAGATATTATATAGTTGTTACAGACAGTATCTATAAAGAAACTGAACTGCCACTTTTCTCTTGATTTCAATCAATTTTAAAGAGTTATTTAATTGTTGACAATAAACCCATTTTAGTCGAAATAAAAAAATAGCCTATAGCACTCAACAGTAAAGTAGCTTACTATTAGGGAAAAAAAAATCAAAATCGGGTCAGTACATACAGGGATTACCACACACATTCAAATCAAACTCACTTTATAATATTAAAATTAATGCAGATTAAATCCTCATTTTGTCATTGTGATTATAAATTCTAGACATTATTATTGGATTAAGTTGTCAGAGGTTCTAATTCCTAAACAAAATTCTAAACAAATATCATTTTAATTGATACAGAACAACAAATAAAGAAGCACAATTTACATAAGGCTTTTTCCTATGATGCGTCTTTAATATTAAAAAGAAGGAAAGAAAACATAATTAAAATCCCACAAACAAGAACAACATTTGCGTCAATGCAATTCGATAAAAGATCTGCACAATTATATAATAAAATTAACAGTATCATTTATAAAAAGACATTAATAGATTGGATAAAAACCATAGTTACAATGATACGGAAAAACTGTTAGAACATATTCATTAAATACTCACACACACACACACGCGCGCGCACACAACCACACGCACATACACACACACACGCACATACATACACACACTCTCACACACAATACACAAACAAATATTTATGTACGCAAATTTTTATTTTTTATTTTTATTTTATATTTTTTGTTTGTCTTAATTGATCTATTTAAGTTTGTTACCCATAATATTATAATCAGCTAAAAGATAAAATTACGTTTTTATGAAAGGGCGGGGTCTCCTAATACAGGCAAATTAATTGCTTAAAAGGGGATCTCAACCACAAAATTGAAATTTTGATTTGATTTGAAATAAATAAATTTTAAATTAATCAATTAATTATATGTTAATTTTTATTTCAAATGTAAATGTATATTGTTAATTAATTTATAGTTTTTATTGTTGTTGTGTTATAATAAATAAATTATTATTATTATTATTATTCTAACATATCTTTCAATCTCTCACAATGATGCTACCATAGAAATCTTACATAATACGATTTTCCATAAAAAGAAATGTTACTTAATCATTATAAAAACATTATAGTCATTTAACTTAATATGTACTTACTTGAAGGAGTATAAATATTGTGGTTGAGAATAATGCTGTCCTTGAGCAATGGGCCAAACATTGAGTAAATTATCGTTGCCACCTGAAGCCAAGTATTTGCCATCTGGAGACCATTTAAGTCCACATATCTGTAAATAAAAACTATTTTATTGTCCAATATTCATTAAATGTTAGGCCATTAATTTTATTTTAAAAGTTAATCATATTAATTTAGATTCTCGATATAATTAAAAATCGCTTGCTACTTTTAGAATATACCTATTGTTTTGTTAGGGCAAAACTAGGTGGCATACGACCACGGCAATCCTCTGAACAATACTATGAATATGTATTAAATACATGAAAATATATTAGGTGTAAATTGTATATTTAATAGAAGATAAATATTAAATAGCTCGTACATAACAATTTTAGATGAGAATATTTGCGTTTCATACTATTTAAAGCGTGATTTTTGTCAGTATTCGGGTTTTAGTTTTTAGTTCAAATATAAATAAATATATTATAAAAATAAAAAAAACCCGACAGCATAATAGTTAACTAAAAAGATGAAAACAAGTTCATGAAGGTATATTGTATTATACAGTTGAACGTTTCATCATTGCCGCGAGATGTACTCGAGACGTACTCGTATGTATGTCTCCGACTGCATACTATATTTCTTAGCAAGTCATTAGACATTCGCGCCGTCATGTCGTGACGAATCAAACGACGTGTCATTTATCAAAATCGGCCCACGCGTTTGGTCTAAATAGTGCCACAAAGGAATAAACTCACATATATACATACATAGGCTGATAAACACATTATCCTCCTTTGCATCGCGCAGTCGGGTAAAAAAAATTATAAGTAGTTTAGAAGTACTGAGGGAACAGATGAGGGGACAGAACATACATACCGGTCAATTTTATAACTCTCTTTTTGCTCCGCCGTCGTCGGGTAATATAATAAGTATATAAATGTGTATGATGTGTCAACTAGGTGAATTCATTAAATAAATGACAAAAAATACAGTTATTTTTTTGACAATATTTTTTGACAATAAAACGTTAAGCTCACATGAGCTCTTTGTGTACCTTTAGTTAATTAACCTAAACCTATGGCGTAGTTTGTTATAGTTGTGAGTTAAGTAGTGAATTAATACACGGCGTGAGTTAACTTCGTGCATTAGTAGACTTAAGTCAGAAATAACGTATACTATTTTATAGCTCGTGTGACCGTCAACCATTATCTTAATCATAACATATCCTTAATCTGAACTCGGACACACGCATTAAAAGCATTAAATATGTAAAAATGACGGTACAACATACGTTGTAGGTAAATATATATAAAAAATAGAAATATATAATATACCCCAGAAAATCCTACAACCAGGTAATAAATAGAGTAAATAAACAGATTTCGTTACACGCGTTTATTAGGCCATCTTTATAACAATATTAATCAAATTTTATCAATATTTTAAATATAACAAAAGAACTTCTCATAAACATGTAAAAAATATAAAATATGTTTATATTATATCCTCTGTATTGTTTTCTCTCTTCACAGCTTGATTTTCTATGTTGCAATAATTGAAAATGAAAGTATTATTGGATCCATTTATGGTGACAGTGCAGTTATTAAAAATGTAATTTTTACTAGGCGCTTGTTTCTCAGTGGGAACTTTTATATAAAAGCCAATATCTGGATGATACAAATAAGGAAATTTTGATTCAGATTGCTGTTTACGGGTTTTATTAATTTCAGAAATTTCTTGGATAGAATCATCAGAATCACTAGAACTTGTATTCTCAACAAGGACACTGATTTCTTGTTTTAAATTGTTAATTTTGTTTAACGTGGATGTAGTACCAGTCTTAGTACTTAGACGTAATAGCTTGCTTTTCTTGTAATCTAAGTGTAAAAGCCGAGTCCACGTTATCTAAATCTGACCCTTCAACAGGAGTAACATTTGATCCAGATGTTGATGCTACATGATTCATCCCCGACTTAGCACCAGTATCAACATTGTTTGTTTTAGCTCGCTTATGGACATTCATTCCAATACTAATTCGGTCACAAGTCTCTTTCTTGTCGTTTGTAGAAACATCTATGCAACCAAAAGCAACTGAAGAAGACTCTCTATGTTGCTTTAATGTATTGAGGTGGGCACCAACATCTATCAAAAGAGTAGCTGATGTCCTTCGAAAGCTATGACCGGTAAACTCGTTGGCATCAGGTAACTTTAAGAATTCAGCTATATCTTTTGGCATTGTTGCAAACTTGTTAATTCCAATTGATTGTAGCGTACATTTCCCTTTGGCATATCGCAGGAAAAACTTGTTAGTTTGACAATTCTCTGGTCTGGCTTGCATATATTTCCAACAATAATTAAATAATGTGTCTGTTATTGTAAAAGTTTTTTGGGGACCATTGTTACTTTTAGAAATTTTAATAAGAAGTTCGTTATCCTCTAATTTTATCACATTATCAACAGTGATATTTACAAACTCCCCTCTGCGTAATGCGCCAGCAATTCCAAAAATAAGGGCTACCTGTAAAATATTTTTCAGAATAAACAATTTACTTAATATTATTAAAATAGCTTATAATATTTAATTGGTATTTAATATTTACCTTTTTACATAAATATACATCATCAGGGGCTTCATTGAGAAACTTTGAAATATTGTCCTTTGTAAAAACTTGGGATTTCTTAGATATATATCCAACACATTTTTTTTTCAAATAAGCCGTTAATTTAGCATAGCCACTAATATCAACGTGATTGTACGTATTGATTGAGCATTTCAACATTGAGTATGTAGCCCATAAACTTGTTGGTGCATACTTTTCTGAAAGATGATCAAAGTACTCCAATAGCACATCTTCACTAAAAGAGTTTGAGTTAGTCTTCTCACACCATTGCTTAAACGTGTTATATGCCAATGTGTACATTTTTTTTGATTTATCAGGCAACAAATTCAATGTTACATTTTTGGACATATTATTGCTTCTGGCACTATAATTCTGGTTTCACCTTAACGTAACTCACTTTAATAAGCTGTCAAATCATATGTAATATTATCTTCTCTTGGTCATATGTCTGTGACATAAGTATAATCATTTTTGCACAGTGTAAAAATCGATCACTTAAGTAACAAATAAGCGTTACTTAAGTGTGGGTTTAGATTAAAAATGAATACCTCGGTATTGTTTATATATTTTAAATATAACCTAATAAATTACGTAAGTCTAGACACACTATAAAATGTTTGGTGGTAAGGAACTCACGGTGCAAGAGTTACACTGTACTTTTAGGATAAAGCAGTTTTGCTGTCCTTTAAACAAATTGTACATTGAGAGCATTTGGGAAAATCGCGTGTAAAGTATTTTTTTGAAAATTTTAGTTGTGTTTGGTGCTTAAAAATAAACCTTTAAATATATATATTTTGTAAATCGAAATATTTCTAAAGGAAACATTTATTTTAATAACACTGAATTAATAATCCAGCATAACCAACAGCAATCAAAAGTAAAAAAAAAAACAAAGAAAAAAGCTTCTACTATATTATACACATGATCAGTGATCAACTTTTGGGTGTGCAACAACAACACTTTGAAAGTTTGTCTACCTCGAGGCATCTTGGTTGAATATATACCACCCTATATATATGTATAACACCCCATTAGATGGAGGAGTACAGGCCAGTCACATAACCATTTGTATGTTAAAAATGACAAAAAAAAACAAAAAGCTGCTATATATACAGTGAACAGATATTCACCTCCTGCGTGTGCGCCGCCAGCGCGGCGACGACGTGATCACGCTGGCGCACGTCGTGGTGTACCACGCGGCCGTCGCGCGCGCCGCTCGACAGCACGTACAGGTTCCACGCCAGCGCGCCCACGCGGCCCTCGTGACCGTCCATTATCTGTACACACATACATACATACATACATGTTCTCACGACCGATTTGACATGACGGCCAATCTCACTGAGACTAGCCAAATGCGCAGGAAATATTATAGTGCAGAGCTTACACGTGCAGACATAACTCTATTCCTGTCACTCTCAAACTTGGGTGGAACCTATGAGAACTGATACTAATTAATTAAATGATTTTAATTTTATCTGCTCTTCTGAGGCACGGTGCTTTCACAACACAAACTTTCGACTTAGAAGTATATATTACTAGCAGGACCCGCGGCTTCGCTTGCGGTAAAAATCTGATATACATATTGTTTTATGTATTATTTTAAAGGTAAATAAGGTATAGGTAGGTTTCATACAAATTTTCATCGCCTATTTTACCCCTTATGGGATGAATTTTGAAAAATGTTAAAACAATTATTTATTTAATTGTATTGAAGAGCTATAATACCAAGTTTCAAGTAATTCTGATCATAAATATTTTTTTGGGTTCTATTATGTGTTTTTCAATGGGAATTATATAATCTCCAGAGGTAAAAAGAAGCCTATGTCACCATCCAGCCCTCCAACTATCTCCGTACAGAATATTACGCCAATCCGTCACCGTTTCGAAATTGTCTACTCAACTGAAATCGACGAATCGTGTGAAAGAAGGACAAACAAACACACTTTCACATTTATAATATTAATATGGATGTAAATCTATATCATTTTCAGAAGCTAAAGTTCGCAATAATTCTGGTTCTTCAGTGTTTCATAATTTTTATGTATAATTTGGAAATAATTTTCTATTATTATTGAAGTCCATCTTGGTAAAGAATCATGTTTAGCAGTCAAGAAGCCAAAATATGAGTACCACTAGCCATTCTTATAGCAGCTATGAGTAACTAAGCATAGAGAGGGATGGTCACTAAGAATTTAAGTAAAGTACAATAACACTTACCCTTAATCTTTTAATTTTTTCACAATCCCATAACTCAACAGTGGCAGAGGAAGTGCCTACTGCTAAATGACTGCCTCCTCCTTGCACCCAAGCAACTGAACAAACAGTCTCGGTTCCTTCTAAAGTCAATAGTTGCTCTATTTGTCCTGTACCTGCATTCCATAGGTACACAGAGTTCCCTAGTGCAACTGCAAGTATGTTTGATGCACTCCAGTCCACTAAATTCAAATCTGTAAAAAAATTATAAGTGATTTTAATTAAATTCGTTTTTCATTACCATATCCATGTTAATATTATAAATGTGAGAGTTTGTAAGTATGGATGTTTGTTACTCATTATGCCAGACAGCTGAATGGACCTGGATGAAATATGGCAGGAAGATAGTCTGGAATAACACATAGGCCTCTTTTTATCCCATAAAATGTACAGTTCCCATGGGATAGGTTTGTTTTTGCTTTCCTAGAGGCAAAACCCAAGCGAAGCGAGGTTGATCCCTAGTTTGTTATTAAAATTATAGATAATTGCAGTTAGCAATGTTATGAAGTGCATTGTCAATATCTATATTTTTTTGCTGTTTTGAAAATCATATATCATATAAGAATAAATAGTCCAGAAATTATACCTAGACTGGAATAAAATAAATAACACATGCAGACAAGGCAGAAGCAAAAGCGAGTTCTACAAAAAATATTGCAAGTCAGACATAACACTAGAACTTTTTCTTCTTGCTCTGGTAACTGATTAATATGATAATGAATAAAACAGCAGTTTACTTACAATAATCATCCAAAATATCAGGGGCATCAAGAATCCTATCTGGTGCTTGTGGAATATATCTTGTTGTATTCTTAACTGAAGATGGTACTTTTGCCTATTTATAAAATAAATTATAGTAATGGCACTCCTTATACATAATATTTAAAATATAAACATTTAGAAAAAAAATCAAATATTTATATCATGATTACAATATTAAAAGTAATAACAACTTTGTTATACCTAAATAAGTGTGAATTCACTGACCTGGGAATATACAACACGGAGCCTGTTATTATATCCTTCAGGAGCCGCAGGGGCCTTGCAGTTATACTGTAATAGTTTTCCTGGCTCAGTGTCTGTGAGAGCTCTACCAATAGCTTCACTTGTAGCAGATTGTACTGCAAGCTCTTCAATTTTGTTTTTATCTTCATCTCTGCTCAACTGGATTCAAAAAATATTATTTTTGCTTATAAGCCTTTTGCTTTAACAAATAATTAAATTTTATAATATTAAAACATTAATTTACCATGTAATGACATAAGTCATAGTTAGAATTGCTTCTTGAAGGAATAAATCTATCTGCTTTGTTTGGTGTTTTCGATGCTTTGTTAGGTGTAGGAGTGGTTGATCGCCCTGTTTTAAAAATTAGTTGTTGCACATATTACAAGGAATTAATGTTCTATTTTGATTAAGTTATAAGTTATTTAAAATTAGGTAATATAATATAAATTTACCTGGTGACTTATTTTTGGATGGTGTTTTCTTTCCCTTTTTATTTTCTACTCTGGTTGGCGTTTTGCTACTGGATAAAACACTGTTATTGCAACTATGATTTCCAGACAGGGAGAGTTTCTGCATTGACTGATTACAAGAACTTACGTTTATATTTGATATGTTTTTAATTGAAGTACTTAGTGAAGGGTTTATGTTTTCGTTGTTAGTCTTTTTCACCCATCGTTGAAGTGGCCCACGAGTTATAGGCCCGTCTATTGTAGCTAAACTATTTAATTCATTGAGATAGTTAAACTGTGCCATTTTCTTAACAGATTCGCTTTAAATATTTTACCAGCGGGATATTATAAATCAAAACTGTTAATCAACCGTTTAGAACAAGTTTCTCGTCATTTAGACGAGAAAGTATATTATTCTTTAAGTTTTAAAAATGCCCCACTTCTACGTCTAACGCCAAATAAATTTGACAAAAGTTTAAAACAGAAAAATCCGTTACGATTTAAATCCGTCATTTTTTTTACTGACAGTAGATGCAGTAGATTCTAGTCTTTGTGGTTAAACATAATATCATAATATTGCCAGGTTTTTGTAACGTGTACATAGCGTTTTTTTCTTTACTATTAAGCTTTTGTCAATTTTGTTTGATTATTTACACTCTTTATTGATAAAGTACCTGGGCGACCAAGCTTCGCTCGGAGTTTTTGGCCGAAAAAACATAAAAAAAAACAAACTAAAAATTTGAATAAATACAAAAAAAAACAAAAGTAAAAGCTTTGTCGGATACAAACCCGGGATACAAACCCAGACACCTGTGGTAGTCAAACACTTGCGTCTTGGCCGCTTGACATCATTAAGAAATTGTCTAACTTTTTGTTCTGGGGCTAACACCAGTGCAAGAAGTCTAGACTCTAGAAGATACAGTAGAGTACCCTAAATATTTATTTAAGGTCAACGCCTATCCTTCTGCACATTTATCTGATTTTCGTTAATTATTAACTTTGTGTGTACGCTACATCATATTTGGTCCATGTATTTAGCATTTAATTTTTGCCAAAGCAATAGGTTTTTCGAAAATGAATCTCAATTAAATCTCATGAGTTTTCCCCTATGACATCTGGTTATCATGTTGAACATTATTAACACATAAATATATTAGAGTAAGGAAGATTATGTCGATCTGGGTATGAATTCGGTTGATTTTTCAAGTTAAGACTTCAGTACCCACGTTTTTTTAAGTTATAATGTATGTAGGCTTTCTAATAACGAATCGCAAAAGTAAAAATATCGTGTTTAGTTTATGATTAACGTTATATAAAAGTTTTAGACAGATTTTCGACGTTAAAATTATCGTCCAATCGATCAATTTAAGTATCCAGACGATATTTGGATTTTTATTAGTAGCGTATTTCATTAGTTCCGAAAGCAACCACTAGAGATATCTGATCTGAAATGCAGATTTATGGACGGTAGTAATACTACTAGTAGTAAGTACCTCCTAGAGACCTAGAGAATGGACTGAGCAATACTTTGAAATTAACCACTCTAGAAAGAGAGAAAGCAATCGTGCGGCCAACGCCTTGCTTCCAATCTTTTATTTTAATTTGAATGTATAAATGGAATGTAAAAAAATATTAAACATATTATAATTTTTAATAAATTATAATGTTATGTAAAATGGTTATTAATATCTATCTTCATTAATCGTATTTCAATGAATACAGAAGACTTTTTGTCTGTCACTTTTCCACTATTTTTAGTCGACCGCAGGCAAAGAAACACACAGTTCACTCATTATATCTATGAATTCCTGGGACCATTGACATATAGGTCATAGAGGAACAGGTGGACAAACGGTTATAAAGTAACTATTAAAATAATAAGATGTTCTAGGTATATGTTAAGAACATGAAACAAAAGCTATAAGAAAAATGAATTTATTTGAAAATTTGTTTACAAAATAATATTATATTATTCAAAAATAGAATTATTTATACAAAAATATTATAAAATGATACATGAAAACTTTTCATAAAGGCAGTGAAATAGATGAATTGATATTGTTCCAATGAAATAAAAAAATATAGTATATTTCCGATAACAGTAAACGGAAAAAATAAATGCATCATTAAGTTTTCTTAATAAAAATTGACAACAGTGATACATAAAAACACATTAGTTATAGCACCATTTATATAATGATACACTATTAGATAAAAGGTTTACCTATATTATATTTACACTTATTTACCACAATGGCACTATTTAGCAAACAGCACTTACAAAAATGGCAATATTTTAGTGTTATGTTTTCTATGTATATGTTACCGGTCAAACTGGATTGCAGGCCAAACTGGTTCATCCAGTATGTCAGAAGATACTAGTTTAGCCCAATACAATCTAGTTTGGCCTAAATACTTCAGGCTTAATTAGTTTGGCCGGTAACATATACATTGGCTGTCATGATGTAAATCTATACATAATACATATAAAAAATAGTATTGCGACTGAAGTTGTACATTGTTAAAACTTTAAATGATAAAATAGAAGCCATTTCAACATTTGAGCACCAATAAAGGGTTAAAATTTTCAAATGTTTATTTGATAATAAATACATGCCCATGCTGCTTCATTCGTGCGTTATTTTTCTTCAGTTCATGATTTACATATAGAATATAAATGAGCTTATGCTCTATCTTTATATTTACTTAATTAGTTGTGACAAAACATAATATTTTTTTATGCAGATTACTAATTTAAAATTTAAAATCAGGTGTTATCCTGGTATGGCATAATTAAATTATATGTTATTAATAGTTAAAATTTTATTTGAGCATATTTGTTCATATATTTATTTTAAATAAAAAATAATTTTAAATTAAAAATAATGTTATACAAAAAATTATGATTATGGATACAAGATCATTAATTATGAAAATATCTTTAAATATTTTTATGGTGGGATATCAAATTAATATTAATTTATTATTTACTTAAGATACCATAAATAGCAAAACAATTGTTCTACAAAGTTCTATTTTATTAAAAAAATCTGAGCATAAATAGCTCTTTTCTCATTAGTCCTCAATAATCTCAGAAGCTAAAAAATAAAAATATAAAAAATTAAACTAATACATATAAATTCCTATTTTTCCTCTTTTCTAGGAAAATTATACAAAGCGAGTATTAAATAGAAACCATGCCCACACATTATACGAGACGGGCAGTAACATTGGTTACACATTCACTACAACATTAGAAGATAAAATTGAGCGTTCAAATTAACTAAATCACAATACTGGAATAATCGAATGCTCATAGATCCTTAACATAATAATTATTTAAGTTCATATGAACTTTTAATAGAGAATATGCATGTGATTTAAATAAAAATTAAATATTTTTATTATTATAATCTTTATTGCTTCTGAATTAAGCCTATATTAATATTGTTTATTGTAATTTCTTTTTGCATAAGAAAATAAATTATTATCGGAATAATCAAAGATAGGTGGAAAATTAAGTAAAGACAAAAAAGGTGAAACGCAACGCCATTGGTCAGACCGAATGTGACGTCATAGTTTATTATAACAGAGCGCTGTTGTTTGATTGTTGGCGTTTAAAGTATCCGTATCTGTATGATATTTTTAAATTATTTTTTTTTAGTACTAAAGATTGTTTTTTTTGGAGCTGGATATTTTTTTCCAATTATACAAAAAAAAAAAAAATTACACGCATATTCCCTATTGCATTATATTGAATTATTGCATTCAATTGCAATTGTAATTAACTGTTACACTAGTAACTTTTAATTTTCATTCTAATCATGTGCGCATTTTTGATATTATAAATTTACTTAATAAAATTTTAATAATATTTTATATTAATAAGATAATGTACTTTTAACGCTATAACCTTTTCTAGTTATACAGGCGAACAAATTAATAGGTACTAGTCTCGTTTTCTAATTTCATAATGTAAAAAATTGCTATTTATATTTCTTTAGCGTTGTTTTTGAAACAATAGCTATAAAATTTTCACCCGCTAATAAAAAGTCAGGTTTAAATCCAAAATTTATCGAAAATAGCAACTACACTTAAAACTATTTTAATATGTAGGCCTGTATCATTAATAAATTATTTAATAGCACACGTTTTAACGACTTCAAAAAAGTTGTGTGTCACACATCCTGCAATATCTTAATCAATTATGAACTGATTTTAATGATTCTTTCTTTTAAAACAGACTATACCTGATAATATGTGGTCCCATAGGGAATGATTTAAATCACCAATCCTGAGGGCGGTTTTCTTCGCACCCTTTTAGTTTAAACTTCATTGTGGGATTCAACTGTGTTATGATTCATAGGTCCCCATAAGTTTCATAATGTGAATATGTCCGGGATGGTCCACCGTGATAAAACAGGAAAACTTCTTATCAAAACAGATGCGTTCTGCACTCATGCCGGATAACTTGATGCAGGCAAGAATGTCTTTACGCTTTGAGCCCTCTTTGTATCTATAACATAGCAAGATGTATTTAATAATATTTATTACTAAACTGAATAGATTTATTCAATTAAATTTAAATGCTTATATATTTTTTACTCTATTAAAATAATCTATATGTATGTAAATTATATAAATCTGAAGAGTTTGTTTGTTTCAGTGCGCTTATATTTAAACTGGCCATCCAATTTGATAAATACTTTTACATTTTATAGCTTATTTATTGGGAGGGATATAATAATAATAGGCTTACTGAAACCGTGCAACGACCTTTTAGAGCGAATTAACACAGAGTAAAAGCGATATATCATATATAATATACTCATATTAAAGCTAGTTTCCACTATAACAAATAATTAAAAACACTGTTTTACATATTGTATATTAAAATCGTCCCTCCCTTATTACATAAAAAATAATTTCTAAAATACTTACGTTTTCTTTTTCCAATTAACTTTCCAACATGTCTTTGGGTTAAGGAGATTATCCCCAAAGAAGAAATTATTGAAGGGATTCGTATTAGCATTATCATCTGAGTGCAAGTCGTTTCTCGTATCTAGCGGACTTGCGAGTGGAGTTATGACGTTTAGACTCGTCCTAGAAATAAACAATATTACAGCTCGGTATTTAGATAATTTTGTATCAAAACCATTTTTTTTCAAGAATATTTATTGAAAGTAATCACTGTCATACAATCTCACTGGTATATGCAGCAAAAAATAATAGTATCTCTTATAATACTATTCCTAACTTTATTATTTTCGTTCAATTATATTTATTTTTTAAACGATCTGAAATGTATGTCACTTAATTTATTTAAATAAAATAATCACTAAAAAAAACACTATATCTAATTATATCGCTATGTTATTAGTGAAATAAATAAAAATCACGACCTGATCTAAACAAATCGCAACGATTTAAAGACGCCATTAACATATATGTAATACCATCATTTATCTGCACAGATAATTGTAAACACTGTATTTTTATAAAACATTATTTTAAAAATAAATTACATTGCACTTAGAATGTGGCCGTACTTAGTATTGAAATTGTCAAATGTATAAACTACTAACCTTAACCCTTTCCTTCGCATTCGTATAACATACGTCATATTCCACCACACGATCTCCGAGGCCATGGTCACGAGGACCAGCGGGGGTTGTTCCTCATCCTCGTAGGACGGCTGCGGCGAGAGGGTTGAAGGTGAATGTACAGAGCGATAGAGCCGGTCCGGGGTGGGAGAGAACCCACACCACTGCACTTTTGATTTATGCAGGGTCAATAGAGTGATCTGCTTTTTGCTATGAACATTCCAGACCTGTTAAAAAAATTAATTAATTAATTTTAAACGACTTCAAAAAGGGGCTTTCGAAGTATTTGTACTTATGTGGGCGTAACATACGTTTAGTGGAAAGGAACGGTTTGATAAAATACGTCACCAGCACCATGTTACGATGAAAATAGAATAATGTGTATACTATATTTCTAGGAAGGTTTTAGGATATAACATTAATGCAAACATTCTAACAGTAGTTTAAAAAAATTATAAATACCAAATCACCAGATAATAAAAAACGCTGTTTGGGAAGAAATAGGTGAATAGGGAATATTAAGCGTGTGATTTAAATAAAAGTGAAATGTTTTTTTTATAAAGTGTAAATATAATAATGTAGGTGAAAAATTCAATTTAGTTGAAACGCAACGTCATTGGACAGACCGAATATGACGTCAACGTTTACAATAACAAAGCCAGTGTTGTCAATTTAGCGATTTTATCGCTAAAAATTGCTTAAGCAAAAGTCGCTATTTTTAGTGACAAAATCACTACATTAACAACACTGGCTCTGTTATTATAGACTATGAGGTCACGCCAAGCGCGCGAAATGGCCATATCGGTATCATATAAAAAAAACGATACCTACTACATTTTAGTTTTTTAGAGCTGGATATTTTTTTACAATTATATTACGATGTAAGCTATTATATAGAAAAAAAACACACATATTCTCTATTGTTAAAGGAATAGATTATAATTCACGTACCACAACATCGCCAGAGTCAGAGCCCAAAGCGAGTATATTGCCGTCTGTCGTTAGAGCACACGAGCATATCCTGATGTTTAGTCTATCTTCTTGTATGAATTCTAAATACACCTCATCACTGGTCTTTATTTCAAATACCTGCAAAGAATTGCACTATTAAAAAGCATTTATGAAGAAAATAAAATCGTACTCAATTTCCAGACTCAATTTTTTTTTGTTTTAAACTTAAATATTAATTATTATTTATTACATGGAAAAAGCTTTTCTTTCACTAATAAAAATAATAAAAAGTTAAATTTTAATTCTATTGGAAAAATAATATTCTTATCTCATCAAGACGTTTAAACTCATAATTAAAAAAAAAACAAGTAAACATAAATACCTGGAAGGAACTATTATAATAATCACAGATAACCAAAATTTTCTTTTGCAAAGCCGAACAGCAGATACAAACGTCGGCCTGGCGTCCACTTAAAACACTTGTTAGTTTTAAATTATTATCCCATAATTTAATAGTAGCATTAGATTCAACGGTTATTAGACCTAAGTCCGATATCCAGTAGCAGTCGACCAAACTGCTCCCCTTGCAAAGGCCTCTCTTATCGCAGTTGGGAAATAAACGCTCTTTTGAATTCAAGCTCGTATCGCTTCCTGAACTAGATGTTTTCTCTGACTGGCTCGATTTCTTTTTTACACCTTAAAAATATTCATTTATATATTTAATGAAACAATGTTTAATATTACCCATACTAATATTATAAAGAGGAATTTTTTTTTTTAATTAGATTAGGTTTAATTACAAATTAATGAAACTTTATCGTACAAAATTATTCACTATTCAAATTGAAAAAAATAGATCATTTATATTTGAAGATATAGTGTATGTATTCAGCCCTTTTCAACGTCCAGTGCTCGACACGGGCCTTCTTTCAATAGATAATACAGGGGATCATACATAGTCCACCACGCTGGCCATGTGCGGGCGGATTTCACATGTCTTTTGAAAACTTGCTAGGTTCTCTCAGACATGCAGGTTTCCCCACGATGTTTTCCTTCACCGTAAGATAAGTGGTAATCATGTTGAAAATGATTTTCACATGAAAATATCAGAGGTGTGCGACCTGGGTTTTGAACCCGCTTCAAACGGATCTCAGCGCTTGCCATAAGGTAGATAAAACCTAAATTAATTAATTAATAATATCACCTTGTATATCATTCAATATTTCTTGAGAGCCGAGATTGGTATTGCCGCTTAACAACATCTCCGGCTTCCACTCGCCACTCGCAGTCAGTTTGTACGCCATTAGACATTTATTTTTACCGGCAACCATCAACAAATTGGGATAAACAAAATTCATGTACTGTACTGGACTATTCACATCCATTATATCTATATATTTTTTTGAACGTATTATGAATTTCCTAACAATGCCACATTTAAGCCCATACACAATGTATCTATGGCACGGCGATATTTTAACTATAGTAACTTGATCGTCGGAATTTGCTGGGATTTCTGTTATTAGTTTTCTTCCTCGCATTACCTGAAAATACATAAAATTTAAATACAATTGTACTAATTTTCACCCGCGATTCGTTGTATTAGTGTAGATGTATCTCCATTCTTAAGTAAAAAAGTCTAAGTATAGAAGAAGATTTATAGAAGTTAGAGGTTAATTAGTTCACTAACTAATATATGATATTCGATAAATCACTGGATCGTGAAGTCTTGGGTTCGAGTGTCGGGTCGGGTTAAAATATTATTGGAGTTTTCTATATAGATTTGTGAGAAATGGGAAAATATTTATGTGGTATTAGATCATATTTAAGAACTAGAACAATAATAGAATATAGATTGCCTACATGTATCTGGCACTAATATCTGTCGCAAGACGGTATAAGTAAAATATTTAAAATTTAAATTAGATATTTAGGTATTTCAGATGTATATATCTCTTAAAGTTAAAAATGAGTATAGTAAGATATAATATTTCGGCTCTAACAAAAATAAGTATTAAAACGTTAAATACCTGTATATTGTTCTTATCATCGACCACCGCCAATAAAGGCTGCGTCATACTATCGCCATCCCCATTAGTAATTCCCTTCAAATTCAATGGTTTTAGCGAGTGCCTGTCCAAGCTCATGGTAGATTTGACCAATTTTTTAGGTTCTTGATGGTTAATAAATGATTGGTGACGTTTTGGGGTATTTTGAGTGCTTTTTGGGTCATTTTCGTTTGCAGTTAGAGTGCTGGGTGTCGGGGGGTAGAGTGCGTTTATGAAGCTCGCATCGAATTTTGTTGTTAATCGGACTTTGCTGTGGATGGTAAAAATGATGGTTTAAAACTAGTTTTTCTTGGTCTTTAACGACTTGAATAAACGAGCAATATTCTTTTTTGGTATATCTGAATCGGTGTGAAGTTTGAATGTATATTTTTTTATTTTTTATGTTTGTAAGCCGAATTTTCGAATGAACAGTTTAATCCTCAAAGGCTCGACCTGCCAGTGAGAGCCCAGTTAAATTTTAAATATTGACATGTTTTAAGTTTATATTATTTAAAGCTAGTTGCAAAATTTATTATGTTATGTTTATAGAAGCAGTTATTTGATAAATTAATTTTAATTGAAACTAAAAAAACCCAATTCCTTTACATATTGTTAGAGTGTGATTGGACTACGTCTTAAAACTAACTTCTTTCAATGTGCTAGAACTACGAGTTGTACATAATAAGTAATATTTTTTCATTTTAATCATATTTATATTTTCATTGTGGCATGATGCAGGTAATATTACAAAAACCGTTCCTTTCCACTAATGAATATTTTTACAAATATGGTGTAATATTTGTGTTCTAACATAAATATTGTAAGCGTGAAGTATTTGTATAACGGTGAATTATAAGTATACCAAGTCACAAATCAATTGGATTAAAAAATATTTTACAAATTTTGAAACAGATAAGTAATCGTACCCGTCGCCGCGCTGGCGGGCGCGCGCCACGTACGCGGCGTCGAGGCACCACACCTTGGCGCTGTGCTCGTCGCCCGCCGTGCCCGTGAGCAGCGCGTCGGGGCCCGCCGCCAGCTCGTCCCACGCCACCTCGCTCACCGACATCGATATTACATTGCTGGAATATTAATTATTTATTAATTATTATACTTTATTATCATTAATAGGCAGCGGTAGCCCAGTGGTAACGCGCTCGCTTGGGAAACCGAGTCAAGCGGGTTCAAATCCCGGGTGTCGCACCTCTGATATTTGTGCGAATCATTTCTAACATGATTACCACTTGTCTTTCGGTGAAGGAAAAATATCGTAAGGAAACCTGCATGTCTGAGAGAACCTAGCAAGTTTTCAAAAGACATGTGAAGTCCGCCAACCCGCACTTGGCCAGTGTGGTGGACTATGGCCTGATCCCCCTCGTAGTGAAGGGAGGCCCGTGCCCAGCAGTGGGACGTTAAAGTGCTAAATAGTGAATACATTTATTTATAGAATACAAATTATTTATTATTATATTTATTACCAGCAAATTACACTTGATTCACTCGAGTGGCTTACATTAATTAAGTCATAACCTATCTGTGTACTTAAACATCCAAATCCTTCCAGCCGTTTTAGCGTGAAAGAGTAACAAATACAAACACTTTTAAATAACTATTCTTGATAAACTATAACAGACTAGTAAAGCAACCGTTTTGAGAAGAATTATTTTCAACATGATTCCCACTTGCTAACAGAAACAGCTTACATACACATATAAAGAGAAAACAATATTATTTCATTGAAATCGATAAAACAAACAAACAAATCGACAACAATATATAGACTAAAAATACAACTTACCCCCTTCTATTCTCCAAATCAAACACATGTGCATATGTCTTCAAATCCACACAAATAACTCGACTATCGTTGGTAGAAATAAACAACAGTGAACCGGACCTGTTCACTGCTATCGATATGAAAGTAATACATTCCTTCACAGTATCACTTGTAATAATCACTCTGCACTTACTGTCGCTAAAATTTCTATTAAATCTACGCAACATATTGAATTCATACTGTTTCACTTCATTTTTTCTTAGAGTTATTATTCTATTGGTGCCTGAAAGAGAAATTAATTTATACATATTAGTTTTACTACATATATTATTTATTCATACACGTTTGGCTCAATTTGTAGTGACTCAACTTGCTGTGCAACGGTCGGACGGATTTTTATATTTATTGCATGTATGTATTTAAAGTTATATATGTGTAGTTTATCACCTATCTGGTATCCATAACACAAGCCTCGTTTCGTAGCTTACCATGGAACTAGATGGTGGTGTGTTAATGTCCCAACATATTTATTATTTATTAAATAGTCAAATAAAGGGTACAGATTTACTAAATAAAAAAATACGGACAATTTAATTTTAAGGGTTGTAGTACGAACAGAAGTTAGCAACATATTAAAATCATGGGCTAATTAACCCGACTGGGGCGAAGCCATAGACGCACATAGTTATACATACAGGAAGCTTGACAGCAAGGACAAGACATAGTACCTGCCTATATCTCCGACTGTATACTATTTTCCTTCGTTAACTTTGCTTTTTACGCAGTCGGGGTATTTTAAAACCTTATTTATTCGTATTTGACGAAAAATAGACAATTGTCTAATATTTATATTAATTAAATATGATAACGAAATTAAAATATATATAAAATTTATTATTAAAAGTGTGCAAATGCTATGCTAATGTAATAAAAAGACATTACATGTACATATAATGAAACCAAAATTAGTTCAGAAGTTGCAGATAAGTGGTTATTTTTCATAGACAGGTACTTTAATTTTGTTTATAAAATATAGACATAACATAACTTACCAGGGACCACAACTAGATCTAGAACATTAGTCGTCTCTTCAAAGCTCTGCTTCTCATTGGTTTTCATATTCAATATGTCCAGACTATTGCTTGTAGCAACTAGGACGTAGTTGTCTAAATTGCATGGAACACATAAATATATGGGTCTATCTTTATACAAATCACGGGTATATAAAACATTCCCGCTAGTGTTATATACGTAGATGACGTCAATAGTATGTGCTATCAAAGTTTCCTCACAATTTGACCAGCGGCAGTTCAGAAACGGACTGGGTCCAGTGATAGTGAAATTACTCGGAAAGTTATTATTGTATGACTCTTCTGCTTCTAAAAATAAACATTTAATTAGATATTAATAATTAGCAATTATGTAATTAGAGAATAAGATCATTACCACCATATAAAAATCCATACATTAGGAGATTGGCTTTGATTTTAATTGAAATGCCGACAAATGTTAGGGTTGTCAAAATATAATAATAATTTCGAAGTTAAAACGCTGTAGTTCTGTGAACCCTAAATCTGTTTCTCGAATCTCGACTGTCATATAAAATAAAGTAGAATAGTCGGGTGCGACCTACGTCCCACCGCGCAATTCTGCCCTGTCTAGATGCAGAATACATACATGTATTAGTAGACTGTGATTGTTATCTTATCTGTTACATATTATGTATGTATATAACAATCGATATGTGTACGTATGTTCCCTATGAACTCCAAAGCGGCTGGAGCGATTTTGATGAAATTTTCAGGCAATTTTCAGATTAGACCAGCGGGCGATCCTGTGAAGTTTAGTAGCGATCGGAAGTTTGAATACGAGCGAAGCAGCGGCTATTACCTAGTGACCTAGTTCTATATATTACCTTCTTCAATAACGTCGTCACAGTCCTGTTCAACTTCATCTATATACCAGACGTGTATGACCCCGCGCGCGTCGAGCGCCGCTACGAAGGGCGGGTTGGTTGGACACGCGCCCACCCATTCTATGGTCGAACCCGTACTTCTCAACTCCTTCTTCAGCTTATTCGTGCCTATGTGGAACAACTGGAAATGTAAAGTTTACTACATTATTTAATAATATTTGTAGAAAATAATAATAATAATAATGAATGATTTTATACTAGAGAAACTCGTATCTTGAGAAGATAAGAATTGTATGAAGGCTCTGGTCCTACAAGCTGAATTTACGATTTTCTAAAAGATAAAACTAAATAATAACAATGAAATTAATATTTGTCGCTTTACAACTAAGCTGTCATTATAGTTGCATGTATTATATTATTGTGTATATTATGTATGTTTATTATTATTTTATTATATTATTATGTATATGTATGTTTAAGTATTTAAACAATAAATATTTATTGTATAAATAGTATTTTATATATGTATTTTTTTATGTATGTTTATAATATGTAATACGTCTATTGAGTACAATTTATGCACCTTTCCGCTTTCTGTTAACTTTTGTATCCTACTTCTAGCGGTTGCCTGTAAGAGATCACTTTTAGTGATAAGGCCGCCTTTGCACATTTCTTTAAATGTATTTTTTTTGTATGTATCATTTTTATTTTTGTGTACAAAAAAGTGTTTAAATAAATAAATAAATAATAAATCTTCTTTTTATATACGTAACAATTAAGACTACATATTTTTTTAATTTTTAATGAACATAACAAGATAATATCATCAAAAATGAATTCATGGGTGGACGCTATTTTATAAGGATAACTAGCGACTCACTCTCGCTCCGCTCGGGTTTGTCCCTGGGGTGGGGTCTGGGAGGACCACCCTTATCCTTATCACTTAGGGGTATGGAAAATAGATAGTAGCCGAATCTCAGACCTACTGAATACGCATATAAAATTTGGTAAAAATTGGTAAAGCCGTTTCGGAGGAGTACGGTAACAAACATTGTGACATGGAAATTTTATATACATATAAGATAAATATAGAATTAAAAGAAAAAAGTTTCTTTAAAAAATCGTTTTCTTTTTAAATTAAGAAAAAGTAACTAAACTGTCGATAATCTCATTGGGAACAGGGCTGGATTTATATTATTACATGATATATCAGAAATGAATATAAGATGATGTATAACCTAATTGTAAAATGTAATATTATACAATTTTATTTAAATCACATCACTATAACCTCTCCTTATTATACAATATTAATGTGGAAACAAAAAGGGGATGATGTTTGGTGATTGCGAACTAAGTATATATATATATATATATATATATATATATATATATATACACACACACACTTATGTGAAGGAATTAATATATATACAATATAAACTAAGTGAGGACAAAGAATATAATCTACTTGCCACTCTATTTTTTTCTTAGACCGGAGCAAACATCTGCATTATCAATACAAATTAAATTATTATACACGTCTAATTATGGAATATTACTTCCTAATTCATTTATATTATTTACTAGCGACTCAACCTCGCTTCGCTCGGGTTTGTCCCTAGTTATGTTTTATCTTTTAGTACAGATTTCTCAAAGATGAGATGTTTTCCTGCAGAATAAAGTATTCTATATGTTGACCCGGATAACCAGCTATCATCATACCAAATTTCATCAAAATCTGTCCAGTGGTTTTCTCGCGATGCGTTCCCAGACAGACAGACTGAAATTTTAAAAACTATAGATTCGACATATGTATCGATAATAATGACTATTTCAATAAAATATTCCAAAAAAATGTTTAATGTACAGATTTGACTCTGCTGATTCGACTGCGATACAAAATAACTAAAAGGAGGTACTTTTAGACTTAATGTTATGTACTACTTTAGCGTTATATATCAACAACGCAAGTACATAACAAGGTAAATTTAAAATTGCCTATCTGTTTATTTTGTCGCATATAACTTAAGAATATTTAGACACATTAAATGGCACTTTTATTGTTTTATGGATATCTGTTAAAAATAAGAATGTTTAAATTAATTTCTATCAATCGAGTATATCTAAAATTAGCGTTCGTCCGTAGGTGAGTTTTAACTGTTAGTATGAAATAGTCAGACTATATATTATATGATACATATATAGCCTATACATTTATCTAATATTTATATAAATATTTACCTTCTTCAATAAACAGGCTATTTAATATTAAAATATTTTTTCAAATCGGATTAGTAGTTCTTGAGAATAGCACGTTCAAACTAACAAACTAATAAACTCTGCCTGTTTATAATATTAGTATAGATAAAAATAAGAAACGAGAAACGCATTCTCATTGAAATCAGATCCCATAGAATTAAAAAAGAGTACTTTTCATAAAATATAAAAAAAGACCTTGTATAACTTATTGCTAGCTGTTGAGTAATAAAAGAAATCATATTTCATTAAAATAATTACCTTAATAACACCAGTCTCAGTGGTGCCGACTAATATATAATCGCCGAGGAAACACACGGACTTTATCGGCTCTTTGACATCTATTGTTGAATGTTTTATTTCCTCTACATTCTGTTCGTGTCTGAAATATTAGATAGTAACATTATCAACCTTTACTGGTCATTACCATAATATAAAATACATATATATATATATATATATATATATATATATTTATGTTTAGGTTTATGAAGTACATGGACTCTACGAAGGATATTTGTAAAACAAGTGTTTATTATTGTTTAATTTTAGGTTAAAAATCTGAAGGCCGAAAACGAGCGGGTATGAATAGATAATAAAAAAGAAATGCAAATAAAATAAAAATCTATGCAAAGACTGCAGCGATTAGCACTCTGCTCTGTCAGACAGACTAGGGTAGCAAGGGATATAAAGTGAATTAATATAAATAATATGTATGTTCAAGATAAAGCCGATACAGACATTTAATATGTTCATCTATCAGTTTGCACCACTTAAGAATTTATTCATAAAAGCATTATTTTTATTTTACAGATTATTTAGTGATTTAGAAATATTTCATTTAAATTAATTAAAACATAGATTTAAGAAATAGTTTAAACTTGTACAGCATGTGATGTAAATGATTATAAATATGAATGGACATGCACACTACCAATTTTTTATAAGTTATTTACAAATACTTACAAAAACTCGAAATACAGTTCATTTTTACTACAATTCTCTTGAGCTATTCGCCATGCCTCGGTATAAAGGATACCCTTAGATTCATTCTGGAGAATACTCTGTATGATATCAGTGCAAGGATATCTGTATAAGTCTATGCCATATGTGCTTAAATATTTCTTGATGCTGTATAATAGCGTTCTATCCAGATCCTGAAAAAAACCACAAAAATAAATGAGACCCCTTACAGTATTATAAATGTGGAAGTTTGTGAGAATAGATGTACCTACGGATTTTTGTTACTTTTTCACATAAAATCGGCTCAAAGGATTGTGATGAAACTTTAGAGTAATATAGCTTATACATATGAGTGATATATAGGCTAAAATTTATATAGTTACATAGATTATAAATAAAATAATTTGTGAGCATGCGAGTGTATGCATTTGTTTTTTTTTTCATGCTGTATGTTTATGGCTTAATAGAGCCCAGGGGGGAAATTATATAAAGTTAAAAAATTATGTGAGTAGTAAAAAAATGTTTATTAGTCTACATTTTGATAAGAGTTTAAATACATTATTATAGATATCCTTTAAAAAAAATGATTGAAACTTTTAATTTTGAATAATGTAATACTTTCTTAGATTTACGCGAATATTTGACATCTATACATATAATAAAATTGTAACTAAACCGAATCTGTACATTAAATATTTTTTGGAAAATCTTATTGAAATAAGCATTATTATCGATACAGAGGCCGAATCTATAGTTTTTATAATTTATGTCTGTCTGTCTGTCTGTTAACGCATCACAGAAAAACCACTGGAGGGATTTTGATGAAATTTGGTATGATGATAGCTGGTTATCCGGGTCAACATATAGGATACTTTTTACCGCGCGAAAATATCTTATATCTGAGAAAAAATTCAAAAACTGCAATGTAAGAGTATACTTATATGTAAAACCTAAGAATTTGGTTTTTGGTCATCTGAACGCGGGCAGAGACGCGGGCAATGCTAGTTTTAAATAAAACTATCTTTTCGGATTATTTCGCGCATTTATTAGTAAATAACGCCTTTGAGATGTTAAAACCTTATCTCTCCGGTAACTGTGAAACCGGTGATTGCTGTAAAATATTTGAATCAAAAATACTCACATCGTCAACAATGTAGCTCTCATATTTCTGCAGGTCGGATATGACATAACTGGGTCCTGTCAATCTCACTTTATTGCCCAAGAACTTTAAATTTAAAAACAATTTCTTGAATAAACCCAACATATTGTTTAAATTTTTTGTATTGGCAATATGATAACCTACATAGTACGCTATGTAGCCATCATCTTCTATGTGTAAAGGGAAAGTGTTTACACCATAATTATAACTTGTTAGGAGGTGATTATGGAGCTTTTTCAAATAATCATCATTTGAGCTCGTTCTTAAATAATCCATTATGAGGCCGTGTATTTCATATGTGTAATTATGTTTCTTTTCGTCATAGCACACCATTACAAGTGATTTGGTTCGTAGTTGTTTCATAATCCTGTCGACTTCAATGGTAGGTTTATTCCATAGCTTACTGAGCACATTGGCAGTAAATTTTACATTGTCGGGTAATATTGCGAGCATTTTGAACAGTGGAAGTATGTCCGGTTTTAAGGAATTTATACAGAGATTATATATTGGGCTGGATACGTTTGATCTTGATATATTGCTGTCAGAAAAAAGTTTATATTATACAAATGTTAAAAAGAAAAATTCCACTAATATCATAAAAGCGAAAGATTGTATGTGTGTGTATTTTTTTTCACCCTCACGCTGCGGCTGGACGGATTTGGATGGAATTTAGTACACAGATAGAGTATGACCTGGACTAACAAAAAAAATACTGTTGCTAATAAAATTTGGCACTGTCTGTATGTAATATTATAAATACAAAAGCCATTTAGAGACGCACACGAGCGAAGCGAAAGCATGTCGCTAGTTTTACATACAACATCGTTTAAAATACTTACGATATAAACTCTTTTTGGCCCAACTTTTTTGTATAAACCTTCCAATGGCTCGTGTCGTGCACCAGTTTCTCTTTGTTCTCGGCTAATTCAGCACCAATCAGAGCGATAAGGAACGGGCTTCCTTTGCATATTTCGTGTAACTTTTTCGCTTGTCTTGGTAGAGTGTTCGCTTGCACTTCTAGACACGAGGCGAATAATTCCAGTGATTCTTCTTCCGAGAAATGATTTTCAACCTGAAATAACAATTTATTTGCCATACATTTAAGAAAACATCAGAACAAGATCTGTTTTGATAAGAATTATAAAAACGTCCCTAGATGCGTTTTTTTAGAAGAACAGACAGACAGAGATAAAAATGTTAAAAATTATATTTTTCTTATAAGTACCGTATATAATTTCATATGCATTTAGTAATAAGCTGTTATTTTGATATTACAAACAGACACTTCAATGTTATTTATCTGTATAGATTGTCTTATCCAAATTACCATTTTAGCACAATATACTTACTTTTATTATCTGCGGATGAAAATCCTTAACAACATCAGTATCACGGGTGGTGACTAATATTTTAAAGCCGATATCGAACCCTTCAACGCAAATCTTTTCGTTCACTTCATCAAGAACGAGTAAGCCATCCTTTAAAGAATCTTGAGAACTGAATAAGTTTTTCAATCTGTCCTTCTGTTCTGGCCATGAAAAGTCGTAGTTGGATAGAGAATCGGCATTCGAAGCAATACTAGACATTGACATCGATGATTTCATGTAGGAAGTGTGTGGTAAGAGTAATAAAAGTTTACGATATAATCTGAAACATAATAGTAATCATTCTAGTAATTTTTTTATTTGCTATATTGTCATATGAAAAAAGGCAGTGGAGACGCGCTTGCTAGGAAAACCGAGTGAAGCAGGTTCAAATTCCGGGTCTTGCACCTCTAATGTATTCATGTGGGAATCACCACTTGTCTTAACGGTGAAGGAAAACATCGTGAGGAAACCTGCATGTCTGAGAGAATTTAGCAAGTTTTCAAAAGACATGTAAATTTATTTATGATAATAATTAGATGTTAAAGTAATCAGTATTTTCTTCATGTTATTAAAATAGAAACACAGTTCTATTCGTAATTTAGTCTTAAAAATGCCAATTAAGTAAAAGAAAAAAAAGTTAAATAAATCAGCGTCTTAATATCTTCTGCAATTTGAAAAAACGTATGCAACAATATATTTATAGATTATTCAAATTAAATTATTCATTCGTTTTAAATAAAACTATCTTTTCGGATTTTGTCGCGGATTTATTTGTATTTTTGTTTCCCGACGTTTCGAATGCTTTACAGCATCCATGGTCACGGGAGAGACTGAGGTGTTACATGTCTTAAAGATATAGTTGTTACAGACAGCCTACCCACAATTAACAAAATGAAAATTGCACCAATTACATTACAATATTTTAACTTTAAATATTTTTTTATAATTTTAATTATAATTGAATATGGAAAATTATTTATTTAATTTTTGCTATTATTTTTATAATTATTACAATTTTAAAAATATTAATTAGCAATCTATATTTAGTGTTGCCATTATTATATTTATAACCATAAGAAAAATATAAAATATAGTATTAATTATTTAAGCCACAATTGATCTATGTGTAATTTGAAAAAGTTAAGATTAATTAAAAAATAATAATTTTAATTTAAATTTGCTATTATTTAAAAACAAATTATTAAGCAACACATTACTACATACATTTACAAATGAAAAAGTGAAAAAATATTGTAATGATGAATGATGAATTCTACAAGCAAGTGGATGGAGTGGCCATGGGTTCGCCGGTCTCTCCCGTTGTAGCTGACATCTTCATGGAGGCCTTCGAGGAGACCGCCCTAAACACATCACCTGTGACCCCTCGTTTCTACAAGCGGTATGTAGATGACACTTTCACAATATTACCATCTGATAAAATATCTGTATTCTTAGAACATCTTAACTCCATAAACCCTAAAATACAATTTACAATGGAATTGGAGTCTAATAATTCTTTAGCTTTCTTAGATGTATTAGTCATACGTAACCCAGATAACACCTTGAGTCATACTGTGTATCGAAAGAAGACCCATACTGATAGGTACTTGAATGGTGAATCGCACCACCCCCCTTCACAGTTAGCTACCGTGGGAAAATCTTTGTTTCAGAGGGCACGCGGGATCTGTGACGAGCAACACCTGGCCGGAGAACTGCAACATGTCAAGCAAGTTCTGCGAGACAACAAGCTGCAAGTGCCGCGCCTACGTCACAGGGACCGAGTGAAACCAGCCACAGTCGAGCGCGTCCCTGCAGTCCTACCTTACATGAGAGGCGTCACTGACAAGATTGGCTACATTCTAAAGCGAGCTTCAATTAAAACTTACTTCAAGCCGCCAAAGAAAATTAGTCAGTTTCTACCACCTGTCAAGTGCCACATCCCTCTACAAGATGCAGGAGTTTACAAGCTTGATTGTGATTGTGGGCTCTCTTACATCGGACAAACAAAGAGATCCATTAGAACCCGGGTCAAAGAACACATAGCTGATGTGAAGCACCGTCGCAATACAACATCTGCTGTCTGCAAACACAGTCAGGACCGCCCAAGCCATTATATTCGCTTCGATAGGCCTCAAATCCTGGCGAAAGAAAACAGATATCGCCCTAGAATGATTCGAGAAGCCATAGAAATTAAAAAACATCCTAATTTCAATAGGGAAGATGGCTTGGTACTACCATCGTCATGGGATCCTGTTATTAATATAATAAAATCTAATAATAAATCTAAACATAACAGACAGGTAGATGTAGTAAGTTCTTACTGTGTAGATCAAAATGATAGCATTTCTGATTAATAATATTTTTTCACTTTTTCATTTGTAAATGTATGTAGTAATGTGTTGCTTAATAATTTGTTTTTAAATAATAGCAAATTTAAATTAAAATTATTATTTTTTAATTAATCTTAACTTTTTCAAATTACACATAGATCAATTGTGGCTTAAATAATTAATACTATATTTTATATTTTTCTTATGGTTATAAATATAATAATGGCAACACTAAATATAGATTGCTAATTAATATTTTTAAAATTGTAATAATTATAAAAATAATAGCAAAAATTAAATAAATAATTTTCCATATTCAATTATAATTAAAATTATAAAAAAAATATTTAAAGTTAAAATATTGTAATGTAATTGGTGCAATTTTCATTTTGTTAATTGTGGGTAGGCTGTCTGTAACAACTATATCTTTAAGACATGTAACACCTCAGTCTCTCCCGTGACCATGGATGCTGTAAAGCATTCGAAACGTCGGGAAACAAAAATACAAATAAATCCGCGACAAAATCCGAAAAGATAGTTTTATTTAAAATGTCAAATATTCGCGTAAATCTAAGAAAGTATTATTCATTCGTCTTTGATAATAACGTGATGTGAATGACTGATTTAACTAAATCATTATCCGAGCTGTGAATAATAAGATAAAATGTATGTATTTAAAAAATAATGATTTTATTATTAGGATAAGATTTTCTATGTTAAAGTTCTATAAAAGAGAATGCGATGTATCAAAAGTTCAATTAAGGTTTTTTGGCAAATTTGTTAGTTATTTCTAGCATTAAGTTAAAACTGCAATGTTCATATCATAATTACTTACACTTTCTGTTGTGCGATCACATCGTCTGTCGTTTTGCAATTTCCGAAATTCATCCAATACACTACGCCATTAAAATTCGAAGTGATAAGTTGAGAATTACTTCGCAACACATTTATTGCTAATGTAGTCTTCCCACAGCCTGACATTCCATGGAGAACCAGAATTTCCCGCCGCGGCAGTTGATGTAATTTTGCTAACAATTCTTTTTCCTTAAAACAACGTAAGCAATCAGTTAAGTAGTATTAAATTCTTACTCATTACCTATTTTACTTAAACAAGTTCTAAATATATAAACAAGAAATTCCATTCCCGTGGTTTCTTGTATCTTATAAATTGATAGGTTTTAAGAATTTAACTTTTTAGATCCACTGACATCTTAGCAAAGTCTTCATCGCATTAGTGGGTCATTGTAGGATTGCTCGTGCATTTTTTATAATGGCCTAATCAAATATAAGCTATAATAGTTATCGCTGGTAATAGCCAAAAATACCGATTTTACCAAGCGTATTACGTAGGATATTTAGTATGTACTTCCGGTGCTAGAGTATGTCCGGTCGGAGTTTGAGAGTGAAAGGAATAGAGAGTGCACTTATGTTTGCGCGCATACTCGTGCACTATAATATCTCCTGCGCAGATGCCTAATCTTAGTGAGATTGACCACCGTGGCTGGCATTAGGACATTACTGTACAAATTCAAATTATTTTATTCAGCATTAAATTATTACAATTTTTACTGAACGTCATCAGTCTACTTATTACCAGTTCGGAAAGAACAGAAAGTATAGAAAGGAGGTATTTTTTCGCTTGATTTGCGGAACCGGTGAGAGCGGACAGTGTAACACAGAAATTACCTAAGTTTCGCTAGAAAGGTAGCGATATCCGATTAGATGTAAACAATGGGATTTCCGCGTATTCACTCAGCTTTCGCTACTCACATCGGTAGTGAATATAGCTTATATCTGTATAAGAATTAACACCCCGGAAAATAGGCCCATAGCGTGCTGCTTACGCCATTCACTCGATATTGCAGGTGTCATAGAGCATCCTAATCCACCCATGAACACTTTACGTCAAGCAATTTGAATATTACGTTAATCCTTAACACCCAGATTATAAAGTCAGTATAACCAATTTCATATATAATTAATTAGAAAAGTTTTTATTCAATTTATTTTAATGTATTCAAATAAAAATAGATCACAAGATGTTTATCAAAAAAACGGTACTAGTTATAATATAATTAATCACAATGCTGCGTTTAAAATGTTTAATTGCAATCTTGCATATTATACAAAATATGTATTTATAATATAGACACCAAAGATTACGTGTCTAAAGACGGTCAATGTCCTTAAAGCGTAGAAAAAGATCACAGCTATAGAAAGACTAATTTCAAGAGACTAATTATTTTGTGCTACATATTTAGTACGTGTACCTACTGTGTTTCTACCAAGCTTATAATGACATGATTCTATAAAAAATGATCAATTTTTTTTACTCGTATTTGGTTAATTATACACACGAATTATTTGTCCATACAGATTCTGCTTGGCTATTGCGACATTTCAATTACGATACAGAAACGGTATCTTGTAAACTCTAAAGTATAAAATATGCGGGTATTATATCGACTACAAGTTACATTTTTTTTATATGAGTAAGTCTAACACACCCACAGAGATACGTCCGTGCCTTTTTTTTTAATCTATTTTTATGTTTTGTTGTTATTTTATTTGAGACTAGCGACTCACCCTCGCTTCGCTCGGTTTCATCCCTAGCTAGCTTCCCAATACATACTTTCATCCCTATTTTCACCCCCTTAAGGGAAGATTTCCGGGATAAAAAGTATTCCCAGGGACTTAAACTGTCTTCTTACCAAATTTCATCTAAATCGGTTCAGTAGATCCAGAAATTACCTCCTACAACGTCAAAAACTCACAAACTTTACCTCTTTGTAATATTAGTATAGGTATGTAGATGGATTCGTGCGTGTAAAATTTCAGAAAACCATGGGATCAGGTGGACTTTAAGAGTCCACCGAAATGAGGTTAGCGTGTTGCATGCGAGGTTACTTAATAAAAAAAAGGGACTTTAAGAGTCATGGCTTGATGGTGTTGCTTCTGCTTGTAGTATGGTGCTTGCCTGGTCCCCCCCAACGTGCGTTCACCTTGTCGTGGTGGGGGGGCTCAGTAGTGCCCGGCAACCCAAACGGGCGCGAAGGCAAGAAACGCACAGGGAGGTGGCTGACTTCGGTGGGCGGTGGGAGGTGGCCCTCTTCGGAGGGTGGTGTACCATGCGGGTTGCTCCTGGTACTTCTCTGATAGCAGAGTAGACCTTGGAGCAACCCCGTGGTTGTTGTGGTCTGCTTTGGCAGACCTGCCGTCGGGGTGTCGTAGTTGAATGCGTAAGCGATCCTGCGACGCCCCATTAAGACGGGGGATAAAAAAAAATGGTGCTTGCCTGGTAGGTGAAGTTTGCACACAAGACTACAAGTTACTAGGACATTACAGATTCTTGAGTATAATTTACTAACTTTTTTTGTTTTTGGTACAAGGATTTTTTTTGAGAAATGTAGGTACACAAAAAATACTTATATTTTAAATATAACAAATGCAATATTTTTTAAAGAATTTAGCTCGCATTTAATTTTATATCGAAATATAAAACAATATCCCATGTTACTAATGCTAATAAATGTAACATAATTAAAACTGTTGAATGTAAATCAATTTGTATATAAATATAAATGCGAATGGAATTAGTAAGTACCACTAGAATCCTAACAACCACCATTGAGTCAAACAGTAGAAGTAGACTTTGGTGAAGTGATTTTACATTTTACAACTTACCAAAGATGATCTTTTGACAAAATGATCTGGCAGCCTCGGTACATCGCCTCTACTGAGGCTGTCCTCAAAACTATCATCAACCATCTCTACATTATCGATGGCTAGTAACTCCCATAACCATTTGTAATCCTTCGCCAAACTATCTACGAAAGCCTCGAAAGCACTGTTATTACTCTGTGACAATCGCTCTAGAAGAAATCTCGTTTGATCTGTCCGTTCATTCTGAAATAAAAAAAATTAATAGTGACGAAAAACACTGTTAATCAGTGGCGTATAGTATGCCAATGCAATCAATGCGGTCACATGGGGCCCCTGATACAAGGGGGTCGCAATGGACCACAATCAATTCTTTTATTTTAAAACATTTTTTCGAGGACGGCCGTCATAGAACTTTAAAAAAACCGCATATTACTTTTTTCAAGGACCACGAGGAGTGTGTTTGTACCCATGTTCTATAAAACAATAAATGGTCCTTTAAGCTCAGTTTTTTGACTATTTTTTTTCCAAAACTTCTTCCGTGAAAGCAGTTTGAAAAAAGTGAGAAGTTCGAAAACTGTCTCTGTCTGCGGACCATATTCGTTTTCAAAATAGGCAAAGGGAGGCCTTCCATTTCTTTTGCATTGGGGCCCAAAAATGCTAGTTACGCCTCGGCTCTTACTTCATAGTGCATACTCTCCTTTTAAAAAAGTAACTTTATTAAAAAACATTTTCATCAAATCAGTGACCGTAATTTTAGGTTTAAACAGGAAATATCAGTCAACAACATGTATTTGATATGGCGTGATTAGCAACTAGCAAGTACCTATATTTTTATGTCTAGTTATTTTCATGATAAATGATGATATAATAGTTATAATTGCACATCATCAAATGCCTTTTCTATACTTACTAGACTGAAGATGTAATCAAAATCCTCAGCAGATATTGCTTGCTTGGTAAAAAGTTCATCGAGAATGTATTTTACGTCTAAATCTCTGACGATAGCGTTTTGATGAATTTGTAACAACCTTCGGTTCTTACCAGCCATTGTATTTGAATGTACGTCATCTGAAACAAAATATACTATTACGTACGGACGTTTCCTTTCGACTAAGCATTTGTTCGTAGTATATTTCATAATTAGACTGTTAAAGCTATATGATTATGTATCTATTGTAGATTTCAGCCATTTCTTGCCTACTTTGTAGTGCCTTAAAGTCTAAATCAGGCAGGAAGTAATTCTATTAGGCAGAGGTAGCCCAGTGGTAACGCGCTCGCTTGGGAAACCGAGTGAAGCGGGTTCAAATACCAGGTCTCGCACCTCTGATATTTTCATGTGCGAATCATTTCTAACATGATTACCACTTGCATTACGGTGAAGGAAAACATCGTGAGGAAATTTGTATGTCTGAGAGAACCTAGCAAGTTTTCGAAAGACATGTGAAGTCCGCCAACCCGCACTTGGCCAGCTACAGCCAGGTGGACTATGGCCTGATCCCCCTCGTATTGAAGGGAGGCCCGTGCCCAGCAGTGGGACCTTAAAAAGGGCTGATGCAAATTCTAAATCTACCTATGTTTTGTTTTATCTTTATTTTTAATATAGCAATAGTGAGTGGCAAATGTGGAGTAGAAAGCTATTTAGGTATATTAATAACAGTATCAATCAGAATAGTTAGTTTACATATGTATGAGTATGTATAGATATTACGAAGTTCCGAAATTAATTGATAACGACTGCGCAAAAAGCTAACTAAATAGAAAGGAACAAGTTGTGAAGAAAATAGTAATAAGGAGTAGCAAGCAGGCCGAAGTCTAAACTTGTCAAAACAAAAGCAAAAAGAAATCGAAAAGTTTTAAGACAGTAACATTACGGTGGTTCTATCGGCAGATCATGAAAGCTTTAAGTCAATACGATTCGAAGTTGCCAAAAAATAGGTAGGTAGGACTTTAAACACATTTGTTTGCCTAACTTCATTGATGTATTTTTTCTGATTTTCTCGAAAACGTATTTACATTTTACAATGTTTACGAATTTGGAAGCGCATAACACGTGACAACATTGACTTTTAATAACATGTAACAACACATGAAAGGCTTAAACTTAAATATTTCAAAAGATTTAAGTAATGACTGTACGGATTGTTACAAATAAGAAAAAATATTTTATAATGTGATATAGACAATATAAATGACATCTCATTTATTTTAAATAAGTACCTACATTACTAAATGTAGGTATTAATAGAATATATATATATATATATATATATATATATATATATATATTATATATATATATATATTAAAAATTAATGTAATGTACAAAAGGATTATTGTATTGCCAAAACCACTTGAGTTCTCTCTTCAAGTGATGTTATTAACAATAATTAGTAATTTTATGACTCACCTGATAACTTATACTGTACTGTACTAACAAATACTTTACATACGAAACAACGAACTTGAAAAAATAAGAAGAAAAATTATAAGTATGCTGTTACGACGTACACAGCTAATGTTAATGGGGTGCTCTTAAAAACTAATGGATGTTATGGTAGTACTCGAACTTCGAAGTAAACATTTTCGATATAACCTTGCCGATTAGTGCCACCTACACGACAACAAGATGAACACACAGATCGAAATACGAAAACGACCGTGTCATCGACCTTACTATGATTGCCAAGGCCTTCTGATTTACGTAAAGTCATATTTGCGAACAACGTATTTGATAATATTTTTTAAGTTAGTTGTACACTGCTTGAGTTAACTTATGTACACGTTTAATTACTTTACTTGGATAATAAAAACTCATTTTCAGTACTGTTAATAACTTTTTGTAAGCTTGAAAAATTGAAGAGGAAAAGCTATCAACAAAACAATTTTTTATTGTTTTGCTAGTTTTATTCTTAATAAAAATTAAAAACCTTTAATCATATAAACTTCAAAAGTGAATTCATTCTTTAAAAAGTAATATTCTACTTATAATTTCATTTAATTTATTGTTTACTTATAATTTTAATTAATAGCTTAATTAGTTTAAATTGACAGTTAATATTTTAATTAATATAATTTGTATCTAATTAATCATTCACCAATACCAAAATTCTAAAATCGAAAATTAAATTAAAATCCTAATTTATAATAGTAAATAGATTATCAAACTATTTTAATATATATGAGGGTTTGCATGTGATATGTTTGTTACATATACACACTGAAACAGCTGGATGGATTTGGATGACATTTGGTACACATATAGACTATTGACCTGAAGTAGAACACAGGTTAGTGTAATGGAAAATTAACCGCAAACTCCATAAAAGTAAGTGTATCTTTATTTTTTTATTATAAGTTCCGGTAGTGCTATTATATTTAAAGTTTGGACAGGTTTTTTATGGGAAACTCATAGAAAGAAAGCGCTTTAAAAAAATACTTTAGTTAAAATCTATGTTCTACTATACTATACCGGTCTATGATAGGGACTAATATCAGTCTAGGATAGTTTTCACAATCATTTTGAACAGATGAGGATATATCATACAAGACATCTATAGTTCAGCGTTGAATATAATTATTGATTAACTGGCAACCCCCCCCACTTTCAATATGCTACTTCCTAATTTTCTGGAGGGCCAATTTGAAATCCATTCAGTTATTATCCTAATTACAAAATACAGTTGGAACTATACACAAAAACTTTTATTTGAAAAACAACACTTTAAAATATAAATAACTTGACTTTATAACTTTTCTTACTGTTCATTATCTTTTGTCATTTAAACTGCTGAACATATTTTGATGAAATTCATCAAGTACATAGATTTCACTATGGGGAGAGACTATTTTTTACCTTCATCCTGCTGATAATGTTTACGAAGCCACAGACCAAAATCTAATTTGTCATAATTTAGAAGGCACTAAACATTTAGTAATGAAAATATTACCTCAGGCACTCAAATTGACAACTGTCGTAAAATACATATTGGTTGATTAAATATTATAAAAAGTGCTGTGTGATGGGAGAGTTACAATTAAATATGAGTTTCTGCCATCAATTTTGTATAGGTTGTTCTTACATTAATTGACACATTCTAAGGTGTTCATTAAATTTCAAACTATTAACATGGCAAGTAAAAGAAAGTCTTTGTTATTCATAAAAAATGTTTAAAGTTGTGCATTAAAATAGTAGTGGATTAATTGGTGTATTTGAACTCTTCATTTCATAAACAAAAATCCATATTAAAATGTAAACAGTCTAAGTTCTCTAACTAGATATAAATGCAAGTTTGAGAACCATATAATATTTACATAAATTAATTATAAATACAAATATATTAGTTTCCTAATAGTACCTGTATTTAGTTCACTAGGCCAAGGACGCTTTATCTTTGGTCATTTTAACTTGGTCTTTTAGTAATTTATGATTGATGTTGATACATGTGGGAAAACTTGTGGTTGGATGATAAGCAACTGATAATGTTCTATGAGTAAGAGAATTGTTCATTAATTATTATATGTAAACAATTAATTAGTAGATTTTAGGAACTGATGCTTTACATTTGTACTTTATTATTTCATCAAAAATATTAAGACGAGAAGAAGTTAGGCTGTTTGTAAATAAGTTCATACTATATGTTTATAAATAATTACTTATAGTTAAGATATTGTTTTTGTTCTTTTAAAAACCTCCCTCCTATTATTTTAATAAAATTATTTTTGTAAAAAGATCTAAAGCTTTTAAAGTATATAAACACTTTCCAATATTCACTTCTCTGACATTGTTCATTATTATATTAAGTGCATTTTATAAAAATAATAAATAAAAAAGTCTTTAAATTATTGATGAATTTATAAGACCATTGTTTAATTATTTAATTAGAATATTAAATATAATAAAATAATTATCAAGTTTCAAATAATTCTAAGTAAAAAAACTTTTAAAATAAAAAAAATGATACCTAGTAATGTTGTTAACATTTATCCTTTTTTCTGATGTAACATGCACATCCCCACCTCCACTTTCTTATGAGTCAGATTAATTTGATGAAGGTGAAATTAGCTTAACTTACAGTAAAATACTGCATATATTGCAAAGAATTTTAAAAATGTTAAAATACTATAATAAAATAGGTCCAATTACTATTGAAATTTAATATATGTATATCTTTTTTGCTAAGTATGTATAGTCATTACATACAATATACAGAATTTAAACATATTCTATTAAGGGACAATAGTTGTGTGATAAAGTTTTATGTTAGAAATTATTTAAAATATTATTAGAGTAATAACAAAAATTCATTAGTTCATCAGTTTTTGTTGCCATTTATTAAACTTATTATTATTATCAGTAAATAATAATTTATTACGATATAGTTAATACAAAAAGAAATAAATATAAGCATATCTCAAAATAATATAGGAAACATATAATTAAGAATTCAAAAGCATGGGAAATTCTTACTCCTTTGCACCAAGCGATGTTGTTGTCATGGAAATAATCCCAGGACTCAAGAGCAACGAAGTTATTAACTAATTCTTTACAATCAAATCACTATAAACTTTTCATCATAATTTATTTCTAACACTAGTATAGCACCAGAATAACAAAGCAAACAAACATTGCACGCGTTGCACTCGTTCCGTTTGTTTTTGTATGTGTTGCAAGTAACGAACACAATGCAAGGACTGCATGCATTTTGGTCTATAAAGTTTTGTGATTGGCTGGAATATAAAACTTATATTTGATTGGTTGAAAATGAAACAATGATAATGATTGTCAACTTCATAAAGCACTGACATAAGCTAGTGACGTTTGGTAAGGCACTACAATTAATTTTACATAAAGTATCGAGTAGAGGTAATACTCCATAATTTAAATTATATTATTGAATTATGTAGATCTACAAATAATAATTATCATATTATTAATGTCATATTTGGTTTTATTAAAGCTAATTATTTAATACAACAAATATACTAAAAGTCGATTTTACAATAATTTGTTAAAGCAAATAATTATTTGTTTGAATAATCGATATTAAA